CAAGTCATCGCCAACACCCTGCTGAAGCACAGCGCCGAGCCCATGCATGGATGCATCTGCAGTGACAACTACCGGTAGTGCAGGATCAAACATCTTAATAGCACCGCATGTTGAGAGCGATGTCTTGACTTGCTCGAAACTCTGTTCTGCTTCTTTGTTCCATATAAATGGGACCTCTTGACGCAACAGCTTCCTCAGAGGCTCTACTACTTCTGCATAATTTGGCAAAAATCTTGCGTAGTATCCGACAAGTCCCAAGAACGACCGCAAAGCAGCTGCATCTTTTGGTACGGGAGCTTTTGCCACCGCTTCTACTTTGGAGTGAAGAGGGTTTAGTCCTTCTGCACTCACGGTGTGTCCCAGGAAGTCGAGCGCTTGCACGTTGAACTCGCATTTCTGGTTAAGCTGAAGTCCAGCAGCAGAAATGCGATGTAGAACTTCCTGCAAATTTCCCCTGTGCTCTGCTTCGGACTTGCCGAATATGATCACGTCGTCAATGTAACATAGCACCCCCTTACAGCCATCCAGGATCGTGGTCATCATTCTCTGAAACGCCGCCGGAGCTGACGCCAACCCAAAGCATACTCTTCGAAAACGAAAAAGTCCGTCATGAGTGACAAATGTCGTCAGCTCCCGGCTGTCTGCTGTCAGTTCAACTTGGTGATAAGCCGAGGCCAAATCTAGCTTCGAGAAGTGAGTCGACCCTGCAAGTTGGTGAAGAAGCTCTTCTGTATGTGGGAGTGGAAATCCATCCACTAAAATGGCCTTGTTCGGCTCGCGCAAATCTACGCACAGCCTGATAGTGCCGTCCTTTTTCTTTACGACCACAATTGGAGATATCCATTCAGAGACTTCGACCCGTTCAATGATTCCAACTTGCTCCAATCGGCGCAGTTCCACGGACACGGCGTCCCGCAATGCTAAAGGCAGCCGCCGCAATTTTGCCGCCACGGGCTTAACTGTTTCCCGCCTCTTGACCTGGTGAGCGAAGCCCTTCACCAGACCCAGCTTGTCGGTGAATAAGTGTGAGAATTGTTTCTTCATGTCAGCAGGTAGCGGGTTCTCATCGGTTCGCGTGTGCAGACATTGCAAGGTTCCTCCTTCAATCTGAAGTTGTAAATTGCAGATTGCATCTAATCCGATGAGGGTCGTCCCCTTCGCCACCACGTAAAATAGTACGCAAGTTGAACGCTCTTTGTAGCGAACGTTGGCGAGGAATCGTCCCTTCACTTCGATCTTGCATCCCGAATAGTCCAGCAGGTTGACAGACGGCGGTGCCAAAGCCAGTCGCTCGCGGAACCATTGCCGATAAATGTCCTCTGTGATGATTGACACTGAAGAGCCTGTGTCTACCAGAAAGCGTAGACTCACTGTCTCTACTTCCAGATCGGCGTAGATGCCACGTTGTCCGCTGTCCGTTTTCACCTGAAGAAGCACGACGTCACAATTCGTAGTCTCGCTGATTTCTTTCACGTCCAGGTCCTGCGTCGTGGTGCTTTTACAAACCTTCTCGAAGTGCCCGGTCTTTTTGCATTTCCGGCACATAGCTCGTCGCGCTTTGCAGCTTACTGAACTTGCCACGTGACTTGCCGAGCCACAACGGTAACAACGACGCTCCGTCACCTCCTCTTCATTTTTTTTATACTTGTCAGTAACGCGATGCACCGCCCCCTCAGCTGCAAATTCTTTCAGGTTGCGCTGGGTGTCCTCGTAATGCGTTGCCATTGAAACGGCCTTTTCTAGCGTCAGCGGTGCTCCTTCAAACAGCAGACGTTCCCGAAGTCTGCCAGATGAAATGCCTGATACGAGCTGGTCCCGAATCATCACGTTGGTGGTGCTATTGTACTCGCATTTGGCGGCTATCTCGCGCAAGCTCGTGATGTATCCTTCCATCGGCTCGCCTGGCTGCTGTAATCTCTGCTTGAATCGATGTCGCTCAACGAGTACGTTAGTTGTGGCTGCGAAAATTCTCCTTACGAGCTTGAGCGTAGTAGTGAACTCGTCCGAGGTATCCCCACTGGCAGGCTTGCTTTCTTCCGTCGCACCCGCAGTCGCAGACTTGCCTTCCGCCTCTGTGGTCGGCTGCTGCTGAGGTGGTGTCGACGTGGCCACGACGTTGTACTGCCGTTGTCCCTCCACTCCTAGACAGTGGAGCAGGATTGCTGCACGCCGCGACGCCTTGAACTCGTCCGCGCCAGAAGCCTCAAGGAACCTGAGGAACGTTTGTTCCCATTGCGGCCATGGAACGGGAGGCTGGCCTGGCGTTTGCAGAAACGGCAGCGGCGGCGTGAGCCCGAAGTTCATGGTGGCTTTTTATGGTCTTCTCCTCGTCGCCAATATTATGTTGCAGCCCTGGTCGCCGGCATAGCGACCACGAAGAAGAGATGCGTACGCCGCGAGCTTCGAACCCAAAATCTGATCTTTATCGCGATGTGGATGCTCTATGTACAAAATGACAATGTTGCCGACACAACACAGTGCCAGACGTGTTTCAAGTATCGTTTACCCAAAGATTTTTTTCACCCGCAACAGTATAAGGTAGAATCATTGAGGATGCTGCTTTACAACTGTACGTTGAACAGGAAAGCTGCACTGTGCAGAAGTGCGGCGTATTCGTTAATACGAGGGACGGATTTCTAGCAGCATTCCCTGATTGACTACTTGGAACAAATGGCCTCGTTGACGTAAAGTGTCCCCGTTCCAAAAGATTCTTGAAGCATACTTAAACCGCAAAGGAGTATGAGGCGAAAAATAAGAAAAAGGAGCCTGGTGTGAAAGGTCTATATCACCACTATAGCTTCTACTATCTAATACAAGGGCAGTTAAACAATACACAAAGAGAGTTTTGTGATTTAGTTATATTTACACTGAAGGTCATTGATATCCAACGTATTCAGAGAGATGACACCTCCTGGTCAACCAACATAGAGCCTTTTCTACTCAAGTTTAACATGGAAGGCCCCACTTCCGCTGAAATTCCTCACGTAGACGAGTTGTCCGACCGATTAAACTGCCATTACTCTCTATCTGGGAATCTCTCGATCTTTATTCGTAGGCTACAGTAATATGAGATCGAGGGGTGTGGCTCTTCGTCCGCCGAATATTGCTTCGGCGGGTTTTTTTTCCTGTAAGGTGAGACCGTCGCGTGCTGCCGGAACAAAAACCTGGCGATTCTTCACTGAACTGCTTCTTCCGTAAGCTTCAAAAGGGCTTTTTTTCGTTTCGCACATCATCTGCGCTGCTTGCCCGTTAGTTGCAGAATGGTATGGTGCACTAATGTGATGCCTCATGCCGTTTCTTTTTCTTCAAAAACTTGTTTATTTTATTTCAAGCAAATTTTTGCGCGTTATTAGAGAGAAGTATTTTCGGTAGGGCAAAAGTAGATAAAAGAGACCGTAGAACGTCAATGGCGTGTTTGGAGGTCGTGGCAGGCATCGTGTAAACTTCCAGCCACTTATAGCACGCATCGCCCATGACTCCGTAGATGGATACGTTTCGCCACCCACCGACTGAATAGTGGATCTTTTTCAGTTACTGTTCATGATGGCGTTGAATTCAAGGAAGACTTCGAGTCTTTCCACAAAGTTAGCCCAGGTGCCAGGACTTTTGTCGAAAGCGGCAAGTGTTCAAAACGTCGACAACGTTGGTAGCCACGTGTTGTGCTTGACACTGGACACTTACCATTCGCTGAGAAGAAACTTGCTTGTTCGTCTGCATGAGTCGTCCGATATCAGGGCCGGCTTGCTATAAGTAGTGTCTCAGGTGAGACTGCTCAAAGAAAGCGCTGCCAAGGCTCGGGCGCGCGAGCGTCTGAGACTCGGCTTAAGCTCGAGCGCTAGCCTTGACAGCGCTTTCTTTGAGCAGTCTCAACTGAGACTCTGCTTCGAGCAAGCCGGCCCAGGTCATCACCGCAACACCATCTCCCGACAAAACTGGTCTTCATTGTTCGCATGTCCATAGTTAGCAATCACGTCAACTTATAAATTCCCAAACGCTCATAACTTGCTGTGGCTAAACGCCGTTCATTCATTGCGTCTTCATTGCAAATAAACGTCTTCCTATTTCTTCTGATGGTTTTCCTAGGCTGTACTTACAACATTATGTGTGTCGGTACTTCCGAAAATATTGCAACAGCGTTTGTTTTTTGGGAACTATAATGTAACAACCTTTACAACATCTTCCGGACCCCGTGAAGCACAATATTTCGTGACGTTATTTTAGTCGTCATTGAAATGGTGAGGTAAGTACCGTAAATCGCGAAGCAGTTTACTTGACGTCCGCTTTCACTGGTTGAGTCTACTGAGCGTGCATTCCTGCAGAGGAAATTTTCATTGATAGAATATTGACACGTCAATCAACATTTGATTCCTTCTTGATAAGATTTATTGCGAAAGTCCATTACAACCGCCGAACCGTATGTCCCTATATCAGAGAACAATTTATACCCAGCCTGACATTCTCGCATACATCCGTTTGCTGGGCCACGCTACTTGAGCCAGCTGAGCACAGCTGGCAGCGGCACGAGCAAGACCACGAGGGGAACGTGATGGTGCTCGAGCCATCCCACTGTGAACCAATGTTTCGGCCACCCCACTACGGTGCCTGCATGTCTGTCTGTCTCAGGGTGAAGACATCCATTGTTGCACTGAATGTGCCAGCGCGTGACGCTCTCGCGCACTCGGTGCGTGACTTGGGCGGTAAGATGGCGTCTATGCATTAGCCAAAGCTACGCGCTCGAGCTGAGTGACACCGGATTGCGCGCACTTCAAAAGGCATAAAAAACAATTGAGCGGAAAAATGGATGAGATGTCACCACTCAAGCAAAGGCGCGCGTGTGTATGAAGGCACTTTACACCCCACGGGTGCGTGTCGCCATCTATTGGTTGAACTAACGCCTTGTTCAAGATGGCTGCCATGGGACCGCAGCCTTAACGTCGCTGACGTAACCTGGTATATTTCTCTGGTGGTGAGTGCTACAACGTGACAATTTAACCTTGCAGGTTTGTGCCGAGAGCCCTGTCAGAATGGAGGTCGCTGCATCGGCAAGGATCGATGTGCTTGCGTCTACGGCTACACAGGAAGACATTGTGAAAGGGGTAATGTAACACGTCATACTAGAGACGCATGAGTTGTCGGAAATGTTGGCTGACTCAGAGGTGCATAAAGTTGAGGGTTTCATCCCCTCCCCTCCCCACGGGGGGTTGCGACATAATGAAGCGCCAGGACTGTCATGTATCGTAGACTTTTGAGTTAAATTAGGTCTTTTTTTGCGTTCAATACCCAATGTACAGGACGTTCCCCACAACAAGGGAGCATGTTTTTCGGTCCGGGTAAATAAACTATGCATCATAGAAAGCTCAAACTTCGTGACAATGTGACGTTAGCGGTTGGGACAAAATGCGAAGGTGTGAGAACATGACGTCACCTGGATGAAGAGATAATTGAGAAAGATGAAATTTCTCTATGAGGGGCCGACGTCCACCTAAGCCTATTATTGTCAAAACTAGAAGTGACATTAATTATGGGCGCATGTGAGACTTGTATCAGTAAAGATCACTTGTCAGCAAGAAAGATTATATTGTTTTCTTTCTTGCTAATTTTTATTTTCAAAGAGATGTTACCATAGCCCACAATGTGATTTCTTGTTTTGATGATATTAGACTTAGGTGGACGTCCACTGGTAACGAAATTTTGTCTTTTCCCATTATTGTTTTCTTATTCAGGCAAAGCAATGTTCTCAAACTTTCGTGTTCTATTCCAACCGCTAGCGTCATATTCTGAGGGATTTTAAGCTTTCTGCGATTAATAGTTTATTTACCTGTGCCTAAAAACGCTCTTCTTTTTTTCACGGGAACGCCATGTACTTTGGTAGAGATAGCTGGTGCCCAGTTTGGCACAAAGAAGTAAAATTGTGGGTGCGAATACGAACAGTCGAACGGCAGATCTCGAAGAATATCGCTTGCTCAATAAACTCATGGGCCACTGTCGGGAGCATATCGGAGAGTTTAATTGGTATATGGTTATAATGGAAATTAAAGCAACCATACCATGGACATCCTGTGGAGCGGGAAAATAATGGAGTAACCGAAACAACGCAAATTACCTGTTGTGTTGTTCATTCCATTCTCACTCTCCAGGTTGACATTACCAATTTACATTTCATACTATTGACGTACATGTATGCTGAATAAGTTCATATGAGAGGATGAACAAGGAAATGCCGGTAGACGTCCATATATGATCCAAGAGATCGTGGACTGAAAAAGAATAGTTTTCGTCTAGCATAAAAAGTCGCTCTTATTAGCTTTTTTTTTTTTTTTTCTTTCACCCGCTTATCTCGAACTGTCTACTGTATAAGCGCCTAGACGTTCAGTCGCCGCGATGGGAGATGCGTGTGCCACATACAGGGTGTCACAGAAGTAAATTTACACGGTCTTTTTAACCTCAAAAATGAACTAGGCATCGCCGAACGCTTTCGGTTTCTGCCGCTCTTGGCAGCAGAAACCGAAAGCGGGCAAAAATGGGCTCCATTTTCCCATTAAAATTTTCAGAAAATCACTTATAACTTTTGATGAAGTTATCGGATCGGACTGAAACTTTGGCATCTGGTTGTGACCTCTAGCTCTACCTTTGGGCGGAGAATGAGCGTTCGGCGATGCCTAGTTTATTTTTGCGGTAAAAAAGACCGTGTGCATTTTATGTTATGACATCCTGTAGATGTCTTGCTCGTGACGTCGTCATGTCGTCGCACCATGCTGGGGGCCATTCCTATACTTTCCCCGGCAGAGAAAAAACAAATTCGATGGCGCGAAATGTATGCCCCAAAAGATGCGCCCGCTCGGCAGCAAGACCACCACAATGGCCGCCGATATGACGCCAGGGCAAGCCATGTAGAAACGTTACTAGAACAACTCAGTTGGGAAACTGACAAAGAGCCTGCTTGGAAAAAGTGGCTTTGATCCGTACTCGAGAACCGAACTAATGGCGATCGCAACGCCACCATTTCTCCCGCAGCGGCCACTCCGGGAACTGCACGTCTGCACATATCCGTTCAGGTCGAGTCGCGAAAGGTCCGGTGGCGCCATCTCGCAGTGTTATTTCGCAGTCGCAATATAAATTAACTTTCATGTTTTGACTAGTCGCTAAAGGGTGGCGCTGTTGTCGTATTTGGTTTGGTCTCGGTGGACGCGAGCGGTCCGGGTTTCAGGGGTGAGTTTCCCAACTGAGTGTTTTAGTCGCTGATCTCTGCCAATTGCTGGATCGCGCTTCCCAGCTTGTTCGCTGCAGCGCGAGTGAAGCCACTGGATGGCCATCTTGCTCGTAGACGATTTGCGGTATTGCTAGCGTTGCAGAGGCTGGCGGCAGCGTGCTATAGACACGTTTTTTAGTCGTTCGTCGTCATTCACCGAAGGCGTTTTTTAAGACCCTGTGTAACTGTTGAGACTTGCCGTTGTGAACATGTGGGAAATTTTACGAAAGCGCAGTACCACAGGAAAAAGGCACAACTCGTCAAAAGCAAGTTTTACCGGTCTCGTGGCGGGATCAAAGCTTCCTTGGCCCGCTGAAGTGCTGCGTCTCTGTGCCTTCGCACGCTTGAATACCGATCAAGAATAGGCGCCGTGTGGATGTGTTTTGCGAGTGCAATGTGCATAAAGCCGTATGTAAAGGCACAACTCGTCGAAAGCAAGTGTTGCCGGTCTCGCGGCCTGATCAAAGCTTCCTTGGCACGCCGAAGTGCTGCGTCTCTGTGCCTTCGCACGCTCGGATACCGATCAAGATTCGTTTCGGCGCAGTGTGGATGTGTTTTGAAAGTGCAATGTGCGTAAAGCCGTATATACGGTTGGGCAGCGTTTTACTTTTACTCTGACTATTGTAACCTGCGTCACTCGTGGTCCAAAAACGAGCTTGATCCAGTGTCCAGTGGCGACGGAAGAGGGGGGGGGGGGGGGGGAGGGAGGGGAAAAAGGCGGCATCAGCGGAGCGTTTTTTTTTTTTTAGAGCGCAGCTCTTAGGCGCCCGTTTCCGGCTTGAGAAGCGTCGGCGTCGCCGTCGGCGTAACCCTCGTAGCCCTCGTGAGGGTTACAAGGGTTACTCTCGTAACCCTCACGAGGGTTACGAGGGTTAGTGACCCTCAGAAGGGTTACCCTCACGAGGGTCACGAGTGTTATGAGAGTTACCCTCAAGAGGGATATGAGAGTTACCCTCACGAGGGTCACGAGAGTTACCCTCACAAGGGTTACAAGGGTTACCCTCACGAGGGTCACGAGGGTTACCCTCACGAGGGCCGCGAGCGTTACCCTCACGAGGGTCATGAGGGTTACCCCCTTAGGTAACGTGGCCCCGTCATGTCACGTGACCCCCTGTGGTCACGTGACCCTCCTCGTGTCACATGACCCCCTGATGTCACGTGAGCCCCCTGAGGTCACGTGACCTCAGGGGGTCACCTATCCCTCAGTACCCTTCCATCCTACCCCAGTACCCTTCCATTCTCCTCCTCAAGAGCTGCGCTCTAATCTGGCTTTACAGGGAGTTGTATACGGCTTTCATTTTTAGAGCGCAGCTCTTAGGCGCCCGTTTCCGGCTTGAGCGGCGTCGCCGTCGCCGTAACCGCGCGGTGCATTATGGGTAAATTTCCCCACTAAATCTAGCTGAAACATTTCCCTGCTAAATCATCTAGCGGAAAAATTTCCCCATTAAATCTTTGCGGGAAAATTTCCCCACTAAATCTAGCGGAAAAATTTCCCCGCTAAATTATCTAGCGGAAAAATTTCCCCGCTAAATTTAGCGGAAAAATTTCCCCGCTAAATCTAGCGAAAAAATTTCTTCGCTAAATCTAGCGGAAAAATTTCTCCGCTAAATCTAGTGGAGAAAATTCCCCGCTAAATTTAGCGGAAAAATTTCCCCGCTAAATCTAGTGGAAAATTTTCCCCACTAAATCTAGCGGGAAAATATCTCTAGGGGGCCACGTGACCTGGGGGTCACGTGACCCCCCGTCGAGGTCACGTGACCCCCCCCCCCCCCGAGAACACGTGACCCTCAGTACCCTTCCCTCCTCCTGCTCAAGAGCTGCGCTCTAATTCGGCGTTACAGGGAGTTGTAAACGGCTTTCATTTTTTTTTATTAGACGTTTATGCAATCAAATCAGTAGTACGAAATCTTTATTTCTGTTGTGGCTTTTTCCTGCTGCAATGCGCTTTCGTAAAAATTTCCACGTGTTCTCAGCGACAAGTCTCAACCCTTACACAGTGTCTTAGACATCTTCTTCGACGAACGACGACGAACAAATAGAAAACCTGTCTTCAGCACGCTGCCGACAGCCTCTGTAACGCTAGCAAAACCACAAATCGTCTACGAGCAAGATGGCCGTCCGGTGGCTTCACTCGCGGGAGCGAGAAGCGTGATCCAGCAATTGCCATTGAGACCAGTGGTTTTAGTAACGTTGCTATGCATCCACCAACTCAACTCCCTGACGTCACGCCACTGTGGTGGCGCTCCTGTCACTTCTGCGCATGCGCGGTGCCCACACCTGGTGTGAGCGAACTCGCGCTTGTTTGTAAACATATATAACGTTGTGGATGTGGTTGTGTTTCGCACAGACTACCGAACCGGGCCGTGCTTCCGGAAGCTCCGGCAATCCTTTTGCTCCGACCAGCTTGCCGGAGTGGTGTGCACGCGCCAGCTGTGCTGCGCCACCGTGGGTGTCGCCTGGGGACACCCCTGCGAGGGCTGCCCGTCTCAGCTGGAGTGCGACAAGGGATACATCACCAACATTCACTCAAGAGGATGCCAAGGTGATTGGGACACCCTCGAGGGCGCGTTGCTTTGTCTTCTTTTAGGCAATTTTCATCTGAGCCGCCATCGAGGAAAAGCTCCGGCCTTTGGGTCCCCAGTTCGAATCCCGGCCGAGGTGCCCGTCATCTGACGGAGGCTTATTGCCGAGAAGGCGTCGTGTAAAGGCCCGTTCACACTCTTGCGACCGAGTACGACTGAGAGAGACGAGATCTCTTAGAAGTTCTTAAATGTTTTTAGAATGAGGGAACACACTGGCATTGTGGCGCCATCTATGCGGTGACCCTGGAACTGCATTTCACAAGAGCGAAGGTTTTGCGGGATTTCCGAGGTCAAATGTGCGTAATACCCATAGAAAGACTCGTTTATAGCATTGACAAAAGTTTTTCGAGCCAAGAAAGAAAGGATAATGCGCGAGAAATAAAAAAAAAAAAGTATGCCGGACCGCCGAGTTTACACTGCTTCCCAATAGATGGCGCCTGTGTTTTCTCTGGTTTAAGAAGTCTTAAGGAACCCAGGTTTAAAGGCCCGTTCACACTCTTGCTACCGAGTACGACCGAGAGAGACCAGACCGGTTTTTAAGCCTCTTACGATCTCTTAGGACCAGCTCCGCTACCGCGCATCCGGTCCTAAGAAGTCGCAAAAGGCTTAAAAACCGGTCTGGTCTCTTTCGGTCGTACTCGGTTGCAAGAGTGTGAACGGGCCTTGAGGCTCGTTCACACTCTTGCAACCGAGTACGACCGAGAGAGGCAAGACCGGTTTTTAATCCTTTTGCGACTTCTTAGGACCAGGCGCGCTGCTGCGGAGCTGGTCCTAAGACGTCGTAAGAGGATTAAAAACCGGTCTGGTCTCTCTCGGTCGTACTCGGTTGCAAGAGTGTGAACGAGCCTTTAAGAGGTCGCAAGAGTGTGAACGGGCCTTAAGATTTCGGTTGCACATCAAAAGATCCCCGGGTTATTCGAGTTAATCCTCTGTCCTCCGCTAAGGCGTGTCAGATGGCCTTCGTTTGCTTGGCACGCAAAAAAAAAAATAAAAAATAAAGAAAGAAGGAAGGAAAAACATTAAACAAAATTTGATTTGATGACAACAAACTTTTGTCGAATCTAAGGTTTTACTTTGTACAGGGAGATTCGACTCAACCTCCGAAATTTAGGAAAGGTCGACAAAGTTCGACTTATGAGCAGTGTTGCCCGACTTCTGCACAAAATTTTCGAATTTTGAGGGGCGAATGATTTATAAAGTTGTTCAGTTCACATTTCATAAAAAGACTGTCAATATTTGCTCGACATAAAAACAGACATGCGTACTATCGTGGACAATATAAGCTGCAGCAGTCCTTCATCCTTTTCTGGAGTGCCTGTACGTTTGCAAAAACGCTTCGGTACAAACCGTTCTGTCAAACGCGAAGTTTAGCTTCAGTTCTTGAAACTAAATGACAAATCGAAGGATAATAATAGCGAGATGGCAGATGCAGAGAAAGGTCGGACTGGATGTTGCAACATCCATTATCCGCGGGGGGTTCTTTTAGTGTTACAATGAAACAATATACCCACCCTATATTGCACGGCTCCACCGCCAGGCGGCGTCAGCCCGTTTTCAATTTTCCCGTACAAGCATTATATTCGACCTTCAGTCGAACTCTCGTCGAACTTTTGCGATCAAAGTTCGCTAAAGTCGAACCTGCTCGAACCTCGACGGGTTCGCGATATCCCGAGTCTCGCTGCTCCCTCAGCTGTTCGGTCTGGCTAACTGTTCTCCCATTCGTTTCCTTCTTACAGATGTCAATGAATGTGAGGCCATTCCCGGTTTATGTGACGAGGGCATCTGTGTCAACACGCCCGGGTCCTTTCGCTGCGAGTGCAAAGAAGGTTACGAGAGAAACGAACGCAGCCACAAGTGTGAAGGTGAGGAGAGGCGGGTGACGTCCTTGCCGTGTCTGAATCGCAGTTACCTTAGTGCTAACTTTAAAACAATACGAATTTGACTAACGTCGACGTTTGGGCTAGTTGGTATTGCATGGTTAAAAAAATGAAAGAACAGCGCAGAACTCGTTCGTCTACCTCCTCGTTCTTGTCCGTGTCTTTGAGCTCTGTGTGTGTGTGTGTGTGCGCGCAAGTGTGTGTGTGTGCGTGTGTTTTAACCTTAAAACAATAAGAGAATTCAGGAAATACATAGCACACTCACCGTCTGTTTGACGCATTATGACAGAAGGAAAGACAAACAGAGTACGTAACGGCCTATAATTTTTTGTGTGTGTTCGTTTCATCTTTCGTGTGTCCTCAGCTCATAATGATAATAAATGGGTTGCTTCAAGCGTATGGGCAACGTTTTAGTCGACCCCGAACGTAGACCGGAACGTACCCCCATTTCTCATCTCCGCGCCGTGCAATCTCAGATATTCGATCGTGAGGTCTCCTAGGATTTTCTGAAAAGGTCCATTAACCTGCGATGCATTTGTGTTCCCTAATCTTTTTTTTTTTTTTTTTGCTTTTTATTTGTGATAACTTGGAATAAACATTATAGTTGGTAAAATGCACACAAGCTGAACGAGCCAACACGAGTAAAAAAAATCAAAGTGGCTCAGCTGAACGCGGGATATGTGCCAATTATATATTTCAAACTATAACAGAACGTAGGAATCAAATAGTCATTATATCAAAATTATTTTCAAATTAAGTCAAATGACTTCAAATATTGAACTTGTAGTCATTCTGAAGTTCTAATCTTATATTATACAGCTGTAAATTTCTTTAAAGCCCGACTTGTTTTAGAACATCAGAATCAAAAATTAGTATATATCTTCTCATGGAGCAATTGAGAGCGCGGGCTCTGGCAGCCACAATAGTTCCTAAGTGCACGCAAATCCAGCAGTGCATACGCGGTACCGGTCATACAATGATCTGATTCTCGCGTTCATTATGACAAGAAGTGACAGAATCTGTGAATGGCAGAGTACACGAATAATGATTGATGTAGGATTCAAAGGGGGGGGGGGGGGGGGGGGCTTCTTCGTGAGCTAGTAAAGCAGGCATTTGTCAAGGTGTGTTGTGTAAGATAATATTTACGTACGGATTAGGCACTAAATGAGAACTTTGCACCGGGTGCAAGCTATCTAAGGACAAACCTTCTTTTTTTTCTCTCAATCTTTTTTTTTTTTTTTTTTTGAGGATTTAACGCCGGGTGTGGAAAATACAGTATTCCCTGCTGCTCGCGGTCAAACGACGACCGGACTGTAAAGGGTGCTTCACCGCACTGACTATATCATTGCTAGGAAGCGGCAGAGGGAGGAGCCGCAAAGGCTTGCGCTGACAAGCAAGCGAAGGCAGTCACGACTCGCGAGACTGCAATTAAGAAAAACGCTTTTCATTCCTGTCAAACAACCCGTACAAAAAAAAAGTCAGTTGAATTAATCTTTATTAGCAATGTTTAGACGGCAAGAGTATCTTTCGCCGCCTAAAAAAAAAAGAAAAGAAAAAGTTAAGGCTTGTGCACACAGTTTTCAGTGTTTTCACCTTTGACTTTGACTACGTGACAGTCACCTCATTCATGCTCCGTATATTGCCTGCAGAACTACTCCTTGAATTGGTTGGCATCCGCGAAGCTTGGCAACCAATTCAAGGAGTTGATTCCCATGGCGATTCTCGCGATCCTAACTCGCTAACTCGACGGAAGTTCTCGTAACGATGTCTGAAAACACGTTTATTAACGCATGACTGGCACGACATTCAACCCTTGCGCGAACAAGTCTAGCGGTCAAATGCTACTGTGGGGACGGGCTTTGAACAGAGATGCAAATTCTCCCCTTTGGCACGTCTCACTCGTACAGCGTCGACCGAGAAATTTCACTCCATAAGTCGAGCTCACTAAAGCCTCACGTTGCGCCAAGGCCCCCGTGTGCCGCGATCCCTGAGCTGGACCATTGAAAAGAGGGGGGGGGGGGGGGGGGGGGGGGGGGGTCAGACCACGACTGTTCTTGCACTCCTCCAGAGACCGAGACAAAAAAAACTGGCCATTGTCGCTTAAAAAGAAAAAAAAAGGTTTTGTGTATGTTTATACAGCCTAGAACTTGGTCTGCCTCAATGGGCGACGAGCCACCCAGCTCTAAATGACAAATTCGGCCAGTGCAGTACAACGTCGCTTTCGTAAAGCAATAAAAAGCGAAAAAAAAAAATCCGCGGTCGTTGATCACTTTTATTACGCTCAGCCGGTTCCTAAAACAACGCCGTGACATGGAAAGGCCTTCATCTTCGCTTTGGTGCGGGAGTTCGTCGGTTCCGAGGACAAAATCTACAAACTCCGTCATTGCTTTGTCGGTCGCCATGAAACCCAATGACCAACTCGAGCCTCGAGGAAAATATCGAGGTATAGCTCCGAAGGTATACCTTGAGATTGTTGAGCGAATTGGAGAGTATTTCCTCACCCGACTGGAGTTTCGAGTTGAGTTCGAACTATGAAGCGCAAAACCCTCCTCAAGAGTTTGAGTGCAGTTTCGAGTCGAGTAGCGTTTAAGAATACGGCCATAAGTTGTTTCTTTTTCTTCAAAGTATGTACCTTTGAATGTATACTATATGCAATTTCTTCTTCTGTACATTGCAAACTAATGTAAAATTCCGTCTCCCAGTTCCGTCTATGTTACCACTGAGAGTTCGAGAACACAAAGAAAAAAAACAGTGAACGCACCACAAAGCCGATAGGTAGCTGTTTTGTTATTTTCCTACGTTCATTGCATTCTAAAATCCCAAAACGATAAACAAACATGAACCACTCCTTCTATTCACGGACACAAAACAATTGTTGCATATCTTCTTTTGTTTTTAATAAGCTTTATCGATAACGTGGTACTACAGTCCGTAGAATATAGATGCATAAAGGTTAAAATTTTAAAGGGTTGCGGACCATAAATGGATTTCATTTTTCCAAGACAGTTCGTTATAACGGACGTGATGAATTTCGTTAATGGCAGATTATGTTAATTATGATTTTTGTGTAATACAAGCTTCTTCGTGAGGTAATTATAGCAGGCTCTTCTGTAGGTGTGCTGTGTATGGGCAGTTCTTATATGTTATACAAGAAGACACAGTCTTGTTTCACCCAAAATTTCCCCCCAAAACTATACATCAATTTTTTTTTTTTTGCAGGGGCGCATAGTTTTTTTTATAATAATAATAATAATAAATAATTATAATAAACTTCATTTCCCATTTACAAAACTTCTAGAGACACTCACTATTCGAGTTAAAACAGACTTTTTCCTGGACATCTCACAAAGCCTCTCGTCAATCCCGGATTTCACCGCGCGGCGCGAGGAATTGTAGGGCCGTTCCGAAGTATACGCTCGTGTGCGCTTCGTACACCCTGGAAATTACTGAATTTTGACTCTCTTACCGCTGTGCCAAATCGAAAACACGAAGAAAAAAAAAAAAAAGAGCGAGCCCACCACACAGCCGATAGGTACCTGTATTGCTATCGTCTTGCTTTCTTTCCGTTCTGAAATCCCAAAACGCTAAACAAACGCGAACCACTCCTATTCATGGTAACTCCTTCACGTGCCGTACTTCGAAGGGCCGTGGTGCGTTGAAAAGACAATAAAATGGTCCGTTGACATGCCATAAGCAGAAGGATGAAAATTTTTCAGCGGAACGTTACCTTCCGAGTTAGACCCTTTTCAAAAGTCCATCGAGCAACAATGGCGGTCGCCATTGTTTGTCCTTTTAGACTTGGGCTAGGTGGCGCAAACTACCTTCCGTTACAAAGGGTATATATAGCCTTTGACGTCCATCCATGGACACAAAGCGCGTGATTGGATCCGAGTCCTCGCCGAACGCTGACGTCACACCCGCTCTCGGTACGAGCTGAGCCGAGCTCACGCAGAACGATGACGCAGCCCTCGTGACCAATATATACATGCTCGGAGTATGTGAGCAAGCAGTGGCGGACAGGCGTTGGAGTGGACTTTTGAAAAGGATCTCTCCGTCTTTTCGTCTATTTCGCCGCTACTTAAAACAGGTGTGCAACAATTTCAGTGCCTCGCTTAAATAATTTGGGAGTTGGTGTCTCGACCTTTCTTAAAGGCCGACGTACACTTCGCGCTTTCCCCTTTTGACCGCCTCCTGCTTTCCTATATCCCCTCCACTTTTTACCTTGCTCCAACCTGGCTCCCCTCAAAGCTTAGGAGAGGGGGATTGCTAAGGGATTATCTTCCCTGCAGAAATTCGAGGTTGTACGGCGGCCTTTAAGTAAAGAAGAAAAAACCGCTTTTGCAGTTTTTATTTAAACAAATTGACAAATATTGGGGTTTTCGGCACCTCCCAACTCCCTCACAATCTTTGGAGTCACGTGCGCTGTGACGTGAATGGGGGACGCGCGGGGTTCCGGTGGAGGTCTCTATCTCTAGTGCCACCAGTGAGCAGCGAGAACTCACCCGCTCGCGACCACGTGCTTGCGCAGCGCGATCAACATGATGAAAGAAGCACTGTCTCGTCCGGGTCCGGCCATCCCCGTCTGGCTCTGCCCCCGTCTCCCTCCGGCTTTTGGCGGCTGTTCGGGCAGCATATAGAGCTGACGGTTTTTGTTGACCTCGGATAAATGGCGCCACTAAAACTCCGTATAATAAAAGGTGTGTTGGTTAAACCAGGTTTTTGACGCATTTAATTCATGTTGGAACGACAAGATTTATAGAAAAATTACCTTTTATCGAGCAGGTATTTGCACAACTTCCTATCTTTTTACAAGTCCCCCATTGACGTCACGCCGGGTGGTTTTCATGGCCGCCGCTCGGGAAATATTCTATTTTTTGCCTCCCGATTACGCGGTGGGATTGCAACATTTCGAAGGAAGGAGATGTGTTTTCTGAGCTTTGTGACAAAATAAACAATGGCAAAAGTAGAAGATGGAAATTCTTTCAACGTTAAAATCGTTGCACAGCTCCTTTAAAGAAACTATACATAGGTTGCACTGACGTCACGTCGCATATTTTTGGCCTCCATGTAAGAGGAGGAGAGGGAAGCTGCTTTTGTAAGAATTTTGAGTGACGGGCTAATCTTCTCTAATCTTCTGGGGGGGAGAATAGCGACGACTGGGGCAAATCCGGGCGGCACAAAAGGGGGCCCTGATAAGAGCGGAGGTTCTTCTCGACCTCCTCTCTGGTGGTCATCGGAGCGCCCTTTGAATGACGTCACGTGCAAGCCATGTATAGTCCGTTGCAACTCAAGAAGGTTGGGGCGAGGGTAAGACGAGCCGGGGAGGAGGAAGCAGACGGAACGCTTAAAGGGAGAAGGAGGTTTCACCCTCTGCTTCCTCCTCCCCGGCCTACTTTTCCTCGCCCAACCTTCTTGAGTTGCAACGGACTATAGCCAGTGCGTGGCAGAGCTTTGAAAATTCTGACCTGTAATATGGCGTCCGTTTTCTAGATATTGACGAGTGTCTTCGTGACTTGGACGTCTGCAACGGCGGCCACTGCATCAACACGGCCGGCAGCTACTACTGCCTCTGCAACTCCGGGACGGTACCCAGTCGAGACAGAAAGACGTGTCTAGGTGAGTCAATTTAATCACACTATTCGAAACGTGCATTCACCCTTGTAATGAAAATTCGATATCCTTTAGGTACCAGCGGCGTAGCGGGAAATATTTTCAAGGGGGGGGGGGGGGGGGGTCTTTTTTTTATTTTTGTCGCGGTGTAGTAGTCGATGTACTGTACAATTCACGGGGTACGGACGAGGCCGTCTTCAACCCCTCCGGTTGGCTAGAAAAATTCGGTAGTCATTCAATATTTGTCTTCCTTTACTAAAAATGAAAGACGTTTAGAAATCTCTGTAATGCGAAATTAGAGCGCAGCTCTTGAGGAGGTGGGGGAAGGGTACGGAGGAGAGAGTATGCGCCTCCTCCTCCTCCTCCTTTTTCTGTTTTCCCCTTCCTCTCCTCCTGCCGCTGAATTTGTTCATGGTTGACGTGGCACGAGAGTCGTGACGTCATTTTCCCCGCTAAATTTAGCGGGGGAACTGAATTGGCGTTAAGGTCCCCATGGTACGTCAATTTCCCCGCTAACTTTAGTGGGGAAACGTCCCACACAATGCAACGCGCGTGGTTACCCCGACGGTGACGGCGACCCCCCTCAACCCGGAAACAGGCACCCTAAGAGCTGCGCTCGAAAAAAAACAACCTTGGGGGGGAGAGGGGGGAGGGGGGGATTGACCCCTTAAACCATTCCCCTACCTACGTCACTGTTAGGTACTATGTAGGTTTTAATGAATATTTGCTCAATTCAGTTGACACTAAGGAGCTATGTATGTTGCAGAGTTGTAGAGTATACACTCCACCATATGCAGAAAGTTCTCAATTTCCCGGGGAGGAAGGCGGGGGGGGGGGGGGGGGGTGTGGCCCGCCGAGCCCGCCTTAATCTCCCCCACATATATATGTATATATCTTAAGGAAGTTGTATAGACTATGTAGCATATGAAGGCTTTAACGAACATCAAGGAAGCTCAGCGAAGTGTTCGCTCAAGAGTCCGTTCACACGTGCATGTCGGAGCTGGCGCACTGCAGCTATGGGAGCCACAGCCACCTGCCTTAGTAGCCGAGTTAGGCCTTTTGGTGGTGACGCGCAATCCGAACAAGCTCCATCATCCAACGCGTGTTTCCTAAGATAGTCGTCGCATTTGATTTGTGGTAATTGTAATTAGCGCATCCGCTCAACTGAACTGGAGCATCTTTCGAAAACAAAACTAAACTAGGAAGCACTACGTCAGCATGCAAAATACCAGATTTCGTATATTAGGACGATCTTAAATCACCATGCAATTAACACCAACAATTCTTTTTTTCCCAAGAAAATTAAAACGAGGAAGGAAGGTGTTAATCTAAATTGTGCCTTACCGTTTAGTGTAAAAGCGTTTATTCTCGCGGCGGCCCCAATTTTTCGCGGATCAGCAGGCAAAGGAACATATTAGCGATCACTAAATTTCGGTAATTCAGGAGGCCGCAACTCAGGTCTTCTAGAGACCGGTATTTCCGCGTACCCCTAAATTTGGCGATGTTTTCAACTCGCGAAATTCGCGAAAATCGGGGACCCGCAAAATTAAAGGGTATTACAATATTAGCCTAATTTGGCCTAGAGGGCTGCACAGCGGTCGCTTTGCACGCGGCTCCCATACATTTTCAATCCGCTGGCGGGGCCGGTGAGAAGGAGAGAGGGGCTGGTAATAGTTACAAAAATTTGTCCACTGACCAGCTCTGGTCACTCAGTGACCAGAGCTGGTAAATGTATGAAATTTTTCGTTTATCCACTGGGCGCCAGCTATTGATATATGCAGGCACCAGGGCGCACACATGAGATTAATGAAGTGCACCCAGAGGTTCCAGAGGTGATGGTACTTGCTTATCCGAAGAGCTCGGGAGAAAGGGGAGGGGTTTTGGTGCCCGAACCCTTCCGTAGTCGGCGCCTATGCACTTCACAAATCTTTTGACGCGAGCAAGCCTTGTCAATTTTCTCGATTTTGTCTCAGTTTTGAAGGAATACTAACCAAAGTGGTGCACATTGATGCACCCTTTCGAAGTAAAGTGCGGAAGAGCGACGAAGTCGTGCTCGGGGCTAACAGTCTTGCGCAGTGTACTTCTTTTAAATGGCCAAGGAGCACTTTCGAAGGCTTCTAGGTGTCAGTCGTTTTATACCGTTAGTGCCTGTAGAAGTCCTAGAATAATTGTTGTAGTTTCGACCGCAGCTATAAAGCTGCCATTGGTACTGGCCACCAAACTCCGCTAATTAAACAGTGAGTGAATTTAAGTATGAATTAAATAATGTGTGTGGTTTTTTATTGTTTTTTTTTTTTTTTTTTGCAATCACTTACGGGTTTTGTGACTGGCAGTTTGTTCCCGAAGTAATTGTTTTTCTTCAACTACCTTACTTTTAGGAATTTTTTAGTCTTCGTTGAAACGACCACCATATATGGTAGAACGTTAGGTGAGTTGGTGGAACATAAATCTTCAACTTAGAAACTCTAACCAAGCTTTATTAAAAAGCAAAAAATCCCGACGTTTCGGAACCAACTCGGTCCCTTGATCACGGGTGACTGTTTTTGTCCCGCGGAACGGCCTGCCCACGAACCCGAACACCCCCGGGTGTTTTCCGGATTATCCCTCTTAACCCCGAAACGTAGCTGCTGGGAAGGGTCCCCGTCGACCGGTTTATGTTGCCACGTGTGCATTGAATATGCCACGACTCCAACAGGAGGCGCCTCCGCCAGTTTTTCTCCGTTCCGAGGATGGAGCTGTTGTCAAGGTCGATGGAGTGGTTCGTCTTCTCGACGTGTTCGGCCAGCGCGCTTCCCTCCACATTTTTCTTCGCGATGTCGTAGCGGTGGCGCCGCAGGCGCTCTGGATAGTTTTTGGTTTCCCCAACGTACGACGCGGGGCAGTCACCGCAGGGAATTTTATAAACCAGTCCCTGTGTGCTCTCCCTCGGGGGGCGATCCTTTGGCAGGGGGAGAAGGCCGCCGATGGTCGAGACTGGCTTGTGTGATACCGCTATGCCGTACTGTCGCAGTACTCGGGCGAGAACCTCGCTTGTGCCCTTGATGTAGGGTACACACACGCGGGTGGAGGGAGGGGGGGGGGGGGGGGGGGGGGGGGCGTCTTGGGTTGAAGGGGTGCGTCGAATTTTTTTTTTTTTTAGACGTCGTGAACAGGCAAACCTCAACATGTTTAAAGAAAAAATAAAACAACGCTCCCCCCCCGTCCCCCCCCCCCCAAAAAAAAAAACAACAACAACAACAAAAAACATTGGTGGGCAAGAAGAAGTGCACAGAGTGCTGTTTGTACACTTCGTCTTCTTGTCCTTTGTTGTTGTTTTTTTTTTTGTTTTCTTTGGCCCTGTTGTATTTCTTTTTTAAGCACGACCACTATATAATTTGTTCACTTTGTAGCCATGTTTCCTTCATTTAAAATTGTGTTTTTTATGTAATGGTGATTTTCGGCTCAGCTTTCATTATCACCGTTTTCATGTTCCCATTGTAATTTGTTGTCTCTACTAAAAAGGTATCTTGTAAAAAAAAAAATTTAATTAAATGTTTCAGACACTAGCCAGGAGTACTGCTACACAGAATACCGAGGACTGGGACAGTGCAGACATCCCCTACCAGTGCGGCTCACCAAGGTGGAGTGCTGCTGCCGCGACGATAAAACTGGATGGGGTGAACCCTGCGAACGCTGCCCCAGGAACGGCACTGGTACGTTGATGACTGCTTTTCATATATTTGTTTTCTCCTTCATCTAAAAATTCAGTCATGAGAAGTAGACATCTCGCACACTTGGAGGTGTAGAATTAAACGTCGGGAACAGGCAAAGCTCAAAACATTAAACATATGTTAAATTCCGAGGACACCTAAGCACTTCTTATGAGTTGTGAATGCGAAAGCATGAATGTCGTTCGTCCGCCCTCTTAGTTCATCTGCGGTGTACCGGCGTGGACGGCCACGTTTTGCTACTGCCGAAGTTGCGGCCGCCGACGATATAGATGCCTCAGGCGCCGCCATGTTCCTCGCCGCCGAGAGGAGCAGAAGCGGCCGCAGCCCCCCACCCACCTCCGGCAACGCTAATATGAGAATGGCGGCCAAGCGCGCGCTCTATGTGAAGCGACCACAGCACCCCCCCCCCCCCGCCCCCCCCCCCCCCCCCCCTCCTTCAACCCCCCTCCGGCGACCACTGCCTCGAGAGCGGCGGCCGAGCGCGCGATCTCGTGAAGCGGCCGCCAATGGCTATCTATGAGCCGCTTTGCTCAGCCAATGGCAGAATGGGCTTTTCTATCGCGTTCTTTTGCGGTTACAGAAGCCGTCGGCTCAGCTCCATGCAATAATCAATGCTTTCACATTAAAAAAGAAAAAAAGAAAACAGGGTTGTGACGTAGCAAGCAAAACAACATAAGCTACGATCTGAGGGCAGCTGCTACGGCCAATAAACTTTATAACGGATGCCCATACATGTGCTGCTTTAACGGAATAAACTAAAGTGCTGGACCATGCCCCATATTTCAATTATTTGCCTTAGACTTTAAGAATTCCTGTTTAATGAATGCTTCTGTTTTGTGAAGAAAACACACTGCCCAGTAAAGAAGAAATGACAGCTTGTACCCACTTATAACGAACACAGGGATAGCGAACTATCGAATATAGCGAACTACTTCTGTTCGCACGCTTTTGTTTAACAAACTCAAAGCGATGACGCGAATATAAAAAAAGAAAAAAGAAAACATCGACAAAGTTCAAAACCATTTTTTTTTTTTTTTTTTGCGAAAATGGACAGAATCTTTAGTGCCAGAATTTCAGCAGGAAATAAAACATGCGTTGTCGGCGTGTCTTGTCGTCGGGCGGCTTTCTCCGGGAAAGAGCACATTCAACGGATTCGTTTTTTGCCGCATCATACCAAACAGACTCAGTTTTCTTGCCCCTAATTTGGTAACACACCGCGCAGCGGGACGGCGGAGCAAAAAAACGAAAGTTCCCGTCCTTCTTACCGTCAACGCAGTGAACGGACCCTATGCGCATGCGCCTCCAAGGGGCAGCGTTGCTGCTGAAATGCACGCATATGCGCGCAATGGGTCTATGTGTAGTCTATGCGCGCATGGTCCCATTGCATGCCACGAACTTTTGTCGAACCACAAGGTTCGACTGGCTCGCCGAACCCTTGACCTTGCACTAAAGTTTGAAGAAGTTCGGCTTATGGACACTGTTGCCCGGACTCTACACGAATATTTCGAAATTCGGGAAACAATATAATTTAGAAAGTAGTTTATTTTATACATTATAAGATGGTTACCAATGTTTACACCATATAAAAGCGAAAATATGCGCTTTAATGATTTAGTTAGTAAGTAATGTGAACCAGTGATGCCAATAGACCCAAGAAATATTGCACTTTTCCTCAGCCAAGTAAAGATTTTTTTTTTTTAATTTTGCACACGCGCACAAAAGTCGAACTTCTGTCGAACCCCACGTTGAAAGTTCGAAAAATTCAAACTTGGTCGAACTCGAACCTGCCCATGCACGTGTACGTGTGCGTGCCGACAGACGATTCTGGCCAGCGCCTTTTCCGTCACCACCTCTCTATCCCGCACGACGTATGTCGTTCGTTTTTGTTTACTTTCGGTTTATGTGCTTTAGTGCGACACTAGAGCTCCAATGTATACATGTGGACTGAACATTGGGCAAGAGTTGCTTTCCGCTTCGCCTAGCGACAAACACGCGGTTTCGGTTGCTGCCTTTTCTCCAATCGTATTTCTTTGCGGTCCAATCCAAATCGTATAACCAAAGTTCTGTCGCACTTTAACAACATGTTTACCCTGTTTACCAGTCGCAGCAACCGGTAGAAATGCGTCTTGCGCATAGAGGTTGCTCACGTTTTCCCACAACGCAACGAATCGGAGGGAGAAGCGCGCACCTCCAGACGCGGGCGCGAGTCGGATATTGTAATAAACAAAATGCGGCTTTTTTATAATAACTTTTTTACTAGAAATTACAGAAATAAAATAGCGGACACTTCGAAAGCCAATAAATCCTGCCTTGTGGCAAAAACAAAATGCGAACGTAAAAAAAAAAAAAAAGCGACCTGTTTGGTTAATTGAGATGTACCGAATTTCGAATATTAAAAACATATTCACGATTTCTATCGACCTGGGTATAACCGCGTTCGACTGAATTTTCGAATTTCTATGTGCGGAGAATGAATGGTTGGAACAAGAAAAAAAAATGTACCCCCAAATACTTTTGCTTGACTAGCGAAGCAGCCTCACGAGTCGAGCGTTACGATCTCGTACTACCATAGTATTTTTTGTCTTTTGCTTTTTGTTAATTTGATATTCTTAAGTTCTCTGCAGTTTTGAAAGGTAGTCCATTTTCTTTTTTTACTTTTCCTGTGCAAATTTTAGAATCTCCCGACATATGGCAGGCGCCATTTGGAACGCCGTTGAAGAGAGCGATATAAGCGCAATTACATAGTGCCTCGAAAGATACATTTTGTCACGCAAAATATATTTCAGGTAAAGCAAAATTTCGAAATAGCTGACATGAAGTTAATGAGGGATTACTGTATTATATTTGGCATCATCAATATATAGAGCAATGTACGTGTCGCTCAATCGCACCACTACACCGTAGACAGTTACTCCTGCTTACATATTGGATGTTTTGTGCTAAACTCTTAGAACGGACTGACTTGTATAACAAACATTTCTGTCGATTTTGTGGAATCTATTATAAAGGCATTGTAACTCCACTCCACGTCACTAGTTATGTGCAGTGCAGACGAAGGCAACGCCAGGCGAAAAGAGAAAGGGAGAGCACTGGGAACGCTAGAGAGGAGAAGAGGTTTCTCTCCTCCTCCCCAGCCTTCCTAGTGCTTGCCCTTCCTCCCCTCGCCTGGCGTTGCCATCGCTCATACTGCACGCAACTTGTGACACTGAGCGTAGCTGCAAGTGCATGGTCATGTCGCGAATCGTCGTTTGAAATTAAATCCATAGATAGATTCTCGGATTAGGTAAATTCCCACACTCTAGGACAGACACTGAATCCACAAAAGACAGTCTATAGCAGGGGTGGCCAGGCTGACCCAGCCTAAGAGCCGAAAACAAAACCACGAAACTTCCAAGAGCCACGGGGGGGGGGGGGGGGGGGGGGGGGGAATACTTCTGTCCATTGCAATAAACGAAACTCGAACTAGTTTCCGATCTATCAGAGTCAAAAGCAGTCCAACTGTACGTAAGGTAGCAGTGGCACACGACTACCAAACCGCCATCTGTCTTGATTTAAAACGCGTTCTATTTCTCCTTTTTGGAGAAGTGCTCGTGTAACCGGGAGGGAGGCCGGGGAAGGGGGGAGGCCGCGAGTTGCACTTTAACACGCGAAGAGCCGCATGCAGCTCGCAGCTTGGCCACCCCTGGTCTAAAGCATCCTGTGCTGTACCGACTGACCACAGACTCGGTCAAGAGATTAATCAATAACCTTTAAATTCAACTATGGTCACCGGCCAGGTGAGAACGACAGGGCATGTCCTTCGAATGCTTGGCCTCCAGAACGCGCTCCATGCCTTCTGCTGTGGTATGGCTGCACGCGTGCTCTTCAGGTGCACGAGACTCGAAAGCATTGTCCAAGGCAGGAAGCTTGCTCTGAAGGCGGGACAACTGAAACTCCTCCTTGTCTTTCTCACCTTGTGAGCGACCATAGCAAGAAACTAATTTTGTCAGACGGCACTGGAAAGACAAACTAACTGAGCAATTAATTAACAAATGCTAAAAAGAAAAAGGCATGCAGTATACTTTGTCGTACCACAATGACTCTAGGCAGTCCCTTTACTGCTCCTGCTGCTGTCACCTGACGTCCCGTTTCTCCTGTTTCTGTTCTGTACGCAGCTGAATATAAACGTCTCTGCAGATCACCTGAAATGGAGGCCAACGATTGCGACCTTCGACCTGGCCTTTGCGCGGGAGGACGCTGCATCAACACGCGCACGGGATACCGTTGCGAGTGCGGCGACGGCTACAGAGTCTCCTCCGGAGGCAAGGCCTGCGAAGGTAAATACATTTTTTTAAAAATCCCAAAGCCCAAGAAAGGTGCAGAATTCAACCTTTGGTGAAAAGCTGGTTGTCTACAACTGTATATGAGACTTTGTGTCGTTGTGTTGTCCTTCGTTTTTCCCCAGTCTCGAGGTTTTGTCTTAAAGTACTATGTTGGACCATCACCGGCTAGTTTGCACCCAAACTTTTTGTTGTAAATGGTGCCTGGAGCACGTCTCGAACTGGCGTGCTTACTGCGTCGTCGAATATGGTCCCTCGATTTCCGCCTGATGACATAAGTGTCACGCTGTTGTCTGTTGCAATCTTGGCGGTGGCACAGCAGGGAAAGTGGATGCGTAGCTCACTCTGCATTTAATTAGTCGACAGAAATGAAACGATGAGATGCAGCGATGAAAGCGGCCCTTGCATCCGCTCGCCTTTTTTCGCCAGCGGCGTGACACACCGGCTCTTGGGACATAACCTGTTAGCGCTTCGGGAACACTTTGGACGCATGTGTGGAATGGAACATTAAACACGCCAGACAATTCACAATTTAGTTGAACATATATGTTCAACTAAATTGTGATGAACTTTGGGTTTGTTAGAAAAGTTTAGAAAAGCCTCATGTACTATATGGCAGTAGTACGAAAGGGGACAGTTCATCTTTGCGCTTTTCAGTTTCACGGCTCACATAACCTTCGTTGAACCTCAACCCGTCAAACAGTATGTACCGTAAAATACCGAGAATCCGCCAATTCCGCAATGAACGCCCACCCCTCAATTTGGCAACATTTGGAAAATATATGAAAGACATATTTTTACATATTGTTGACCCAAGTAGCACACATCCTCCAGTTTTACATGATTATCTCCAAATTTTTAGTAAGCGCTTGCTCCGGATGTAACGGTAGTTTGAGATCTATACTTTTCGTTCTAGCCCTTTTATATTGTTGCCTGTAGTACCAAAGTTGCCAACATAATCTTTAAAATGGGCTAATGACGTCTACACAGTTGATGTTGCACCACAAAAAGGTGCTTGTTTTTTGGCAATGACTTTATGTGAGGAAGACAAATTATCACTCTTGTATTATTCTAAAATTGACTGTAATTGGGCACATTCTAACACATATATAATTGTGAGTTTTATGTATGTCATGAATGTCGTGTATGTGAGTGCCATGCATTTGTCTTGCCATTGCAGAGATTGATGAATGTGCTGAAAACAACTACTGCTCCCTGGGAAAGTGCATCAACACCAAGGGCAGTTTTCGGTGCATCTGTCCACCAGGATTTGATGCGACGCCCGACGGAACAGACTGCAGTGGTATGTGACGTTTCATTAAACGTAATATGAAATGCATCCTTGCTTTCGCCAAGTTATAATTCTAATTTTCATACTTTAGTATATACTTGCTGAAACTTTGTATTAAAAACATGCAAATATTGTTTTGGTCAGACATTTTGCACTTGCCATGTTGAAAGACTAGAAAAGCTCAAGGTATTTATTAGACATAGCATATGTTCCACTCCCCTTAGCCTCCTTGCTCGTGTCAATTTTTTTTTTTGTTTCTTCTAAATATATACTATATTTTCCCTAACAATGTACTTTCTAATGCTTTTTCACGATATAATTTAATTATTCCATCCAGTCTCTTCAATGACAGTACACTTCATTGCCTGTAGCTTTTTCGAGAGATTAAAAAAAAGTCAAGGACGTCTTGAAAAAGCCTAGACCAGGGGTGGCCAGGCTGACGCGGCCTAAAGCCGCAAACAAAACCACGAAACTTCCAAGAGCCGCGAGGGGAAAGGGGGGAGGGGTGGGGTAAACTTTTGTCCAGAGCAATAAACAAAACTCTAACTACTAATTCAATCTATCCCAGTCAAAAGCAGTCCAACTGTACGTAAGGTAGCAGTAGCACAAGACTATCAAACCGCAACCTGTCTTTCGATTTGAAACGCGTTCCGTTCCTCTTTTTGGGGAAGTGCTCGTGTGACCAGGAGGGAGGCGGAGGAGTGGGCGGGGGGGGGGGGGGGGGGGGGAGGGAGGCTGCGAGCCACACTTTTACACGCGAAGAGCCGCAAGCGGCTCGCGCCGCAGCTTGGCCACCCCTGGCTTACGACCTTGCACCGATCTTGGCAGGAAACCTTAGTGCCAGTGTTAGTTAAAGCAGAATCATGCATATTTGACCTTGCAATAAGATGCGATAGATTTCTCAGCCATTCGAGTTTGGGTGGTTCCCATGCTAGTTGTATGCACAAAATGCAACCGAAAGTTAGTCTGGTCAAATTCATTTATGAAAAGCGAAATATTTTGAAGGCTTTTACCGGGCCGTTCTATGATCGTCTCCCTGCTATGCACATCGGGTATCATTCATGTGCACTATAGTTAGTGACAGGTTAAGAGTTCAGGGAAACTCCTCCCACTCCTCTCCACTTTAGCAGAGCAAACGCTGGAGAGGAGGCGACCTGCTCTCCGCCATTCACTCTGCAGAAGTGAGAAGGGAGCATCCCCCTCTTTTCGGCTATAGTAACCAACTGCATAATATTCCGCGGGATGGCTCACCTAAATCCGAAAGCAATCGGGTGAAAACAGGGAGTGGGCTAACTTTCAATATACAGCCAGAAAAAAGAAAAAAAAAATTGTAGCAAAAGAATTTGAAGGCGTTTTTACCCTTTGTTCAGTCGCCCTCAAAACCTTTGAACGAGCAATCGCTATCACTGTCAAACAAAATGTCGACCACTATTTTTATGTAAGTCCTGTGACCTTTCGAACTTGTTATCCCCAGAAGGGCGGCTAGGAACCAGAGACGACTGTTCTTCCCAGTCGGCGTTTGTCGCCTACCCAACTGTCTTTGTTTCTGCCGAGGTCACCATTGGCTCAGGCAGTGTACTGGAAGCTGGCTATCTTTAAATTTTTCTTGTGTGTTTTTTAATACCAAAAATGTGCCAAAAGTAGTGGATGTTACGGTATCGTCATGGAGGTTTTTCTGCATCTAATGTGACGCCTCTGGCCGAGACTTCGAGCAATGTCGTAAAATCATGTCCACTTTTGTTGCTAGCTTCTGTGGAAACGAGGCTATGGTTACGAAATTAGCCTAGAATTTTGGTTCATTTCTAACACAGGACACACACATTATTTCTTGCTTCTATTGTAATTGGTCTTCACTTATTCTACAGATCGAGATGAGTGCAAGGAGAGTGGCATGTGCAGTCACGGCCGCTGCGTCAACATGGCTGGGTCTTACAAGTGCGAGTGTGACCGTGGCTTCACCCTGTCCACTAGTGGACGAGCCTGTGTTGGTATGTTTCATCAGTTGTTTAGTTCAATTAACTGTCTATATACTTTCTTCAAAGGGCCCTACATCTATAGTAACTAAGTAGATTTTCATAAAAGTTGCATTACAGCCCTAGAATGACAAGCTAAAACAGCAATTGAATTTCCACCAAAAGATTCATCATCTTCATTAACACAACATATATTGCAAGGAAGCCCACCTACCTGATGCACGACAACCATGCTGAGTGGCTCTTAAAGCTATAGTTGAATACGCATTGTGCTTCTTTCTTAATGATACTACCAGTGACAATAGAATGTAGCTATAGTCGAGCCCGGTTATATCACACGCGGGTATTTCAAATTACTGTTTATATCGAACAGTCCATACATCCCCTTGAAAATCACATGTAAAAGTATAGGAGCCTTGTTTTTCTGTATCGAACTCCCATGGCCTCCCATGGCGGGGACACTCGATACAGCGAACAAAAGACGGCCGCCCGTCGCCGCTTCTCCCTCGGTCGGATTATGCCTGCGGTGAGCACATAGCTCGCGCTGCGAGGCTGACAGATGCCAAGCCAGCATACGCGCACGGGGATACGCAGCAAAAAAGCAGTTGTAAAAAAAAAAAAAAAAAAAAAAAAACTTCGTTAAGTGCGATTGCTCAACAACAGTTGAGCAATCGCACTTTGAACGTCTTATCTTTGTTTACCTTTTTATTTCGCCGTTTTTGCATGCCCGCTTTTTCGTTTTTGCTGCCTGAATTTAGTGATGTTTCTTTTTTCTTACTCAACTTTATTTTATGGATCGAGAGTTCTTTCTTATGCCGCTGGGATTTTCCGTTCTTTCATTTTTTACAATTATTTTTGTGTTCTGTTGCCGGCGCTCGATCGTAAACACCGTCGCGTAAACGCGGCAGTGTTTATGATCTTTACCAACTAAGCTCTACTGTATTTAGCCGCTCTTAGAAGCTCTATTTGGTAAGGTCCGGTTTGTCGCGGTCAGAGACGCGCGGAAATTTCAACTGGAGCTTAAGTTAACATGTTTTTGTATATCAAATTATCGATATATCGAATTATTTTACGATCCCCTTTGAATGCGATATATCCGGGTTCGACTGTATCACCAGAGCTATGCATGAACTACTAAGTCCTTGTGAGCTCTTAATGTGGCACTTTTGTCATGTAATTTTAATGTAAATTCTGTCTTGCTGAAAAAGTGAAACATGAGTACAAAATAAAACTGAAATGAAAACCCTTCATAACATTTCCATAGAAGTTAAGCACAATAAAGGCAAGGAATAACGGTTAAGAGTTGAGCTTGTTGGTACATACTTGTAAATATATGAGCTTGAACTTTAGAATTAAACTAGAACACGAAGAAAGAAAGGACAGGATAGGACACACAACTGAGTACCAACGATGTTTTAGTGTAAACTTTTCCTTGCGCATTTGCTCCTTCATAGAGTCCCAAGTAGAGCACGATAAACCTATTCTATAAATTACCCTATTCCACTAATAAAGATCACTTACGATATTTACGCTTATACAAAGTATAGAAAGCATTTATACAGAATTCCCTAAAAAATTATTTTTTCTTTCTTTTGAAACTAACCCGCCACAAGCTCGTGCTGTTGTTGTTTGGGGCGTGACATTTTGTAGGTATTGTCTTTCTTTTTTGTGAACGATGATTGATAGGGTGCTGATGCAATCCTTCGCGTGCTCCTCGATAGCGAGCGCCTCGAGCATTTTGCGTGCATGAGGATTGTTGTTTCTGGCAAGAATGGTGGTGGTGTTCAAAGCTACACTGCACTGGCATGTCCTCCAATGAGCTGCCAGATGTCCTGCCGCTGTTCTCTTTAGAGACGCTGCATGCTCGCGGGCTGACGTTAATACATCGGCCCGTTTGGCCGATGTAGCATTTCCCGCAAGAAAGGGGAATGTGGTACACCACTCCTGTTGTGCATGGGAGATACTGCGTTCTGTGGGCCGTGTTGCAGGATTTTTTCTTCCTTCTTCGGTTCACTTCACTGCACATAGAATAGGCTTTGTTGGGCGCGGAGCATGCTACTTGAACGTCATTTCTTGCGGCAATCTTTTTCAATTTGTGCATAATCCCATGAATGTAAGGTAGCACCGCAATCTTCCTTCGAGTTTTGTCTGCGTTTCCGTTCTCCTGCCTTGTACGCTTCAAGTTTTTGCAGATGTTCTCACAGACTGGTACCATGAGACTAGTTGGATAACCGGAATCTCGTAGGCGGGACATCTGTTTTTCAAAACTTTGCCCTATTTGATGTTCACACGATTTGTGAAGGGCAGAGATTAGTGCCATGCTTGCGACACTTTGAGTGTCCAGATGTGAAGGGCAGAAACCCTTTTGCTGGCCGGGGTTCGTACCTCCAGCACACGTGTCCTTGATTGAAAGTCAGATTGAAGCCTAGAAATTTTATATTTTTTTTTTTTGTTGGCAGGTGATTTATAAGTGAAAACCAAGTCAGTGTAACTTTCTTGGAAGCATCCAAAAACAGTATTTCTGGATCCGTTTATATGGTCATCTATCTGCGCGGCATTTAGTATTAAGAAGTCGTCCACATATCGGATAATCGCCTTGACGCTTGTAATTTCAGGTTGTTTTCGATGGTCTTGCCAGATGCCGCCAGGTACAAATCACATAGCTGCTGCGCCACCGGAGATCCAATACATACTCCGCTTTTTTGTACCATTGGTTGGTCTTGATATACTACCACAGTCGCATTTAGATATACACCCAATAGTTTTGAAAAGGTGTCTACATGTATTCCTGCGGCGTTCTGAAAAGCTGTGGTGCCTTGCTTCTCAATGGTGGAGCGGAGAATCGCCATAAGGTTTGTGTGCCGAATCGAATAATACATGTCTTGAATATCTATTGAAAATCCAGGTGTGACACCGGCTCCATTTTCTTGAAGATATGTAATTAATTGTTCCGAATTCTTGATTTTGTATGGATCATTCGATTGTATCAAGGATAGGTGATTGGATATATATATAGGAACGTCGACAGATCGATTCGCCAGGTTCCTTTTTCCAAACCCCAGTCAGCAAAAGGGTTTCTGCCGTTCACATCTGGACACTCAAGAACCATAAAGAGAAGTGTCGCATGCGCGGCTCTAATCTCTGCCCTACACAAATCGTGTGAACACCAAATAGGGCAAAGTTTTGAAAAACAGATGTCCCGCCTACGAGATTCCGGTTATCCAACTAGTCTCATGGTACCAGTCTGTGAGAACATCTGCAAATACTTGAAGCGTACAAGGCAGGAGAACGGAAACACAGACAAAACTCGAAGGAAGATTGCGGTGCTACCTTACATTCATGGGATTACGCTCAAATTGAAAAAGATTGCCGCAAGAAATGACGTTCAAGTAGTATGCTCAGCGCCCAACAAAGCCTACTCTATGTGCAGTGAAGTGAACCGAAGAAGGAAAAAAAAATCCTGCAACACGGCCCACAGAACGGAGTATCTCCCATGCACAACAGGAGTGGTGTACCACATTTCCCTTTCTTGCGGGAAATGCTACATCGGCCAAACGGGCCGATGCATCAACGACAGAGCTCGTGAGCATGCAGCGTCTCTAAAGAGAACAGCGGCAGGACATCTGGCAGCTCATTGGAGGACAAGCCAGTGCAGTATAGCTTTGAACAGCACCACCATTCTTGCCAGAAACAACAATCCTCATGTACGCGAAATGCTCGAGGCGCTCGCTATCGAGGAGCACGCGAAGGATTGCGTCAGAACCCCATCAATCATCGTTCACAAAAAAAAAAAAAAAAAAAAAAAAAGATAATACCTACAAAATGTCACGCCCCAAACAACAACAGCACAAGCTTGTGGCAAGTTAGCTAAAAACATTTGGGGTGTAAATATCGGTAGTGATCTTTATTAGTGGAATAGGGTAATTTATAGAATAGGTTTATCGTGCTCTACTTGGAACTCTATATGAAGGAGCAAACAAGCAAGGAAAAAGTTTACACCAAAACATCGTTGGTAGTCAGCTGTGTGTCCTATCCTGTCCTTTCTTTCTTCGTGTTCTAGTTTAATTCTAAAGTTCAAGCTGATAGATTTACAAAAAGGCAAAGAATATATTAGCATACAGTGCGCAAATACAAATACTGCTAAACATTTAGACTTGGGTGCTTCGCGTAAGGTAAGCTCACGAGACCATGTTATTTTGTTTCGTTTTTATTTCTCATCTAATTTATATAAATAGTCGCATCTACTCTGTGTATTCCTAAGCACAAAGATAAGCTCATTGTGTTCCTATCTATTATAGCTTTCAAAAAAAATCTGAACTTCATGTTTCTGTACAATTTTCTATACTGACATCACAAAATATGGCACAAAGTATGTCGACATGTTCTACAAACAGTAGAGAGTGAAAAAAAAAACTTTCTTATAATTTTAGCGTCATTCTAAAAAAAAAGTTACCACTAGCTGACATTTATTTGCTGATAATAATTAAGTCATTGAATTCTTTGCCTATTAAAAATGTTCATAGTGAACATTTTCCAGAAATATTAGACTTGTTGCACTCTGATTTATGAGCCATGAAAGCTTGCAAAAGGTATTCAGATCTAAATTCCAGATCAAAAGATACCACGGACAAAGCTTTGTGTTGTAAAAACAAAATATTTCTGGAAAAAAAAAAGCTTGTCAAAACATGCTTGTTTATATTCTGGATATGAAACTTTGTATTGATGTAACTATTTGAATCTGTACTTCCTGAGTTTAGCACTTTAAAAATATGTTGTTCGTAACTTCAAAATAAGAAAACAAATACTTTACAAAGTTTTTAAATGTTTAGAAGTTTGTGTGTTTTTTTTAATATTTGAGGCTCCCTTAAATGTCACATGGTTCAAATGTGCAGCATTAGTGCGTGTCTGTGCTGAAGCAATTTCACCGTAAGGTCATATGACAGTTAATGTTTAGAAATAAAGCCTCACGTCGAATGAATTGCAATTCAAGCCAGACAGGTTCGCTTCATGGTTAACATATACATTTTTTTTCTCTTCAAACACAGACATTGATGAGTGTCTGGACAACAACCGCATCTGCCTCAAGGGTGGTGTCTGCGAGAATGTGCCAGGCAGCTACCGGTGTGTCTGCAACAATGGCTATGTCCTGTCCCAAGACGGACAGTTCTGTGTAGGTGAGCACTTGTCCTTTTGATTTCCACTGCCCAAGCTTGCTTTCGCAAGATCTGCCACTCTGCAAATGCACGCCTTACTCACATTTTTAAAACCATTCGATCGAGGTCTTTTCAGATGATTGCTTCACAGGGTGCCGACTCTCAGAAATGATTCTATTTTACAGATTTGGCTTCATGTCATATAGCGCCGAGTTTGCATGCTAGTTTTGGTGCCAAAATTGCTTGTGTTCTAGCCTCAGTGTTCCTAGTGACAGAAGTCTGCTATGGTTCTTAAATTTTAGACATAGCTAGCTGGCAGTTTTGGCAAACGACTTTCTTTTTTTTATATCTCTATGTGTATTTACTCGCAGAATGAACGCACTTTTTTCCGAAAAATCGATGCAAAGTTGGGGGGGGGGGGGGGGGGCGTTCATTACGCGAAGTAAAATTTTTGCGTCCGTAGTTGGGGGGGGGGGGGGCGTTCATTACGCGGAGTAAAATTTTTGCGTCCGTATTTACTCGCATAATGAACGAACCTTTTATCCTGAAAAATCGACGTAACTTCTTATATTTTTGCGCGCGGCGCGCGACCCCGTAACCAAACTGGGCAGTACAAAAAAAAAGCTCTTTGTTTTTTTTTTCTCTCAATTTCTTGATTCCTTTTCCGCCTTTCACAAGCTGTTTCGTTTGCTTAGGCGTTGCTTAGGCGAGGGCTTTTCCGCTTATCTTTATCTCCTTGCGCACGATGCGCGACCCCTCGTAACCAAACTGCGCTGTGCAAAAAAAGAAAAAAGTTTCTCTCTGTTTTTTTGTTTTCTCTTAGTTCCGTGGGTTTTTTTTTTTTTTTTTTTGCCGCCTTTCGCAAGCTGTTTGGTTTGCTTAGATGTCCTTCTCCGCTTCTCTTTCTTACCTCAGTAAACAGGATAACTGGGCGAGTTGGTATGGATTCATAATGGAACAGCGCGAATTTTTGCAAGGACAGAGGAAGGAACTGGACAGGACGAGCGCTTACATCCTTGCGCGCGACGCGCGACCCCCCCCCCCCCCCCCCCCCCCCCCGCAACCAAATGCGCTGTGCAAAAAAAGGAAGAAAAAAGATCCTCTTTGTCGTTTTTTCTTAATGCTAAAGTTGAGGCTTGGGCGAGTTGGTACATACTTCGGAATTAAAAACAGCGCGGAAAGACGAGGACCAGACAAAGAAGTGACACGGACGTAGCGCTTTTTTTCTCTTAATTCCGTGTCTTTTTTTTTTTTTGCCGCCTTTTGCAATCTGTTTTGTTTGCTTAGAGGGCCTCTCCGCTTCTCTTTCTTACCTCCTTGCGCGCGGCGCTTGGGCGCGGCGCGCGACCCCGAAAACCAAACTGTACTGTGCAAAAAAAAAAAAAAAACTCCTTTTCATGTTTTTTTTTTTTTTTTTTTTTTGCTTCCGTTGGATCTTTTCGAATTTTTTAACGCCTTTTGCAAGGCGTCTTGTTCGCCCACGCTGCCCATGCATTCGCGACGTCGCTGCACCAGGATAGAAAAGTGCATTCATTTCGCGCGCGCGTGGGGGGAGGGGGTTAAAATTTTTACGTCCGAGTTGGTGGTGCGTTTAATACGCGAGTGAAAGAAAGTCGAAATTTTGAGAGCTTCCATGGGGAGTGCGTTTATTACGCGAGTGCGTTCATTGTGCGAGTAAATACAGTAGATAGGGTTCGGAGTTTTCGGTTTAAACCAATAAAAACTGATAAAAATACGCCGAATTCATTTCCGAAAACTCGGTTTTAGCCGAAAAAGGTTTGAACAGAAAAGGTTTAAACCGGCGTTTTCAGTTTAAACCGATAAAACTACGCCTAATCCGTCTTTAAAAATTTGGCTTTAACCAAGAAAGGTCTGTTGTGTAGGGCCGCATCAAGGTGGGTGGGGGAAGGGGGGGGGGGGAGAGAAAGAGAGAGGGCTTTGCAAGATTCGACATTGTGTGACGTCTTCGTGATTGCCCTCTTCCAAGGCTCAACATGCAACAAAAGAGGTCTTGGATTGGCCTTCACGGGACATCTGTGTCCTTTCTGTGATCGGGCATAGTGTGTCGAATTCCGGCCCCCCCCCCCCCAAAAAAAAAAAAAAAAAGTTTGGATGTGGGCTAGTATGAGGTTTTTCGCTTCATGCACTTCAGAGGACATCGAGGAAAGCCGTTAACAAGTTTCTTAACACCTTCTCTCAAACTTCCCTGTGGTTAAAAACATAATTATACAATGAATTTTTTTTTCTTTTTACAATTTTGCTGGTTTTTGTACGGTCATCACCTCAGACTGTCACGTCGTCAGAATGGGAGGGAAAAAGAAGCGCGCTGAAGATTATGCCTGCGAATTCAGCGGTTTTGAGATGTGTCCTGACGGAAATTATAGCGAAGACAACGAATGTATATGTGCCGTTATTCTTTGAGTGATCACAAATATCACAGCTACAAGGATCATCTGATCCGGTGTCCGATGGTGTTTCTTTCATATATTCACCGAAATAAACCTGTAAACTTTTTTGGGAATAAATATACACCGAAAAAAAAAACGAAAATTGAATTTTAAAATAAACACCGAAAAAAGTATGCCGAATTTTTTATATAAAAACCGAAAACGCGGAACCCTAGTTATAGAACAGCTTGCAGAAAGTTACAAAGAAGCCTCACTTCCTTACACCGCTCTCATGCTATAGTGTGAAGCCACTGCAACGGTAGAAATTTTAGCGTTCGTGAAAATCAGATTTTTTTTTCAGGGCGACAAAGTCACGAAGGAGGACATGAAGATCAATATTTTAGAATGGCAATCTTATTAAACTGAGAATGGTAGATGATTTTAGCCCAGAAATTGTGACTCCAAGAATTTACAAAGCTTTGTATAAGCGTTAATAACCTCAAGGGGGATTATGGATATAGGCGTCTGTAGCTTGGTTACCTTGCAGTTCACTTTTAAGAGGGCACAAATAAGATGCAGGGCCAATGCCTAAAGAGGTTAATCTGGATTAAACTGTGAGTGCGTGAAGTGAAGTAAAATAGGACAACAAAAACTCTAACCATCGGAAATTCGAAAGCCCGTGGTTTCAAGGCCAACTCGGCCTCTTAGTTATGAGTGAGTGTTTATGTCCTGGTCGTCTTCAAAAGTGCCCAATGTCATCTTTTCCGAAGTGCCGGGTGTCTTTGAAATCGCCCGTTGCGATTGTTGCATTTCAAAGTTCAGAATGTCTCTTAGTGTTCGTTTTCTCGACATTTCCCGCGTCGAGAAATCCAAAGATGTAGTTGCCTGCTAGCGTTCCAGCAGGCCGGGTGACATTCTCTTGGGTGTTTTGAATATGTCAGGACTCAAAAAGACACCAGGCAACAAGAAAAAGATGATACCGGGCAGGCACTTTGGAAGACAATAACAAGGACGTGAACAGTCACCCGTGATCAAGGGGCTGAGTTGACCTTGAAACGTTGGGTTTTCAAATTTTAGATAGAGTTTTTCTGTTTTATTTTAATAATTCATAACCAGGCAGATGTCTACCGAAAGATTCATTTTTATTGAGTAAAGTATGGTGACAAATATGGTAGGACATCTCCTTCAAATGCCTGGCAATCGACACACGCTCATTGCTCTCCATCGTGCTTCGACCGCACGTGCACGCTTGAGGCTGATGAGATGCAGAAGTGCCATCGAAGGTAGGGAGCTCGTGCTGTAGAAAGCACAACTGAAAGGCCAGCTCGTCGTTCTTACCCCGTGAATGACTATAGAGGTCTGCTACTTTTTGTTCTCTTCTAGCTTTTTGTCCTCCACCGAGTTCAAGCACAGTTCAGTACTATATGCGAGCTTTCCCTGCTTGTGCTTGCAGATGTGAACGAGTGTGCAGACACGAACATGTGCCAGAATGGAGTGTGCATCAACATGGATGGCAGTGTCAAGTGCAGGTGCAATCCGGGATTTAAACAGTCTTTCGACGGGCATCATTGCATCGGTACGATCAGCTCAAATGAGACAATCTGACGGTGAAGTTACCATAACAGTGTTTGCTCCGATTTTGGAGTCCTGAGGCTTTGCAGAACAGTATGCTAACCGCAGATAACCGACATTTGCATGCGGACCGACTATAAATGTTAGTAATAATTTTTTGTTTACACTTTAGTACAAGCCTTCAGGTTGGTCAAATGTTGAGCTTTTCCATGAGGATTTACACCACTAAGGTATATTAGTAATTTTAAATACTTAAAGTACAAGGAATAAAAACAAGAAGGAAGTTCACAGAAGACCACACCCTTTCATGCAGCCAAGAGTCTGGTTGTCCGTGAACGTCCTCCTTGTTTTTATTCCCTCTCCTTCAAGTATTCATAATGGCGACACGCTCACTTAAACTAGTAATTTTAGTCACCTTGAATTTTATTTTGGGACTGAATTTTTCTGTTTCTGCCGATACTCATAATCGGGAATCTATACAGAAGTTTTGTCAGGACTCCCCTTAACAAGTTAAAGCGTTAATAAGAGTCTACTTGTGCATTGCAGACATGGATGAATGCTACGAACTGGAAAACACGTGTGGGAGTGGACGCTGTGAAAATACTGTTGGTAGCTTCCGGTGCCTTTGTGATGATGGTTTCAGCATTGGTCCTGGTGGAAGATCCTGTATTGGTAAGCTCTATTTTTTGAACCATGGCATTAACTTCTATATTTTTCTTTCCGATATAGTTGCTTCAGAAAAAGCAGAGCTACTTCACTCAGTTGCGATAAATGTGAGATGATGTACGATTCATCTGCAGCATACACCTGGCATGTGCCCCTGCATTGTATCACCAGTTTGTTTTGCAATATCGCAAAGCAATCTTCGTACAGTTATGCTTCCAACATAATATAAACTAAAAACAAGGCTCAGTGCCACACTGACAAACACATATTTTGGATAATGTAGGCAGAAAGAAGGAAGACCATGAAATCGAAAAGAAAATATAATAATGTATGCATCACTGTGTGTCACCAATGACTCACTTGCAGAAAGACGTAAAAACTTCCATGGTAGCCTTGTAAATTAGTGTTCAGCTAAAATCTGACACTTGCCCCAATGCAGATTGTGAATAAATAATTTCTCAAGATTTCCACTCATTTTTTTAATGAACTAGCAGATATGTTTGTTTTTTTTAGGTGAAGAAGCTTTTTCTAGAAATAATAATTTATTACATTTTGTCCGGTCAGTACGGAGCACAACTTCTTGCAAAACTATAACACTTTCGTTTCCTCAAAAATACATTATGCGAAAACAAACAACAATCAGTGCAACTGCGACCTAAACTTACGACATCAGGCAGTGTGAAAAAATATGGCCCGTATTTGTCGCTTTCTGCGCAAGTAGTTACAAAAAACAAATAAGCCGTCTGCACGCTTCTCTATGACATTCATGCTAATGGTGTGGTCGACCGGATGACTATATTTAATCTGCCTGTAGGATGAGTAGCAATCATCAATTTGCAATCGAACCTGATGATGCCTCAAAATAATTCTGCCTTTGTGTTCCATTCAAACAATTAAACACTGGACTTCACTTCACTGGCTGTAGTGTTGCGAGCGTTGTCCAAAAATTATGAATTTCCTTCCATCCTGTTGAGCCCACACACTCATCCAGTGCTGATAGTGATAGTACTTTATTGCACTTAAAAGTGTGTGATGCCGTTCAGTGTGCAGGTGATGAGGGAAATTCGTGCGCCCATACACATATATTGTGCCCCTTTCACCAGCTTCGGCTGTCAGTAATCACCGCCAGCCGAGGAAGCGCAGGGTATGGCGAGTTCCGAGCATTTCATCGTCGCTCCTGATAAGAACGCCAGAGAACCAATCGCAAAGCAAGGAGCGTAAACACAATATGGATGGATGGATGGATGCTAATGAGTGTACCCTTTACAATGGGCGGTAGCTTGCGCCACCTGGCCCAGGAGCCAAAAAGCATTCTCTTTGTTTCCTTGTTGCCAGACCTAAGGCAAAATCAACTAAACGCTTGCCCTTTCAGACACCAGGCGCGACTACTGCTACACGATGCATCAGAACGGAGTGTGCGGCCAGCCCTCGACCATGCTCGTGAAAAAATCGGCCTGTTGCTGCGCCGCTCATAACGGAGGTCAGGTCGCCTGGGGTGCCCAGTGCAAACCGTGCCCGTCTCCCGGGTCCCCGGAATACTCCAGGCTGTGCCCCAACGGAACTGGAACTGGCCCCAGTGGAGAGGGTGAGCAGAAACTACTATATTTTCCGGTGTATAATCCACAGCAGCGAATTTCGGGTGAAAAAAACAAATGAGATTTTCTTTAGACAGTCCGTACCCGTTGCATAGTCAGCAGAAACAAATTTCGGCTGAAACAAAAAGTTTTTCCTCAGAACTAAGAAAAAAAAAAAAAAAAACGTTTTTCCTTTGCGTTTGGTTTACACCGTGTAATTCGCATCTTGTGCATATTAAACACGTAAATCAATTCTCCTACGCAGCACACCTTGAAAAATGCCTGCTTTATAAGCACATGAAGAAACTTGTATTGTGCAGGAATCATTATTCACATAGTCTGTCTTTCACGAAGTCCGTCACGTCTCGTCATAATGGAACAGTATTGAAAAAACCTTCTTGTATAGTCCACACCTCTAGATAGTCAGTGCTTCATAAAATTTCGACTTTTAAACGTGTGTATAATCAGTGGACTACACACGTTTGCAAGTCCGGTCTCAGGGCGCAGCCATCTTGCTCGACTGAAGTGCGCTTGGACGCATCATAATCCGATTACGAAGCCTTGCTAAGGTGTCGTAATTGGGTCATGGCTGGCCCAAGAGCGCAGCCCATTGAGCAAGATGGCGGCGCCCTGAGACCAGACTTAATGTCTCATTAAGCTTTTTCTTATGGTACTTTTGTTATTTTTACGAAAGAATGACAGTGCAGCACGAAGGTTTTGAAGCCATGATAAAATTAAAAAATAGGAATTGGATCGCAAAAGCGACCTAACTGACTAAATTCCCTGTGATATTGAGAACTAGAAAGGCAAGGGCAGGCCGACAGATCTAAAATTTGATATGTTATAGTCATTCGTGAAATTATGAGGATAAGGTAAACAAACGAAGCTCGGCTTAAACCTAACCAAGTCCTGCTTGTGCAGCAGGTTCATGTAGAATGAAATCTGTTCAAAGGTGTCGCTGAACAAAGTTAAGAAATGTTCCCTTCTGATTTGATCAACAACCGAATTTCCTCGAAATTTTGTACAATGAAGAAAATTTTCTTTTGAATCAATGTACCTTTGATTTATCGGGAATTGGTATGGGTTGATGAACAATGTAGGCCTCTAAAGCTGGCCTTCAGTGTATGTGAGACAAAGTATGCTTGATATATTTATCTTTGGATTTATACACAACAAAAGTAAATTTATACTACCTAACTACTGCAACCCCTTCAGCTCTAATTTCCTTAAAAAAATCTTTCTTTAATCTAGCGGGGTTTGAGCCTCCACTATTTGACCAAGCGATCAGAATGTTATGGAGAAAAAAACATTAACACTGCTTTTTGATGCACATCACAAAACATTCGGGCAACAGACATTTCTACAGTTGCCGTCAGTAAAATGCATTTTTCTTATATTTATTTATATATTTATTGAAATAACCCCACAGTGCCCGTGAGGGCATTATAGTGGGGGAGGGGCAAATGCAAAATGAACATGACGCCAAAGAACACTTAATTGCTTAAACAGTCAAAACTGAAAAGGTGACTTACCCGGAGCAATTAACGTGAAAATAAAAACAAACGAACAAACAAATAAACTAACTAGGAGTAATGCTATTCATGATTTTGGCAAGGTACCACCAAACATTGCCAATATATACACAAGGTAGGTGGTATTAACATTCCGAAACACTAATGAACTCACAGTCTATGGTGTCGTGTACCAGGTAGTGGTTTCAAAACTCTGAACACTTCAGTGCAATGATCTATCACAAGGGTACTTACAACTTGTTTATTTTGAAGATCCCCTAGCCACCTTGAAAGGCATCCAAGGAACCTTCTCGGTAGCATCCCTCTCGGTAGCATTTCAGTGAAACAGTTTAGAGGTTTACATACATTGTCCACACTAGCACGCAGATTGTGAAGAAAGATGATAGTGCTTGGATGATAGTCATGGTTCGATGCATGGCTCAGTTCCGCTTAAACAAAAAAAAAAGATTTCACTTTATAGAGCATGAATAATGGGCAAAATTGACGTGCTTGAAAAGCCCTGAGGGATCCCTGTTGGGTTCCTAGTAAACTCCGGATTTATTGGAACAAAATTCTACGAACTGTTTTTATTATATGTTGAAATGTTTTTCTATTTTAAATGGCCCCCCTGTATGTTGATGCCTTAGCTTATGCTTACACTAGTAGTGCTTTGGCATGTGCAGCTAGTGTGCAGAAGTAGTGATTTCCGTGTCGCACGACCCTAACCTGCAGACATCAACGAGTGCTGGGTCTTCCCCCAAATGTGCCCCAATGGTGCCTGCGAGAACCTCAAGGGAAGCTACCGCTGCATCTGCAATCCAGGCTATCAGGTGGACAACACAGGCAAGGTATGTTCAGGTAAGTTTGCCGTGAGAAATGAATAAAATAAATAAATTTATTTTGGGGTGATAACTCTCCTGAGCTACCTATAGCTGATCAACACCATAACTCCTACTGCTCTTCCAGATATAAACGAATGCAAGGTCAACCTGCTGCTTTGCGAGAATGGACTCTGCCGGAACACCCCAGGGAGCCACCAGTGCACCTGTCCTGCGGGCTACCGACACAACGCGCATACCAGTACCTGCGAAGGCAAGGCAAATTATCGGCGCATAGGACGCAGAGCAAAGTGGCGCTTTCTTCTCTAACAGTTTAGAGAATAGATGACGCTTATCACAATCCCGACTGTCAGAGTAAAGGCCCATTCACACATTAGTGTTTAGGGTACGACGAGTTAAGACTGCGAGTCACCAGGCACCTGTGCTTTGCCGGCAGCAATCAGCTCTATGAACGACGCTTCATCAACAGATCATTTTGTTGACACTGCAACGTTTGATCGCCAGTTCGCGTCATCGAAAGGTTCCTGCGTTTGTCTTATCAATACACCTTGCGACGTTTCATCAAAAGTGTCCTTCCACACATGTTGCCTCCGCCACCAGCATCCGGATGTTAGCCTAGCTTGCTGAATCCTCGGTGGTCCTAATGAGGCCTGGTGCAAGCTTGGGTCGGAGGTTGTATTAAACCTTCACCGTCACCGAGCAGAACAAAGCGAAGCGAGGGTCTACTGCACGTAGCGCAGTCTGTTTGGAAGCCTAGGATTAGGGCTTGTGAATTTACTTTTGCCATATCGGAGCCACCTGAGCGAGTCCACTTCAGTTTAGGTATGCTTCCTGCAAATGAAATAAAGCCAGCAATCCTCTGCAATCCACATACAGTCGAGCCCGGTTATATCACACCCGGATATTTCGAATTATTGCTTATATTGAACAGCCCAAATATCCCCTTGAAAATCACATGTAATAGTATAGGAGCGTTGTCTTTTTGTATCGAACTCCCGTGGACTCCCATGGCAGGGACACTCGATATAGCGAACTAAGCACGGGAAGCATGGCAACCCTCCGCTTCTCCCGCGGTCAGATTGCGCCCCGGGAGCACATAGCTCATGTTGCCGCGCTGGCAGACCGCCAAGCTAGCATACGTGCACGGGGATACTCAACAAAAAGGCAGTTGTAAAAAAAAATGAAAAAAACTGGAGGATGGCAAAAGCAAAGGAAAGGGATGCGCACGCGTAGGGAGGGCAGGGAGTGCTCCTTAACCCCAAAATAAAATACTGTAAACGACTTAATTTTCGCGGGCTCAAATTTTCGCGAATCGGCCCAAAGCTGAAAATTTGAAATTATTCGCGGGTTCTAATTTTCGCGAATCGAGCGTAGCTTCCGTAGCATTCACAAATTGCCCAAATTGTTCGCAGGACGTATTTTTCGCGAATTGTAGGTGATTCGCGAAATTCGAAAAAATTAGGTCCTCGCGAAAATTTTGTTGTTTACAGTAAGCATAAAAAGAAAGTCTTCGTCAAGTCGAGTGTGTCGACAAAAACGGTTGAGCAATCTCACTTTGAACGCCTTATCTGTTTACCTTTTTCTTTCGATGTTTTTACTTTGTGCGGTTTTTCTTTTTTTTTTCCCTTTCTTTTTTGCTGCCTGAATTTAGTGAGGTTTCTTTTTTGTTGCTTGCTTAACCTTATTCTATGGATCCAGCGTTTTATGTTCGTTTTTATGCGGCTCGCTTTTTCCGTTCTTTCATTTTTTTCTTGTTTGTGTTTTGTCCCCCGTGCTGTACGATAGCAAACATCATTGCTTAAACACGGCGGTGTTTGTGATCTTCACCAATTAAGCTCTACTGTATTTAGCGGCTCTATCTGGTAGGGTCCCGTTTGTCGTGGCCTTTGGTATTAGCAGAGATGCGTGGAAATATCAACTGGAGCTTAAGTTAATATATTTTTGTATATCACATTACCGATATATCAAACTATCTTAAGATCGCCTTTGAATTCGATATATCCGGGTTCGACTGTAGTGAAAAGAAAAAAAAGTTGTCAACAAAGAATCGCAGGGCATGTGTCCACGAAACAAGTTTCCACGAAACTTCATAGTGTCACAAAATGTGTGTCCATGAAACGTGTGTCGCTGAAGAGTTGTTTACAAAAAGTGTTTCCACGAAATGTGTTTCGACAGAAGTATATGGAACCATGCTTCGTATGGTCCCATGCAAAGCTATTCCTCGGTTTCATGCAGCATACAAAGCATAGATGACTCGATAACTTGCACTCATAACTTGACGCAAGTACTCACGACATGGTCAAACGCTACTGTATAAGTTGCCCTTAACTGCTTTGAGATGTGTCCAATTCACTTTCAAATATACCACAAGCAGGTTGCTGATTGCTTAGCCAGACCTGAGGCTTTCCTTGTTGATCAGTCTCATTGAAATCAATGTCGCTGTTTTCACCTCGCCGTCGAATTAAATTATAAGCTTCAGTCTATTAACACACCACAGCTTTGTAAGCTTCCGTCTGTTAACACACCACAGCTTGACGGTACTCAGTAAAAGAAAGCATGCGCTGCACACTCATGAATTCAATTCGCATACTTGCTAGGTTTCATACGAACTGAAGATACAGCAGTGCACATCCAAAATTACTACTATTACTAGCCCAAGTCAGAAGTTGCACTGTTCTAACCCAGTTTTTCCTCGGCTACAGATATGCAAGATGTTAGACAAAGAAACTAAAACAAAATCTCTGCAAGACTTTATTTTCAGACAGAATCTGACTTTTGAAAATTTTCTGATATGCTTCTTACAAATATTATCATCAGGTTTGATACCGACACTCCTGCTACAGAAACCTTTGCGTTTTCCTCGCTGATTTAAAATGCTCTCGCTGCAGTATTGTCAATTTTCTTAGCCCTCTGATCTAACTGGACGATTTTCCGCGCAGACATTGACGAGTGCAACGGCAACGGAAGAGGTCACTGCGTTGGGGGTGTCTGCATAAATACGCCAGGAAGCTACCGCTGCGACTGTCCCTCTGGAATGACTCTCGACGCGTCTAGGCACGTCTGCATTGGTAAGACAATTTTAAACATCCATATAAAATTTCAAGGCAACACCATAACAAACTTTTGCCTCTTATTTAAGTCTCACACTGTCGGTTCCAAAATCTGGGTTCCTAAGAGCCTAGGCGTTCCCCAAAGTACCCGTATAAGTTCCCCAAGTCCTCAAGTTCCGCGAAAATTCCCGAAGTTCCCAGTTTGAGCACTAGAGGAGCAGATATGAGTCACCCACTGATGTACGGAGGTAGAGGTAAAGACGGGAGCAGAGCGCGGCACATCCCGAGCGCTGACGTTGGAGGTCCCAGGAAAAAGAACGAGAAAGAAGGAGACAGAAAAGCAGAAAAAGAAAGCAGACGGAACGTTAGGCTTGTTTGTTTTGCCTCGACGAGTTGAAGTTGTTCGAGAGCTTGTTAACTTCATTTATTTTTACTCAATGCGTGAGTTTAGTGTTTTTCTGCAAGGTAAGCTAGAAAAGAACTAGGTACAGACCTTACAGGCAATGTTTTGTTGCTTTTTTCTTTTGCATATTAAGGCATCGCCAGCAATATGGTCCATCGGGACTACCAACTGGAACCACCCATGTCAGCTTCAATATGCCGCCGTTCCGAAGCAACCCAAATGCATGGGACCTTTCCCTTCTGATTATTATATTAACTTTATGTTGACGTATAGACGCTTTTTACACACGCGCCAGATTACAGCTGCCATTGCTGACCTTCTTTGTCTCACAGAGATACAGAGTCACTGAAACGGGTGTTGACGAGCCTCCAGAAAGGCGAATGCTGGGTAGAAGAACGCAATAGAATTTAAGATGGCCATAACCTGGCCTGCTATGGTAATGATGAAGTGAAGAAAATGGAATAAGAGGAAACAAAAACTGAAGGTCAGTTATGGCGACGCCCATGCACAGCTGCTGCAAAGCGTCTATAAGCATAACCCAAACCCTCCTTAGTATGTGTGTCATTGTTTACAAGCTCTGTAGGCTCCTGCTCTGCTGTATCACCAGCATCGAGACCGACAGGAATTCCTCAGTCATCAATCAAGAAAGAGATAAGGATGGGTTACCCCTGTCTCAGCGAAATATTGGCTGCCTCATTGGCTTCCATGAAGCTCTTTTTCAGGCTCCTCCTGCCAGCTTTAACAGCCCACCGTGTTATCTCTTCTCTGTATTTCAAACATGCAGATAACCGTAAGGGTTCGTGCTGGCTGAGCGTGAGAGACGGCCAATGCGAGAATGATGTCAAGAGGAGCATGCTTCGGTCGGAGTGCTGTTCCTCCGTGGGCAAGGCCTGGGGTAGCCCCTGCCAGCTCTGCTCTGTGTTGGAACAAGGTACGCTTGCTGTGTTCTTGGTTCTGCGTTGGCAGTGTGCACTTAATCATCAGCAGCAGATTGTTACCCACTATATCAGTTCACTGTCGCACGTTTCGTTCTGTGTGTTGTTTGAGAAAAAGCCACGTTTTGGCTTGGAACGTCGGCATGAATGGTTGTTCTTTCTGTGGTGTTGCCAAGGGCACCAGAATGTCATCACTGAGCTTGTGCGCTTTTAACCTTATCCTAAAACTTCTCTTTTGTATTCACATAAGCTCTGCGTGGGAAACTCTCAAGCCCAAGCACTGACGTCTTCAGGGTGTCAGTCAAAAAAAAAAAAAACATGCTTTTTTACACAGCAAAAATGAAAAAACAAGCTTTTTGCACCCGGAAAAAGAAAAGTGGAAGTGTGAGGGAAAGTTAACTCGAGTGATTTGTTACTAAATTAGTGGTATCATACCAGTTGGAGGTGAAAGGGAGAATGCTACATGAATGCTGTAAAGACCTCATTTTGCTTGCTCCCCTTTGTAGCATAATGGTGCTGCAGCAGTACATGTCAGCTGGATAGTACCTACCTACCTGTGCTTGTTTGAAGGCATTCGAAGTAATTATATCAAAATTAAATGGGCTTTCTTTTTGTTCAGTTATTCTTTATTGCTTTAGCTGGATCATGTACATCTTGAATCGCATTAATATTTATGTAATTTAGGTAAATCACATAATCAGTCTAATCATTTCCCATGGGCATTGCCAGGAATATGCTTTTAGATGAATAAAAGGGGGAGGGTTGACATTGTTTATCGACGTTTCATGATCTGATGTTGCTTTTTGGGCGATTGATGACTTCATGATAATATATAACATGGGAAAAATCTTGTGAAAGAGTAACCACCCCCTCCTTTCTCTTTCGCTGCTAGGCACCGATTTGGTAAGTGACTCCAAAATTTCTAGGGGTCCTAAGTTCCTCGTTCCTCCCCATCCTGAATGTTTTTTTCTTTCTTCTCCCCATCCTCTTCCCCAACTCATAGCCGACCAAGGCAGGCCGCCTCGGTTATCATCTTCGTTTTCTCCTCTGGCTCCTATCTTCTGGATTAGCCAGCATGCAATTTCCACACTCCTCTCACCCCTAAGCAAAACAGTGTGGTGGAAGCCATGTGCTCAATGGACCAGTTTTGCGTCTGTCTTCTGCAATGCGATCCATAGTCCCGCCCATACCCACGCAAAGAGGGCAGAGCCAGGCGATGAAAGGGAGGGGGCTGATTAGTCCGACAAGCGCGTTGCAGAAGCGCGTTGCGTGCACTGTCGCCTTAGGGGAGAACACTTCGTTGTCTTGCCTAATCGTCACCCCCGTTACTCCCAGATCCAAAAGGACGAAAGTGCCCGAAAGGTCACGTGATGCTCGATGGGAGCACGTGCACTGGTAAGTCGAACGCTCGCAGAGTTGCGCTCTTCGCCTTTTGTACCAGTCTGGTGGGCTCTCGTGCCAAGTCCAGCGTGCAGTAACCCCGTCTCTCCAGACGTCAACGAATGCGAGCTGTTCCCCAACATCTGCCAGGGAGGCGGCCTCTGCGTCAACAGCGAGGGCTCGTACAAATGCAACTGTCCACCGGGACTTACGCTGGACCCGGGAGGAACCAAGTGCATTGGTGGGCAAACCGCTCCTTACTTTTTAAAGTAATGTGCACATGAATGGACGGATGGTATTAGCTGTACCTTTCGTATTGGGTGGTAGCTTACGTCACCTTGTCTAGGAACATTTACACCCGACCCTTTGAATTTTTCTTCAAATTTCATCTGTTGTGAAACAGTCTTGAAGTTGCTGTAACATGTTTTATGTAATAGCAAAGCTAGGACAGAAAACATTGACAAAGGCAGCAGAAGGAGCAGTGTGCGAATGATTGCACACCGATCTGGCAGCGGTACTGAGTCACATGCTCACCACAAAGACACGTCAGACTCTATTATTGGTCATGAGCGAATAGTGGATGTTGAGCTCAAAGAAAATAGTGGTTTTGGCCGGATATTTTCTAATTGAATAATGAATAGTTTTGCTTTGTTTTGACTTCTGTAAGTAGATGTCGTGAGTGGCATTCGAGCGACCGCCGACTGCAGCGCCGCGACGCGCCTACGCACGGGGTACTCTCGCCCCGGGGGGGGGCCAGCGAACGACGGCAGAACGGCGCAACCATGCAAAGACACGGCTGTATGTCGCCGACCGCACGTATTGACTTTAACCCGTAATAAACCGTTCTTGTTACACCCGAACAACGGCTACGACATGGTGGCAGCGGCGGGATCCGTCCACAACACGAAGTCAGCGAGCAACCGCTCCAGGTAGGCCGTACAAGCCGCACGAAGCGTCCAAGCAGTTGCGCGGGAAAAAAACGTTAGGCCTCGCTGCCAAAGCACATCCTCGGACAAAGGACCACGCCAACTGGCACGAGGATGACAACGTCCCAGCAAACAACGCCTCTCAACCCGTTCGTGGTCGAGTTACCGGAAAAACTTGACCTCCGGCGACCGGAAGATTGGAAACGATGGTTCACAAGGTGGGAACGATATCGAGTGATCTCGGGCTTGAAAAAACAAGACAACGAGACTCAAGTGAACACACTGGTGTACGCCATGGGCCGGGAGGCCGAGGACATCTTGGCCTCGCTGAAACTAACAGACGCCGAGAAGCAAGACTACGGAGCGGTGACGGAAGCGTTTGGAAAGCACTTCGTGCCAAGGACGAACGTGATATACGAGCGGGCGAAATTCAACAGCCGTAAGCAAGAGCCACACGAAACTGTTGACGCTTTCGTTACGGATCTTTACAAGGCGGCCGAAACCTGCGAATACGGGAACCTGAAAGAAGAATTGATCAGAGATCGTCTCGTCGTTGGACTGATCGACGTTAAGCTGAGTGAAAGACTTCAGCTGGACTCGGAACTGACATTGGAGACCGCCATCACGAAGGCGCGCAATTCCGAGGTGGTCAAGCAGCAACAGAGAGAGATTCGCGGAGGTGAACAAGCGACCCCGGCCGTCGACGAGGTCAGAAAGAATTGCCGCAAGGAAACAAGAAAACTGCCCATCCAAGCTTCCTATCAGCACAAGAACAGGACAGAAGCAGGACACTGCAGGTGGTGCGGCGTGACACAAGCACACAAGACAAGGTCTTTGTCATCAAAGGACTGAAAGAGGCATTGCTAAGCCGACCAGCAGTCGAGTCTCTTGGCATACTACGGCGACCACTCGAGCTTGGGGAGACATGTGCGAAACCAAGCAATATCTCCGATCTTCTGGCACAGTATCCCAAGTTGACGTCTGGACTCGGACTAATGAAGACCGAATACCACATCAAAGTGAAGGATGACGCCAAGCCCTATGCCGTCACATACCCAAGGCGAGTTCCTCTTCCACTGCTCTCACAAGTGGAGAACGAATTGGAAAGGATGAAAGAAATGGGAGTCATCAAGAAGGTGGAAAAAGCAACGGAGTGGTGCTTCCCGATGGTTGTTGCCAAGAAAAAGAATGATGAACTGAGAATTTGCGTGGACTACGGTCAACTGAACCAACAGATAGTCCGCGAGCGCATGTTGATGCCGACAGTTGATGAGTGTCTCGCAAGGCTAGCCGGTGCAACAGTGTTCAGCCGCCTAGATGCTCGAGCCGGGTACTGGCAGGTGCCTCTCGCAGAAGACTCGCGCGAGTACACAACTTTCATCACACCTGTTGGACGGTTCCAGTTCCTCAGACTGCCTTTCGGAATATCGACAGCACCTGAGTTCTACCAACGAGAGATGCTCCGGCGTGCTGGAGGGGCTGGATGGTCTGGCGTGCTTGCAGGACGACATCATAGTTTCCGGACGGACAATGGAGGAACACGACAAGAATCTACACAAGGTGTTGAGCCGACTGCAACAATCCGGAGTGACCCTCAACGTCAACAAATGCACCTTTCGACAAAGCAAGGTCAAGTTCCTAGGACACGTGGTATCTGCAGAAGGAGTAAGTGCTGATCCAAGCAAGCTGGAAGCCATCGCTCAACTTGAACCACCGTCAGACGTGTCCGAAGTGAGGTCCTTCCTGGGTTCGACAAATCACTTGGCGAAGTTCCTTCCCGGTCTGGCAGAGATGACAAGGCCACTTAGGGACCTGATGCACCAAGATGCAGAGTGGTTTTGGGGTCCGGTTCAACAACAGAGCTTCGACCGGATCAAACAGGCACTCTGCGCAACACCAGTTCTCGTCCACTACGACTCCCAGCAGCCGCATACACTCTCAGTCGACGCTTCATCCTACGGGCTGGGAGCCGTTCTTCTGCAGCAGGCAGGCGACAGGCTGTCACCAGTGGCGTATGCATCACGCTCACTTTCTGAAACAGAGCAACGATACGCCCAAATTGAAAAGGAGGCGTTAGCCATCACATGGGCATGTGAACACTTTCGCAAGTACCTCCTGGGATCCACATTTCATGTAGAAACGGATCACAAGCCTCTTGTGCCGCTGCTCACAACCAAACGACTAGACGAGCTCAGTCTTGTCTCCAACGCTTTCGAATGCGCTTGCTAGAGTACGACTATACAGTGTCACACACTCCTGGAAACAAGTTGTACACTGCTGATTTACTGTCCCGAAAGCCGCAACCAGAGCCAGCCAAGGACGAAGAAAGAGACCTTGAGAGCGCTGTGCAAGAGTACGAGGAGTTGACACTGGAGCAGCTGCCGGCGTCAAACCAAATGTTGGACAGAATCAAGGCAGGCATCCAAGCAGACCCTACACTCGCCAGAGTGGCTACTTTGTGTACCTCGTCATGGCCGACCGTACATGGACTTGCACCGGAACTAAAGCGCTATGCAGAGGTGGCGAGTGAACTTTCTATTGTCGACGGTCTGCTATTTAAGGGTGACAGACTCGTCATCCCACCAAACCTGAGGCTTGAGGTGCTGGAAAGACTTCATGCCGGCCACATGGGCACGAGCAGATGTCGCGCAAGAGCAAGACAGTCGGTGTGGTGGCCTAGCATCGGAATGCAGGTACAAGACTTTGTTGAAAGATGCTCTGTCTGCCTACAACATCGAAAGCCACCAACTGAGCCACTGCTGCTGACTCCGTTACCTGAAAACCCATGGGACACTATCGGCATTGACCTCTTCAAACTCGAAGGGAGAGACTACATTGTGGTAGTGGACTACTACTCCAGGTTCCTGGAGGTGGAGCAACTAAAGGGCACTACAACAAAAGACATCGCTCGAGTCTTGGAACCAATCTTCGCACGATTTGGAGCACCAAGAACCGTGCGGACAGACAATGGCCCACAGTTTGCCTCAGCTGAATTCAGGAACCTGGTGGAACGTTGGGGGGCAGACCACGTAACCTCAAGTCCATACTACGCCCAGAGCAACGGCGTGGCAGAGCGTGCGGTCCAAACAGCAAAACAACTCCTGAAGAAGTCAAAGGACATAAACCTGGCTCTTCTATCGCACAGAGCTACGCCAGGAGTCGGAAGGTTTTTCACCCAGCGAACTGCTAACGGGTCGCCGCCTGAATACGCCTGTGCCAACCACAACCAAGATGCTCGCACCTAAGTGGGACGACGGCGACTTCAGGCGCAGGAATGAAGCGTACAGGGCGCGAGTGAAGCAGACCTACAACGTGCGTCACAGAGTGAGAAGTCGTGAATGCCTGCCGCCAAAGACAGTGGTGCGCATACTGAGTGGTCCGGCATCCTGCGGTACAGTGACACGGCCAGCAGCCCAACCAAGGTCCTACATTGTAAGCACATCGACAGGACTAACACGACGCACCGGGAGTCACATGCAGCCAACGGCGGTCACTAGGAGCGGACGACCAAGCAGACCACCGGACAGGTTGGACTTGTAGCTCAGCTCCCTACTCCTAAGAAAGGGGGGTGTCGTGAGTGGCATTCGAGCGACCGCCGACTGCAGCGCCGCGACGCGCCTACGCACGGGGTACTCTTGCCCCGGGGGGGGCCAGCGAACGACGGCAGAACGGCGCAACCATGCAAAGACACGGCTGTATGTCGCCGACCGCACGTATTGACTTTAACCCGTAATAAACCGTTCTTGTTACACCCGAACAACGGCTACGACAGTAGACTCTCGGTAATTCGAAGCTCACAGGGACAGCAAAATGCTTCGAATTAAGCAAACTTTGAATTAAAAAAAGCACATTAAAACTGAGTTTATTTTATTCAGTACTCACTTAGGAGAAGAACTGGTCGATCTTAGATTGTTTTCGCTGACGCATCCGCGCCACCGTCACTCGGCTCTCCAAGTTAAGTGAGGCGTCTTCGGCATTCTCTTCGCCCGAGAAAAAACGTTCTACGACGCCCAATGCAGTTTCCGCATCATCGGCACACGGCGCGGGAATCGACGGCGGCGAGAGTTCCTCGTCGTCAGAGTCATCGTCACGGTGTTGATGTCGCTGGCCTGTAATAAGGCGGAGTCTCCTGAGGGGGCGGTTCACCGAATGATACTTTAGCGAATAGTCGGGCGCCGCGAAGCGGCGTTTACGTGTGGGCCAATACACACACACATGTGGGTTCACATTTTTTGTAATGAGCCGCCGCAGACTGTCGCCGCGAAGCGGCGTAAAGCGCAGCGCGGCGGATGGGTTAAAGCGCGAGACACATGCGCGTCAAAACTGTCCGATCCGGCGTGCGAACTGTCGGGAAGATGGCTGCTCCGAATCGCCGCACAGGACGGTTCGCGACACATGGTTTCCGACGCGTCGTTGCGTCGCTCCGTTTAGCTCCGCCCAGTTTCGGGTGTCCCTCTACCAAATGGATGGATGGATACTAATGGCTATAGTTATAACGGGCGGTAGCTCCCGCCACCTAGCCTAGAAAACTAAAATACTTCCCTCCCCCTTCTTGGTTTTTCTGGCTTTAAAACAAACATAATATTTTTATTACCTTCTATTAAAGTGTGCGTGAGTGAAGAGTTTCCGTGAGGCTATTTTTCTGCTCAAAATCACTTAATCGCGAAAGACCGCAGCGGACCTTAGAGCCATCCCAGCGAAACGAGCACTGCGTAAAAATCACGTGACTACGTACCGCGCACATAACTGCGTCTCTCCCGAAGCTCACATGACATTGGAATGGCTCGTAGCGTCCACTGCTGTCCATCCTAAGGTGAAACGGAGTATATTCGGGTTTCGACGGGCTTGATCGGTCCCAGAAGGCAGGCTTGCTTTGGCGCTCGAAATCAGCAGCTCGTTTTGTGCGCGCGGGAAAACTCGATGGCGTCCGTTTCCTTCACAACCACGACCCGCCGCGCGTGACGCACAACGCACCGCCACATCCGCTTCCCCGAACCACATGGCGCCTCCTCGCCCGATCGGTCCGAAAGTCACTTGACAACATGACCTTCGCCATCCGTGCTCATTGGCTGCGGCCACTGCGGCCTTCCGAAAATCGGACCGTGCGTGCGGCGATATCTGGCAAGTTGGACGCACGCGGGCGCCGCACGGAGCCCCCGTCCGACGCTCCGGTGCGACGAAAACCCTCGCCCTCGGACGTCGTTCCGGCGGTTCGCACGTCGGATCGCATGGCTTTTTCGCGCATGTGTCTCGCGCTTAACGCGCGCCCCCGTTATTCGCCCGGAGGCTCCGCCTTATTACAGGCCAGCGACATCAATACCATCGTCACTTCCTTGCACCACCACACCAGGCCTAACCACTTTGATTATTTCGACGTCCGAAAGCGGACCAGAGACCTCGACGCGCTTGTCAACATCGACCGGAACATTTCCAAGGGCTTCCCTCAGTTCACTACCTGCGGGTACCTCTTCTGGCCCAGCTTCGTCGGCGATATCTCCAGTCTCGCTGACGGCGTCGACGGTGACGAACCTGCAGTGACGAACGAGCCAACACACTTTCTTTCGGATCTTCATTGTCAAAACTCCCGCACTCCCGCTCGCGCCGTTCCGCGTTTCCGCCGAAACCTTCTCGCCACATATCTCCCTCTCTCCTCTCGAAGGGAGAGCGCAGAGTGTGAGAGCAGAGCTGGCAGAGCCCAAAGCAAATAAGCAAACAGCCGCGCGCGCAAGGCTGTTTACTTCCACGCCGCCGAGCCGCAGCGCGCCGTGGCGCCGTCGCACATTGCATCAGATTGCACCATCCCTAGTGCGGCGACGCCAGTGACGCGGCCGCGGGTCGTGGCGTTGCGTATTCGCGCTTGGCGCTTGTTTTTTTCGCTCTCGGGGTTTCCGGACTTTAGGCGCAGACAAAAAATCCTGCGAATTAACCAGCTCCCAACATTTAGCCTTCGAATTACCGCGTGTTTTCCCACATAGCATTGTACATACGATTGCCGGGACCAGGCCCATGCTTCGAACTAACCGAAAATTTGAATTATGCGACTTTGAATTACCGAGAGTCGACTGTATATGCCACTACAAGGGAGCAAGGGGCTCCATTAAGCTGTTACAACTTTTTTCTCTTGTTTCCTCCATTTATGTATAAAAATGGAAAATAAAGTTCCTTAATAAAAATAATAATAATAAAGTATTTCACTACCGTGCACCATGCTTAAAGAAAAATTCGACTGAACTCGCGAAGGTTGTTCCCAATCTTCCCCTTGTCTGCTTATAAGCTTAGTTCATTTTAATGTAGCTATATGAACTGTGACATGTAAACGAGATATTTGTTGCAGCTATCCTAATCGAGAAAATTTATAAATCTGCTTCTACAGTCGAACCCGGATATATTGAATTCAAAGGGGATCGTAAAATAGTATTATATATCGATAATTTGGTATACAAAAATATGTTAACTTAAGCTCCAGTTGAAAATTTTCGCGCGTATCTGCTAATACCGAAAGCCGCGACAAACCGGACCTTGCCAAATAGAGCCTCTAAGAGCCGCTCATTACAGTAGAGCTTAGTACGTGAAGACCACAAACACCGCCGCGTTCATGCGACGGTGCTTGCGATCGTCTACGCCGGGCCATGACCTCCACACAGCGCCGGCAACAAAACACGAAAATAATTTTAAAATATGAAAAAACGAGCGGTTTAAAAAAAAAACAAAAAAAACTCTTGATCCATACAATAAAGTTAAGCAAGCAACAAAAAGAAACCTCACTAAATGCAGGCAGCAAAAAAAAAAAAGGCAAAAATAGGCAAAGCAAAAACTGGTAAAGAAAAAGGTAAACAAAAAGAAGCCGCTGAAAATATGATTGCTCAACCGTTTTGTTGACACACTGAACTTGACGAAGCCTTTTTTTTTTTTTTTTTTTTATTTCGGGGCTAAGGAGTTGCGCAGCGACAGCGGTGTTCGTGAAAAGAGCGCACACTACCGTTCCAACAGCAGGCACTCCCTCCCCTCCCCACACGCGCGTGTCCTTCCCCTTGCTTTTGACATCCTTCACGTTTTCTTGCTTTCTTTTTTTTTACGTTTTTTTTTTTTTTTTTTTTTTACAACTGCTCTTTTGCTGCGTATCCCCGTGCACGTATGATGGCGCCCGCAACACGAGCTATGTGTTCGCCGCTGGCACAATCCGGCCGCGGGAGAAGCCACGGCGGCCGTGGTTTCTTTGCTATATCGAGTGCTTTGCCATGGGAATTTGATACACAAAAACAATGCTCCTTTAATATTACATGTCACTTTCAAGGGGATGTTTGGACTGTTCGATATAAACAATATTTCGAAATACCCGGGTGTGATATAGCCGGGCTCGACTGTAGATGCCAATATTGTTTCTATTCCAAATTTGATAAAAAAAGAAAACAAGCCCGAATGACGCATGTGGGCTGTCAAGGCATCGCTGCCCACCATATACTCTTCCATACCATATTATCGAGACAGATGCCCCACACACCTGTTCGCCATTTTTTTTAAAAACCCCAAAAACTATCTTGCGTGTGGTAACTGCAGGGTAAAGGCCAATGGTGACCTAGGCAGAATTTGTGTTACTAAGCCACAGTGGGAGATAAAAGAACATTGCTAACTGGAGAGGACTTTCCTATGCTCCATTGCCTTTCAATGTAAAAACAGGCTTAACAAGTCACAAAAATAGTAGCATTTTTTTCTTTTTTTTTTTTCACACATCGAAAGTTAGCTTGCACCTCATTTTCACCCAATTTGTTCTCACTTTTAGGTGGGCTTTCTCTTCGGATATTACGGTAATCGTTCCTAAGTTAGCCCCGTTGAGTGCACTTCTCAATGAGCACCTGTGCATTGCGGGGAAGCAATACCCGCGGAGTGCGCGAGCTCTGCGGGTATTGCTTCTCCGCAGTGCACAGGTGCTCAGTGAGGAGCGCACTCAACAGGGCTAACCCGCCACGATCAACACTTCGAAAAGTATGAATATTGCAGTTCACCTCAAAGCAAATATCAAATAGCGTATTATTCAAAACTACTATTTGAATATTCGCACAACATTACCTTGAACCTCACAGTAAACTTTTACAAAAGGAAGAAGATACTAAAATTAAATCAAGATGTTCTAGTACTGATGATAGTACAAGCTTGAGAGCCCTAAAGTAAATATTTTGGCTTAGTAAAATAATACCTATCAACAAAAACTTCCACTGAGATAGTGGTACTGGTGTGGAAAAAACTATCTGAATCACCTCATAATCCAGTTTACTGCATAAACGGCACAAACAGCCTATTGTAGCTTGTTCACAATTGCCTGAAAATCTGTAAAAAAACAAAACAAAAAAAAAAAAAAGGCCCCTACAGCACATTTTAAAGGAAGTCTGTTTGTCAAATTGAGTTTAAAATCTGAGCTTCCACTAGCGGAATTTGGCACATTCCTAATAAGAATGAAAAAAAATGCAAAAACATTTCTTTTTTAATTTACTAATTGATGACATGCTTGCCAGTTCTACCAATGACCAGACAACACTGTCCTGTCTTAGCTTCTATGATTATCAGAGAAAACAAATTCCAGTGTTGCTTGTGTCGGCTTTAGATCTCCGAGAAGAGTCATGCTACTCTTCGTTCGAAGACGGGCGCTGTTCACGGGCAATGTACGGGCTCTTCCGGAAAAGCATCTGCTGCTGCACCGTGGGCAAGGCTTGGGGCTACCACTGCGAGGCCTGTCCGAGACCTGGAACCGGTAACAATCATTCAAGGATGACTGATCTTATTGCATATCAAGGTGCGGTTTTATACGCCTGATGGAGTCGCAAAAAGAACTATGCACCGTCATGCATTTTCAATTAGACCTTGTTACGCTATGTAGACTGTCAGTTCAGAGCAGTCAGAAGTACAACTCTGGCGCTATCACCTTTGACACTCTCATCTTATTCCTTTCAAAGTGCAGCTCTTAGGTGCCCATTTCTGCGTATAGCGGCATTAGCATCGCCGTTGGCATAACCGTGTGCATTGCATTATGGGACATCACAAACCTATACACAAATTCGATTCCCCGCTAAATTTAGCGAAGAAACTGAATTGGTGTGTAGGTCTGTGATCTCCCATAATGCAACATTGTGCATCCAGTTTACCCCGCTAAATTTAGCGGCAACACTGACGTCACATGACCTCAACACCAATTCAGTTTCCCGCTAAATTTAGCGGGGAATTGAATTGGTGTTGAGGTAATGTGGTGTCAGTTTTCCCGCTAATTTTTGCGGGGAAACCCACTTTGTGTAGAAGTCACGTGACCTGAAGTCATGTGACATCATTTTCCCGCTAAATTTAGCGGGGAAACTGAATTGGTGTTAAGGTCACGTGGTGTCGACTTTCCAGCTAAATCTGGCGGGGAAACTGTGACATCATGTGACGTCACTGGCCACGGCTTCACGAAATTTGGAGCAACTAGCCAAAAACGTTTCACGATGAAACAAACACCGCGTGTGTTGGATTATGGGGCTCTCACCGTAATCTCCTAGTCCTCCCTAACCTACCCTCAAACAAAAGCAAAAAAAAATATATATATATATATTTCTATCTCAAAAAAGAGATTTGTAAACATTTTTTTTTTCGTAAGTCACCTGGAAAAAAAATTGGTTCTCCAGAGTGCATTGCTTCACCGCAGAAGAGGGGCAGGATAAAAAACCTGTGCACGCATCTTCACCGTAGCGCGTTCCAACCAAAAAAAAAATTTATACCAGACAATCTTGCCCAAAGTCATGCTACGTGCGACCTGTCAAGATGCTGTCATGTTCAAAGTGACTAGTAATCTTGTTCCCAATAACCTAACAGCAGAGAAGTTGGTCAGTGGGGTTTGTAAACATCTGCGACCGACCACGCAACTCGGAAGAAGTCCGTCGAAACTGATCAATGATTGGGGTGTGGTTTCAGAGGCCTACAAGGAGCTCTGCCCCAAGGGGTCCGGCTATGGCCCAATCAGCCGAGGTGGCGACGCCCTAGTCCCCGCCACCATTGGTAAGACAGCAGTGCAGCACATGTGATGCTATATAGTATTGAACTAAACTGACATGCTCTGTTCCAGACTTGAATGAATGCCTCTATTTTCCTGGCCTCTGCCAGAACGGGCGCTGCCAGAACAGCATCGGCAGCTTCACTTGCACATGCAACCAAGGATTTGCTCTCGACCAAGAGGGGATCAACTGCACAGGTCAATTCTTATTTTTGCTCTTCATATTCCATTGATTATGGATTTTTACTGTAGCAATGGGAAAAATTAAGAACAGTGATCCATAAGCTCTCGCTGCAAAATCTTGTAATTCGACAATAACTACAGGTGGATCGTTAGCCGAGTGCATTAGTGCACTACATTTCAAAGCACGTGGAGTGAAAGCTTGCTTTTCAAAAACCATGAATCCCGGATTCAATTCTGACACTTGCCCGTTTCAATCTGCATGAGCACTGAGCGGCACTTGTTTATGTAATCACTACTGTACGATGCACATTGAAGACCCCAGGCTAGCTGTAGTACTGCACTGACCGAATTTCTTATCCACGGCGGAGACACCGCACGCCCACTGGGGCTGACTGACAACCCACCATCTAAACTAACACGCAATACAATTGCTCTTAGTTATGACAGTCCTATCTATTAATCCATTCATGTTTGCCTTTTATCTCGCTCATCCACATAAATGGATAAACTATAGTTGCTGACGTTATCTGGCGATTTTTCGTTGTGCCAATGTGCAGACATCGACGAGTGCAGCATCACCCATGGAATCTGCAGCAACGGAACGTGCAGGAACACCGCGGGATCTTTCCTGTGCGAGTGCAACGATGGCTTTGAGAGTGCCATGCAAGCCTGCATGGGTGAGTCGCTTTCTTCGCTACTACCATAGTCACTGACAGAGTAAGAACAGCAGGGCATCTTTCAAATGCATGGTTGAGTTGCTTTCTTTTCTACAACCATAGTCACTGACAGAGTCAGAACAGCAGGGCATGTCTTTCGAATGCATGATTGAGTCACTTTCTTTGCTACTACCATAATCACTGACAGAGTAAAAATGGCAGGATGTGTCTTTCGAATGCATGTTTGAGTCGCTTTCTTCGCTATTACCATAGTCACTGACAGAGCAAGAACAGCAGGGTGTGTCTTTAGAATGCATGGTTGAGTTGCTTTCTTCGCTACTACCATAGTCACTTGCAGGGTGATAACGGCAGGGCATGTCTTTCAGATGCATGGTTGAGTCTATTTCTTTGCTACTACCTATAGTTACAGAAAGAGTAAAAACAGCAGGGCGTCTTTCGAATGCATGTTGAGTTGCTTTCTTTGCTACTACCATAGTCACTGACAGAGTAAGAACTGCAGGGCGTGTCTTTCTAATGCATAATTGAGTCACTTTCTTTGCTACTACCATAGTCACTGACAGAGTAAGAACAGTGGGGCATGTCTTTATAATGCATGGTTGAGTTGTTTTCTTTGCTACTACCATAGTCACTGACAGAGTAAGAATGGCAGGGCATGTCTCTAGAATGCATGAGTGAGTTGCTTCATTCGCTACTACCATAGTCAGTGACAGAGTGAGAACGGCCAGCTGTGCCTTTCGAACGCAAGGTTGAGTCGCTTCCTTCACTATTACCATAGTCACTAACAGAGTAAGAACGGCAGGGTGTGTCTTTCGAATGCATGGGTGAGTCACTTCTGTTACTACCAGTCACTGACAGAGTAAGAATGGCAGGGCGTGTCTTTTTAATGCATGGGTAAGTCGCTTCTTTGCTACTACCATAGTCACTGACAGAATGAGAATGGCAGGTCTTGTCTTTTGAATGCGTGGGTGAGTCACTTTCTTTGCTTACCATAATCACTGACAGAGTGAGAACGGCAGGGCGCATCTTTTGAATGCCTGACCTACAGCACACATTTGTTGTCTTCTGCTGTGCCTTGACTCCATGTGCATGCATGAAGCTCACGAGACACCGACGCTTTATCGAAGGTAGGAAGCTCATGCTGGAGGCAGAAACTGAAGGGCCTTCCTGCCCTTCTCATCCTGTCAGTGACTACAGTAAACCAATTGCATACCAGGGCACAATGTGACGTTAGGCTAAGCAAACAGGAAACAAGCTGTTGGCATAACCAATGCCCGAGTTGTAAAGCTGCAGCGATTGATGCATCATGTCTTCATCTTATAATGATTTCAGTCTTACATAATCAGTTTAATGGTGTTGCACATTTGTTTATGTATAAATCTCTGGTTTTACAATCGTCTCTTCTGGTAAATGTCAATATTTCAATAATTAGGAAGATGCTTTTATTTCTGCACTGTGCCGCTATTGTACGGGAGGCGTGGGGCCCCCCAAACAATATGGTGCCCTCATAAGCAACACATGCTCTTCGTTCATCGGAGTTGTCTCCCCTCTCCTTGTGGTCCTGGAGACTCCACAAGTAGTACTTCTTCTTTAGTCATCTCGCTGTTTATCCCTATCTACATTAAATAATGACCCTGATATGTCGCAGATGTGGACGAGTGCTCTCAGATAAGGGGCCTGTGTCGTGGTGGACAGTGCATCAACACCCCAGGTTCTTTCCACTGTGAATGTCCACAGGGGCATGAGCTCACTCCAAACAGAAAGGCGTGCAAAGGTAAATATTCTCACATCTTGCAACATAGACAAGGGCATGACTCCTTTACAATACATAGAAAAATAGCTACACACTTGCTGTAATAGCTTAGCGATTGAAGGAGGTGAAAAGTCTTTGATAGGAGGGTCTCCAAACTTTTCGGCTCAGGGGCCGGATTGGGTATCTGTCGCGGTCTCAAGGGTCGGATAATAAATATTGCAATATAAATATATAAATTAGAAATGCTAAATAAATAAACCTTTATAAGTATTGTAAATGCAATTGAAATTGGTAAAGTCGATGAATACATATACCTTGTTTTCCAATTCAATAAGTCGCTAATTAAGACGTTAAAAATAATTGCGACCTAGAAAACTCACCCGGCCTAAATCGAAATGAATGGCAACTTAAGCATATTCACAGAGCGCAAAAAACTAATGAGACTGGTAGTTCTGATAATGACCATGAACAATATGTGACACAGAAGTCTAAGCACGATATACATAAGAAAGCAAGGGGATTTTGTCATGTTTACACAGCCATGAAACAAGGGACTATGGATACTAATGATGGTAATAAGAATGTGCAATAAATAATATGGCGAAAGAACCATGTTTTGATGCAGTTTTTCTCATTCTTTCTAATATTTTCTTTTGTGTTTTTATGCTCGTCGCAACACCTTTTTTTTTACACACTTTTTATATTTGTTTATGTGGCACCAAACTTGTTGACAGGTTGCAAGACGTTTGGTGGTGTGAAACGAATTCTGAAAGAGCTTATGCCAGCAAAGAAACAATTTTAAAGCAAAATATAGTGTTTCTAGACTGCCTGCTCAACTTGCAAGTAACACGACACGCGACGTCAACCCGCTTGAGAGTGCGAAAAAATTCAAACATTGTTTTCAGCATAACCTTATTTGCCATTTTCTCGAGAATGTTGTCGCGGATGGAAACGGATTGGCCAGCGTAAAACTAGAAATAAATGTTTAATGGGCGAACTTGTGCCAGAAACAAAAGGGAGAATGAGCGTCATGGTGCCGACGTGACCGGTGGTTCGAGCGAGACTGCGAAAGATAATGATTCGGCAAGGCCACCCTCGGCTCCTTATTTCCTACACTGTGTATCTCAAATGTTAGACCTAGAACCTTGGGGAGTGAGCTAGGGCGAGACCGACTCAGCAGGGCCACGTTGGCCTCCTTAACTTATACACTCAGGGTAAGAGTGAAGTCTAATCTTCTAGAAGTATGGAGAAGCGTTCCTTCTCCGCACTACTAAATACTATAAACAAAATTACGAAATTTGTTTATAGTATAAGCTAACTTATAGGTAAAAGTAGCCTGCCAGGACGAATAAAAACAAGGTACCCTAAAAATGTGCTTCGTTTAAATAGCTCGAAAGACTGCCGGAGCTCCCCTTTAATGTCTTCTATACAAATTTTAATAATTCCTTGTTATGTACCACAATCCATGAGTAATTATAGGGCTTTGGAGATAGAGGTGGTTGTAATTTTTTTTCTTTTGTCTTTTTACATTTGCAGATATTGACGAGTGCAGTACGACAAGTGGGATCTGCTCGAATGGAATTTGTGAGAACACGATGGGGACCTACCAGTGCTTCTGCAACCAAGGCTACAGGCAGAACAACCAGCAGACTAGCTGCGAAGGTATGCATTTCGGCATAATTCGAGTCAGCTCTTGGCAAACAATGCCGAAGCTGGCTGTGCACCCATTAACTTCTGAGAGTATTCTTTATCTGCAAAAGTATAAAATGACAGTTCTTTTTTTATTATTATATTGGTGCCAAGTTTGGGGGTAACCATAAGTTCGGTAGTGAACCTCTGACAAAAGAAGTAATTCATGTAGCATCTAAAATCATTGCTTTTATGTTAAGAAAGGCATGCGCGTCTCAAAAAACTTCAGGCAAGGACTTCAGGCAAAAAAATTTGGGCGAGAGGTTGGATCTACAACACCTAAACAGTACCACGCAAGCGCATTGCTGCACTGTGCTGCACCACACTGTGCGGCTGAAACTCTTAAAATCATGACTTGGCTACTGGTTTCTGATATGAAATGGTGTTTATCTTTTTGCACGCAATCCTGTGATTGTTGCAAGTTTATATTTCAATAAAAAGCAACCCATTTTAATAAGATGACACACTTGTTTTTGTGGGTCACCTCGAATTTAGGCCCGGTTGAATTTTTGTGAACACGGTAACTCCAAATACAGGCTTGTACTGTTATCTCCACATTTCATTAATTGTCAAATTCCATTACTTCCTTTTCTTATTGAATGCAGATATCGATGAATGTGAGCACAACAGAGGAAACTGCAGGTCACTGTGCACAAACACCCCGGGAAGCTACTACTGTGCTTGCGAACCTGGCTATGCACTGCTACCAGATGGAGTCAGCTGTACTGGTTAGTTTCCTTACCTCTTTGAGCATGCAAAGTAAACACTGTCTAGATCCATACAGTGACATATGCTATAAAAGTTTGTGTTCATACAAAAACATCTTATGCCAAGTTGTATAATGAATTCTCATGCATATTAAGGTAGTTGGGCACAATTTCGTTCTTCAATGTATACAGCTAAATCATTAACCAGCAGAAGAAATAACTGTGCAGTATACGACTTGCCGCTTGGACAACTTTAAATTCACGCAACTGTAGCTCGAGGCTAGCCATGTAAATTGCAGGGAATAGACCACTTGCTGCATTGAAACCCAAGACCCAAGTGAAGTTTATTCATTACCACGCCTATGAAAATATGTTGTAGCAGCATCATAGAATCTACGCACAGATAAACCACTGCATACATCGCCCAAAAGTTTAGTTGCACAAAGGTTGCTTCTGAGCACAAATGTTCTTCTTGCAAGACCACTTGTGATTGTGTCGTGGTCTGTCGACGACCTTAGTGTTTATGCTGAGGGGGTAAAGACAGGAGCAGAACACACCATATCCCCACCACCATCCCGACATTGAAGGTCTTGAGAGAAAGAATGAGAAAGAGAGCTATGGAAGAGTGGGAAAAAAAAGCAAACGAAAGCTTAGCCACGTTCGTTTTTGCCCCGACGAGTTGAAGTTGCTCGAGCGCTCGTCGACTTCGTTTGTCTTCATTCGATGCACAATTCCGTTGACTTCTGCTAAGTAAGCTAGGAAACAACTAGGCACAGACCTTACAAGCGATGCTTTGCCGCTTCCTTCTGCACATTAAAGGGAAGCTGAAGCGGTTCTGTATTTGAAGAAAACACTTAAATCATTGAACAGAATGTTAGGGCACAAACGAGCTGGCAGTGAATAAACATGGGGAACTATAACCCTGAGACTAGGGAGAAAGACAACGATGAAGGAGAGGAAGAACAGGAGTCTCAAACACAGCTGAAATTTATTGACAAAGAATCCTGTTTATAAAGGCTTCAGGCGGTTTCACAAACAGAAAAAAAGGGCAGAAAAAGAACACAGAGGAGGAAACAACCTTTCTGCAAACGTATGTGTGCAAACACTAACATGAAAGAATAACTACAACAGATCTAAAAAAAAAGGGGGTGGGGAGGGCATAGAGGAGGGTCAAACCTTTTGTTAAAACTTATCAGTGGCCTTCACCGTGGGAAATGATGGGAATGTGGATACAAAAAAATAAAAGAACTAAACAATGTTTTTTTTGTGAGTAAATTTTTTAAATTATTGTTTATTCTTTTTTTTTAATGCACATTCCTCTCTTGTCCCATGGTGAAGGTCACTGATAGGTTTTAACAAAAGGCTTGACCCTTCTCCAGCCTCTTCCTAATTTTTAAACCTGTTGTAGTTATTCGTTCATGTTTTCGCACACGCACGTTCGCGGAAAGGTTGTTTCCTTCTTCGTGATCTCTTTCTGTCCTTTTTTTTTTGTTTGTGAAAGTGCCTGAAGCCTATATAAACAGGACTTTTTGTCAATAAATTTCAGCTGTGTTTGAGACTCCTGTTCTTCCTCTTCCTCATCGTCGTCTTTCTCCCTAGTCTCAGGGTTATAGTTTATCACACTTAAATCGTCTTCATTAGGCCTCCAGGATCACGAATATTGAGCTTATTTTTTCAATTTGGCGCACGAAGGCTGCAGAAAGTCAGTTTCAAAGTACCGCCGAAGCCCCTCCTTCCTGGAGTGTTACGTCACAAAAGGAGTTTTTGGAATCTCCACCCTTGGGCATCTTCAGCACCTATCAACGCTATGCACTCACTCTTAATATTTTCAAAAAGGTCCAAAAAAGACATCGTGACTGGTGTGAGTGCAGGGGAATATACCTGGCAAGCTTGCGATTGCACGCGCTGCCCAATCAAGCGACACGCACTTGGCAGCCGAAAGATCCTAGTACGATGTAACGACTAGTCATAGGTTTTTCATGTTTTCTCGCGTTTAGTGACATCTTCGGGGAAAATGAATGTGATATTCAGATTCACGGGATAAAAATACTCTAGAATTCACCCCTAACTCGTTTTTTTCAAGAACCTCTCCAGTAAGGCATCGTGAGGAATACAGGCCCATTGCAACCACTGACCGGAACCGTCAGTGTCCGCGTCCGTGCCCAGCCGTTCCGAAGCGGTCCCGATGCATAGAACGTTTCCCTCTAGAGTATAATATGAACTCTATGGTTCGCACATTGCCGGGTTCGCCGCAGATGTCGACGAGTGCAAGACGGACCCCGACGTTTGTAACGGCGGCAAGTGCCGCAACCTTCCGGGAGACTACGTCTGCACTTGCACGGAGGGGCTCCTTCCTGACCCTGATGGCAAAGGCTGCATCGGTAAGAGGGACCGGTCAGTCACAGTAGGCGTACAAGGGGTATCCTCACACATCTTCAACATTGTTCAGTTAAAGGCTTGTGCACTCATTGCTTTGGGGCAAGTCCCACTGCCACGGAAGAACTTGCAAAAATCTAGGACATTAAACATTAGTCATACTGCAATTTCAAAACTCAGTTCAGTGAGTTGACTCCATATTCGTGCACATTACAAACATTTACTCCTCTGGAATGCAACTATCTTTTTCTACCGGTAAATTGACTGGAAGTGTGTAAAGATCAGTCACGAATTGGCTCAAGCTTTTTTTTTTTTAATGTAGATGACACAATCGATGAATGCTATGAAACGAAAATCAAAGTCCCAAGCTAATTAAGTGTGCCCCCAACACGATTTCTAGACTCTAGCAAGTGCAACATGCCCTCTATAGAATGTGACGAAAGGATCGTTCGTTGAAGTTGTCTGCTGATCTCTGTGTTCTTTACATTGGAGAATGTTCCGTGTTGTGGGAAGAGGCGGGTCATTAAACTTGCATTTTTGCTGTGACCAATCGCTTTGCAGACTACGACGAATGCGAGGCCAATCCAAGGTTGTGTACTCACGGACGCTGTGAGAATACCCTCGGTTCGTACATCTGTCGCTGTCAGATTGGCTACTCGGTCAAGGAGGGCCAAATCCACTGCACTGGTTTGTAGCCGTTTTACTTTTGTTTTGACCGAGTCAGTGTTGGGAGCTATTTTATTCATGTTTATCGAAGACTGTAAGAAATGGTTGGAGCAATCGATAGAACCAATATAGAGGAGTCTCCCCGATTTCCTCCTCAATATTTAATTTAGATTTTCTAATCAGTGCCGCTCTGTTGTCTTTCTTTCTTCTTCTTTTTTTACTTATTGATTTAATGTAACGAACAATTATTTTATGTTTTGACATTTCCCTGCTATGACACGTTCATGACTAACCATGTGCCCCAAAACTGGTTTTGAAAACAGCCAAATAATTTGTTAAATATACCTTACTGCAAATATCTCTCACTATCCTGGCTGTCTCAAAACAGACTATTAAGCGAGACTTATTTTTTATTTGGTAAGTATTTTTCAAAACGCTTTGAGGGCAGCACCCCACTCTCCTAAAAGATGACCAAGTTTTGCAACTACTGATGAAAAGTCTACCGTACTCCATTTCACCCTGTGACGAATCACAGAGGACGCCACGAGCCATCAAAGTCATTCTCATGCTGTGTGTCACGTGACCTCTTTGGGGGTGGGGCATAGCAATGCACATGGCATGGGGTCACATAATACATTCGCAGCGCCGCATCGGCTAGGATGGCTCCTAGCGTCCGCTGCGGTCCATCGCACGGTGAAATCTGTAACACAGTTAGCGAACACAAGTTCATACCTTTTTCCAGTTTTTGGCGAGTATCAAAATTTACCACTTAGGTTAGTGTCCCAATCGAGCAATTTCTACCACTACAGAAGTTTTGATGACAGTACTTCAATACTGATAGAAAACTGGCGATGGCTTGTTCATGCCTTGTGGAGTGTATTTCGACTCTTCTCACTCCCAGGAACATCATCAACAAACTAAGAGCACTCCTCTTTTCCTTGGTACTCTTGAAATATAACCATTCTCGAGTTTATTCGTTGCTCTTGTCCTGTACCTGAACAAGAGTGCTTTGAACAGATGTCAAAGTCTTGAAAATAGTAATCAATAGTAATCAGCTGGTTTCTTATTTATTATGCACAGACGACGATGAATGCACAAACGGGAGCAACGACTGCCACGAGTTTGCAGACTGCACCAACCTGGACGGGTCCTATCGCTGTACCTGCCGAGAGGGTTTCGACGGCGATGGTGTCACCTGCAAAGGTGAGATCGCAGCACTCTTTTAGCCATGGAAGTGCAAGAACAATATTCCACATAATGAAAGTTACGAGAAATATTTTATCCTTTGACAATCATACTGTGCGAAAGCTGAGACTCTGGAGAGGAAAGATTAAACCTTTGGATCGAAAAAAAGGACGGAGGAAGCTAATGTCTTGAGACATTCCCCTCCTCAACTCAAAAGTTATCTTATGGTGGATTCGAGTGGTGCTTTCGATGCGCTCTAAAGCGTGCTGAAAGCACCTTGCAAATTCACCATTAGCCACTGTCTCAGGTTTTGCACAATACGATTAACTACTATCAGCTCACCTGCACGCTCACCGCTCTTAGTTTGGTTCTCTGATGTTGTTCAAACACACGGCAGGCATGCTAGATGCTAATGGTTGTTAGAAGTTTTATTTTTGGTCATTACTTACACAATGCATAAATGCTGGGTACCGCCAGGAGCACCACTCTGACATATACACGAAGGTAGAGAATTTTACGTAATGTTGAAGTAAAATCTAAATTTACTTGCACTTAGATGTGAACGAATGCCTGAGGGAGAATGGAGGTTGCGACACGGATGCAGACTGCATCAACACGGACGGCTCCTTCAAGTGTGTCTGCGATGAAGGATTCGAAGGCAATGGATTCCACTGCAGAGGTGAGGTTTCCGGGCATTTGACGTCGCAGCTCAGAGACACTCGCGGATAAGCCAACATTTTGTAATGCTAGAAGATATTAAAGCCTTCTTGCGTCGATTTGAGCTCCTGTTTATACGAGGAGAGGTACGAAAGTTATACAAGTAGTGTATAACAAGTACTTGCATGCAGCAAGCGCCCATCCAAATGTTGGAGATGTTTGCAAAAAAAATTGGGGATGGCTACTTGATACATTTAAGAGGAGCAAAAGTAAAAAGGAGATATGGTAGGCTGAGTCCTTGCTCAATCTAACACGACGGTATAATGGTCTGGTGGAACTCCTAATGGTTGAGGAAGTCTCCCTGCACGCATCAAGCTTAACAGCTTCGCAACGGCGTACGCACACATAAAGCTTCACTGCTTTGCTGGACCAGAGGAATATTTTGATTAGCTCATCGGGCTCGGATATTTGCTCAGGTGGGCACTCGATGTGCCCTTCGTTTAGTTTTCAAATATGCTTTGTAACTATTAGGTGGGCACTTATTGAGACATGGAAACACGATCGGTATTTTACGGTGATCGTGTCGTTAAACTACCAGGAGTGAGATGAAAGAAGAGACAATTCATTCAAGTCAAAGGAAAAGAAACATAAAAAGGGGGATCGACACGAATAACTTCGATTAACTCGTCCGTGCTCACTGTCTTTTCCTTTGAGACGTAGAGTATTAACATTTTTAGCATTTGCAGTTGGGAAGAGCAGGTCTTGCAAATTTGCAACACCAATGAGTTGCTCGTTTTTTCTGTTCTTCAGACAAGGATGAATGCAGCATCACTACAGCCATCTGCGAGAATGGACAGTGCGTCAACTATGCTGGCTCCTATCGATGTGAATGTGATATGGGATTTTCACAGACGGATAACATGCAGGCTTGTGTGGGTACGTAGCCATTAAAAATATACGTCCCATATTTTGTAATATTCTAACATGAGTCGACATTGAAACATCTGTATTATTACTCTAAGTATTGACATAAAAAAATGTCTACATAACGTTTTCTTGTGTAAGTATTAGAAAACACATGGGTGACAAGATGTAAGAAAATATACTGCTCACACTTTGTAATGTTCCAGTGCGGGTAGATATTGTTAAATGTGTCTTAAGATCCTAATGTATGTAGAAATTAGAAAATGTGTACTTAACATTTTCTAATGTAAGTATTAGAAAAATGTGAGTAGACATTAACAAATGTACTTGCTACATTTCATACTACTCCAATGCAAGTAGACATTACAAAATGTGCCTTAATATTCCAATGACTTTAGAAAATGTGTACTTAAAAAAATTAACCTCAAATTTCTTAACACGTTTTGCACACTCTCAGAAGTAGAGACGAGGCAACCCGTCGAGTGTTGCAAGGTACCGCAATCCCTTTTGCAGATATCAACGAGTGCAGCGTGTTCTCAAACATCTGCGTGTATGGCGAGTGTGAAAACATCCTCGGCATGTTTCGCTGCATCTGCAACCCTGGATACCGGCTAGACGAGACCGGAGGCAACTGCACGGGTGAGTCCGGTTCCTTACATGAGACCTACGGTAACCCGCACACTTCAATTGACCCTGAAATAACTTTCCAGCCTCTATAGTCACTGCCAAGGTGGGAACGGCAGAAAGGAGCCTTAGTTGTCCTTGTGCACCTTGAGCGTGAGCACGCGTGCGCGCGGCCAAAGCAAGGATGAAAACGCGGGACACGTGCGGGAGGCCGCGTGTTTGGAAGACGCACACTGCTGTCCTTATTCTGCCAAGGGCAATAGCCACAAGGATAGCGTTAACAGTGCCAAAACTAGGTCATTACGTGGTGGCGCTAAGTTAAAGGAACACTGAAGTCGATTCTGAGATCGTCCTTTTGTGGTGATAACTCAATCTAGACGCTCTAAGCATCCCAACAAGCCCAAAATCACAATCGTGCAAAGCTTATTTCCTCCTTAAAAGCGTGTGCAAAGATCGCAACATGCCCTTTTTGGGAAGAATTTTCTTCTAAGTGAAGTGGTCGACGAAGGGCGCTTGTAGGCGAATTGCAAGCGATGGCTTCACCCGCTGTGAAAAAGAGGAGTCTTATCTGAATGTTTACCTGTCAGACTCTTTTTGAAACGAGTTAGAATCAAATCATTCGGAATCTGCACGTATTGTAGGGCTTTCATTGGTCCGCGAGAAAAAAGAGTCCACATGTTTTTCTCTTTCCCTGACGTGAATAGGCAGTTTTTTTTAATATAGGACTTGGTAAATGTGAGAACTAACACATTTTAAGCAATGTAAGATCAAAAACTACCTTTTCCAAGATTGACTTCAGTGCCCCTCTAAGTTTGGGAGGCATTGAACATGCGTGCCTCAGTGGGTTCAAAAGAACCTAGTCGTTTTCTTTACAACCGTCAAAACTGGCCAGTCCGTTAATATTTCCCGCGTCGCATGAAATGCAGAAAAGAAGTCTTTTGGAGTTGGGAAAAGAAGTAGGCTCAAATTAATGGCTCTAGAGATCCTTCTGGCAGCTTCTTGAGCTACCCAGACTAAATGCGTTTTAGGAATGCTCGGGCTTTACTCCTTCCGGGGTGCTATTTGTTATCTCTAAATTCAAAATAACTACTGAGAAGACTGCAAACGAAGGTTAAGAAAAACCCAATGTTTGAACTTTTCCATGCTCTCCACTGGGACGACGTCGCAGGCTGCGTAACTCGCAAGTCGAGCTGGCAGACTGTAAAACATAGTATTAACGCGAAGGCATTAACCGTCCCATGGAACGAAGCCGGCAATGTCTGTAGCAGCGAAGAACGGCACCTAAATTCCCATTTTCTCATTGGCTGAGCGAAACGGCACCTAAGGTCCCATTGGCTGTGACACGTCAGTGCATATGCTTCGTCATGGAAGCCGGTGAGGCCACTCGAGGTCAAAGCGGACGCGCCTCAGAAATAAAACACAAAGAAAAGCACAGCAACGCAGATGCATTGTCACGGAAGCCGTGAAGCCGGTGGGGTTTGTCGCGACTGCGCAGTGGGGGAGCGTGATGTCACCGCCAGAGCGTAATGTGAAAAAGGAAGACATGGCGCACTGCTTGTAGGAATGCACTGCATGTAGGAATGCTTTTGCATTCTTAGACGTAAGCAGTCTTAAGTGCCCTTCTGTAATTTTTTTTGCTTATGTTTTATCGTTCTGTCGGTGTGAGCTTTACCAGTATTCATTTCACACCATCATACTTGTAGCTCGTCGGGAACAAGCTTCACTGCCATCGTATTACAACGTCTGATGTCACATTATCCGGGCTTCCAGTAGAACCTCTCGGATCAAATTTAAAAATTCAGTAACTTTGTACAAAGAAAACAAAAACATTGTGACTCGTCATTTGGGTTACTGATTCAGATGTACAGTATAGACCACTTACAACGTAACCGCTTATAGTGCAGGACCGGGTATAACGCGGTTTTTTTAAACCACCGGTTCGCCTCCCATAGAACTCCATGTAATTACATACCGCTTAAAGCGCGAAACACATGTACGACGAAAACCTTCCGATCCGACGTGCGGACTGCCGGAATGACCTTGGGGGAGAGGGTTTTCGTAGCATCGGAGAGCGTTGAAAACCCTCGCCTCCGACCGTCGTATTGCGCGGTCGGACGTCGGATCGGACGGTTTCGTCGTACATGTGTTTCGCGCTTAAAACGCAGGCGCGCGACGGGAAATACCGGTTATAGTGCGGTTTCTGGCACAGCCCGCCGACCGCGCCGACGACCGGAGCAGCGAGCACGCTTGCCTGTGCGACACTAGATAACGGCGCTGACGGCGCGAGCCGCAAGCGTTGCGCAAGCGGCACTCGCGGGGCAAGGAGGGTGCTCGAAGAAGCGGGAGAAGCGAAGAGAGAGGCTTCAGTTGCCCTAGCGACGGAGGGACGCACGCACGTGTCGTTCACGTGCGTGCGTCCCTCCACTGCGTTGGAAACCAACAACCGCAACGACAGGAGAAGTGTTCGCGCGCGTTGCATGCCCGTCGCGGGCCGGCTGCTTCTATCCGCGAACAAGGCGTCGGTTGTGATCAACGTTGTGATCGTCGTCGTAGACGGCGTTCATCTCATCGTTCCGCGTAAAAGCGCTATCCTCGACTGTGAATTTTCGTCGTGTGTCGCTATGATAACCCGGCACGTAAGATCCACCTACTCGAGCGGCGATGTCGTGGCGGCGCTCTCAAGTCGGCAGAAACGCCCGTGTCGTCGTGTTTGTTTACTTCGACTACAGTGGTGATTTCTAAGCATTTGTGTCCTCGAACATCGCCCGGATTTCTTATTTGACGCATTTCATGCGTGTGCTCAAGTGCAAGGTATTACTGGCGCGTACCGTATGGGATGCGAATTTTCACGCGTTTTCATCTCCGGAGAAAAGTGATTAGGGTTAGCAATCCTGAACGCTCGCAATACTCCGTCCGCAACCCGCGACGCCGCTAAGAGGCTGCGCCAGGCAAAAGCCGCTCATTTGTTTCAAAATGTGTGACACACTTGAGAGAGAAGTGTACTAGTCTGGTGAAATAAAGACTTTCCTCAAACTAAGCTTATTTTTTCATCTAACATAAAATAAGTTCTTTTACAACGGTAAGTTGTCTGATGGCATGTATTTTGGCCTTAAAAATTGATGTTTTGGTTATAGTGCGGTACCGCTTATAGTGCGGATTTTCGCGACTCCCGAGACATACGTTATATGCGGTCTACACTGTATATATTAAAATGTGCTGAACCAATTTGGAGGCGAATCAGTGACTATCAAAATTTCGCCGGAACTCCCCTTTAACCTCGCTGCAAAACAAATGAAAAAAAGAAAAACAATAAAAATCCTTTTGAAATTACTTTGTCGCTCTCACCTTACAGCACGCCAGTTTCAAGAAGAAGCAGACCATTTGAAAGCTCGCACAGAATGTGCGGGCTCTCGAATGGACAAACTAGAAACAACAACATATTGTGCTTGGGTTTTGTGTTTTCGGTAAATACCGATAAACCCCAGAAATCAAACCTAGCTGGTTTTATCAAAAGTGGAAAAAAAAACGAAAACCCCCAAATCGGAGCTGCCCTAAATAACAAAAACCCGAGCTTCGCGGAAAGGAAACCTCTGTCTATGGCTTTGCTTTGAATGGGGACACGAACCACACTGAACTGTCCGTGAGGCTGCGTTTTCCTTCGGAACCACATTCCTTATCTTTTTTCGTTCTCTTATCGGTACCAGGATGTTTTCAAAGTTTCTGAGTCACGTGCATGCTTCCTGGGGGCTGGGGAAGCCCATGTCTGTGTCCTATTTTGTTCAACGTTAGCCTCGATAAACGCTGATTGACACTAAAAAAAACAGTGAATCTCTTGAATGAAATAAACCCCAAAAAAACACCCCCTAATTCACATAAAAATTAATCGCAAGAAGAACCCCAATTATGTGGTCATGCTTAACGAATGAACTGTTGTCACCGTGTCCTATTTTCGCTGTTTTCATGAATTTGTACGAAGGCCTTGCACGCTAAAAGAGTGTGCGTCATTCGCCGTCGTCGTGGCGTGCGCAGATATCGACGAGTGCAGCAGTCCAGCGTCGTGTCAGCACGGTACGTGCGTCAACACGCTGGGTTCCTACGTGTGCCAGTGCCCGCCAAACTACAGCTTGGCACCGAGCGGGACAGGCTGCGTTGGTAAGTGACCTTCAGATTTTCAAACAGGGCAGTTAGCGTTTAACTAAGTCGAAAAGTCTATCGAAGATGAGTGGTCAATATCGTACGAAACCGCTACTAATTACAACAATACAATAGTAATGGTCGGTGACAGGTTAAGAATGCAACAGAAGCTCCGCCCCCAGCATCTGCTCATTGCTTTGTTGTGCGCTGGCTGCACCTGTTCACGAAAAACTGCACCAAGCTCGCACTGGAGGTAGAGCATTCTTAAACTGTCACCAAGTATAGCGTATTGTAACAACTCTCTAATGTTAACAAAAGTTAAAACGACCTAAGCACATTGAAGAAAAACTTTCTTTTCTTTTTTTACACCGTGCTTATAACAGCTTGTGGGTGCTGAAACTTTAATTCTCCAAAAGTGTATCACCTCTAAGTTCGAAAAAGTATTAGGTGTCATTAGGAGTTCTGAGTAGGCAACTCATAACAATGCCTTACCCATTTCAAGGATAGCTTGACCAGCTAATTTCAATGTGTGCCTTCTTCAGTGATATCTAGATTCTTGCATGAACATAGTTTAGATTCATAGACACTGGAGCAATACATGCTTCCTTTCATGATACTATTTGGATTCTTGCATGAGCAGAGTTTAGCTTCATAGATGCCAGAACAATATGTGCTTTCTTTAATGGTACTATTTGAATTCTGGCATGAACAGAGTTTATTTTCATATTGTAAAATACCACGGAAACGCCCATTTCGGACAAGCGCTCACTATTAGCATTTCCTATACTTGGGAATTTTCAAAATTATATGTTAAGCACCCACCCCCTCCAAAGTGTCGGCAAGCAACCTTTCAAAACAGCATGTTTAAAGGGGCCCTGCAAGGACTTTTTTACTGGTTTTTAATTTGCACCGAACCTGAGCACACTGAACGTAGTATCTTAATGAAACTTTTCTTTTCTCGAATTTCGCTTTATTTTAAAAGTTATACGCAAATTAAAATGACAAAAACAAGCAAAAATAACCTCCTTCATGACGTCCTTGGTTGCTTGAGTGGCAGTGAACTAGAGGAGGGGTAGCGAGCTCAGCGAGCGCTCACGGCTGTTGCACTCCGTGTCGACGGCTCGAAGGGGCGCCACTAAAGCATGTTCTGGATAGGCTGTATGAAGCGGGCAGCCAGGGCGGCTCGCATTGCATTTGCTGCCCGAATAAAAACTAACTTGGCATGACACCTCGTTGGCCCCAAATGACAGCAAACACGGGGTAAAGATCAGTTCAGAACGGGAGCCACTTCGTGCTGCCATACTGCCAAATTGCCAAACCACAAGCCAAAGCTGCTCGCTGAAGGCCTTCAGAGCGCTCGGATCCTCCAGTCCATACGACCGCAGCGTTGCCGCAAACATCCGGGGCCTTTCTACGCTCGTTGTTTGTCGGTGCCTGATCCCACTACACCTTTCTAGTATGCGCTGCCTTTTCCACCGCATGGTGGCGGGTATGTCGACGGGTCATTTCTTGTTTTCGTACTTTCTAAACAGCATTTGTTTATTTACTGATCTAAAATACTGAACAAAAGCTACTTTTATAAATAATTGAAACGGTTCGCACCACTTATATTTTGTATTTCGACTAAAAGGAAGCTTTTAGCGGCTCCGACCAGTAGTAAGGCCAGGACCAAAGACGTCACATGTCGCGCGCTTTCAACACCGCGGGTCGCCCCCGTAGGTGGAGGAGGTATTCGCGTCGTCCTGTTAAAATATAACGCACTGATATTTAGTTACTCTCTCCATGCTCGCTGGCTTGTCCAAACCCCAAGAGACGTGGAAACCGCAAAAAAGGTAGACACCTAAATATGATTGCAGGGCCCCTTTAAGGTCTCCCTACAAGAGGCTTTGGCTGGAATCATGTGACCATCAGGGTGCATGTAGACAATGTACCAGTGATGCGGTCCTTTGAGAGGGGGGAAGGTGCCACAAAGAGTAGGCGTTAGATTCCAGGCAGGACCTGTGCTACAAGGACGTCAGGGGCAACTTCTACGGTCGGGGCATCTGTCTGTCCCCCATCGACACTCCCATGTCCCGAGCAACCTGCTGCTGTACCGTGGGTGCCGCGTGGGGCCGGGGCTGCGACATCTGCCCAGCCAAGAACACCAGTTAAGCTCCTTCTTTAGCTGTCACAAACGTGGTTATTAGAATAATACACCCCCGTCATGAAATACCATGCTCCATAACGGAGCTTGAAAAAACTGCCTCTCTCTTTGGTACATTCTAAAGGTGCTCGAAACGCATAGCATTCATAGGTCCCGCTTGCCTTGCTATGCCCATCGTTCTTGCTGTGCACTGCATCTCTGGAATGTCAGGTGACATCATGGTGTTATGAGATTATGGTGTCACATAATGTCAGCGTCACAAGACATATCACAATATCAGGTCGTATTGCCACCTGATTTTACACTGTCACATGACGGAACATTGCCATGTGACGTTGTACCTTTTTGTACCTTACAAGTTTTCATTTTCACTTAGCAAAAGACCAGCCACCAGTTACAGAAGTCATAATTGAAGTTTGAACCTTACAATCCTTCTTTATTATCTTTGCATGCAGGTGACCTATTATAACTGTGCTAGTGTTTACACACAAATATTTGGAATAAAATCTAATTATTTTTTTATGTATACTAGTTTGTGGTGTTAAATAACGTAACAGTGCACAACAAGAGAAGCACTCACAAACACAGACACACCAAAAAATATACACTCACTCCAAAATATACAGCGCCGAGTGAGTGTACATTTTTTGGTGTGTCTGTGCTTTTGAGAGTTTCTCTTGTACGCTGTTACGTTATTTAACATGAACTACCAACAAAATATACACCAAAATATACAGTGCCGAGTGAGTGTATATTTTTTGGTGTGTCTGTGTTTGTGAGTGTTTCTCTTGTTGTGCATTGTTACATTATTTAACATGAACAACAAACTCACCCAGTCAGCAGTCTTATCAGCTTATAGTTTGTGGTGCTTCACAAGTTTGCTGTTGAACCTGCAAGTGTTACAGTATCTTGCTTTGGGTTTCTGTGTTTTTACTTTCATTTTTTCACTTTAAATAGATCCTTATTTAGTGAAGGTGTGCATACAACTATTTATTTTCAAACCATTCCCTTTGGCTAGAAGCTGTAGCTCAGCTAAGCAAATGAAAGTGCAATTTCTGCTGCACTTCTCAGTGCAGTGTGGAAATGTGCATAAATAAAGTTGCATGCTTCTCACAGCTGTAAACAGAGGTGGCATGTATGTCAGTGTAATGACGAATATAAAATCAAAATGTGCTTATTATTCATTTGACGGTCAAATACTATTACAGTCCCATTCCGTTAGATTGACAGCAGATAAAAAAAGTGTCTTGTGAATGCTATAAATAAAGTTTTATTCATATCGCCCAAACGTTAACCTGAGCATTGTGTAACATTTTAGATATACTAGCATTGCTAATTATAGTTTGTGAATTCCATTTTTAGCAGCTCTGTGGCTCAGAGAAGTTTGTAACAATAAAGTTATTACAACTGACAACGCAATGTTGATGTCTCTTTTCAGCCGAATACAAAGAGCTGTGTGCTGGAGGACCGGGATTTCGACCAAATATTGAAACCGTTGAGCTTGAAGGTACATACAAACAAAACTAAATCTGCATTCATGCTGTTTTACTAGGTCAGTAATACATCAAACGACAATATCCGCAACATAAGGTACCAAACTGGAACTAGATAACTAACATTCTCAAGGGGCATCTCTGTTGCCAAGCAATTAATGTATTGCAGCTCCACGACATGAGGAATGAGATTTTATGTCGCAAACCCAAGCATCCTGAACAGCTACTGGTTTTAATATGGACTGTCATTTTATAAGATGATGAATCAATACTTGTTAGAGGTCCCAAGTTAGACGTCTTACTTCAGTTGCTGAATTGTACCTCTTCAGCATAGTGCCTACAATGAAGAGGTGCAATTCGGTAAAGGGAATTTAGCAGGTGCCCATGCTGAAGAGGTGCACTTGTAATACTGCAACACAGACCTTTTCAGTGTGTAAATGTATTCCTATCAATTTTTTCTTTTAAAAACCCTTGTTTTACGGCTGCCTTTCTCAGATTCTTTTAAGTGTCCACAGCTTCCAGCAATTATAAGGTGCAGTCTGGCTGAAAGAATGACCCTTTTGTCAACCATCTTTTAAAGCAAAGACACTATTGTCGGAAACAGAAGAGCAAACAATAGTGAGGAGGCAACCTCCTTTCCAGCGTTCGCTCTGCTAAAATAAAAAAGGGTGGGAGGAACTTCCCCTGGATTCTTAACCTGTCGCCACCGCTATAATGTAATGCGCTCAGGTCGTCCCAGCTGTTCTGGCCTTCCAGTATTTCTAGCACAATTTCGATTTCAACAAATCTGATAATGTTGCATGCAGAAAAAAAAAACCAAAAGATTAACCATGTTGAATTAACCTGAGACTGGGGTACAGAAGAAACATCAAAACGTAGAAGGGACAGAAAATAGACAGTTCGACGTTTATTTTCTGTCCCTTCTACGTTTTGATGTTTCTTCTCTACCCCAGTCTCAGGTTAATTCAACATGGTTAATATTCACCAGCTCGCCTGCAGCCTTACGATTTTTTCCCAAAAGATGCTGCTTCTTTAATTGTGGAATGCCACTTCATTAAAGGAGCTGTGCAACAATTTTAACATTGAAAGAATTTACATATTGTACTTTGACATTGTTTATCTTGTCACAAAGGACAGAGAGCACATCTCCTTTCTGAGAAATGTTGCGATTCCGCCGCATAATCTTGAGGGGAAAATTAGAATATTTCCCGATCTGCAGCTGCGAGTGGTGGCCATGAGAACCACGCGATGTGATGTCAAAGGGGGACTTGTAAAAAAAATAGCAAGTTGTGCAATTGCCTGTTCAATACAAGGTAATTTTTCTATAAATTTTGTCGTTCCAACATAAATATAAATGCGTCAAAAACCTGGTATCGTCAACAAAATGTTTATTATACGGAGTTTCAGTGGCGCCATGTATCCGAGGTCTACAAAACCGTCAGCTCTATCTGCTATTGCGAGGAGCCGCCAGAAGCCAGACCCGGACGAGCATGTTGGCACTTTCCTCCTTTCGCTTTCCGGTGTCTCGACTTTGAATGCCACCGCAAATACCGGCAATGCCAAGTGGGTGGTTGCGAGCGAGAGTTCTCGCTGCTCAATAGCAAGTTTCAGTAGACCGTGTTTCCCCCTTTGCTAAGCCCCTCCGCTACCCGGAACTCTACAGCCAAGGCCATCGGCGTGCAGGTGCAGTGGCGGTTTTTTCGTAGCGGAGGGTTAGCGGAGGGGTAAACATGGTCTACTAAAACTCCCTAATGATGGCACTCGAGAGAGAGCTTCACTTCACCGGAACCTTGAGCGTCCCCCTTTCATGTCACGGCGCACGTGACTCGGAAGATGGTGAAGGAGTTGAAAGGTGCAAGACACCTCTATCTTTGTAATTTTTTTTTAAATAAAAACTTGAAGATGCAGGCAGAAGCGTTTTTTTGTTCTTTACTTTAGAAGGGTCGAGACACCAGCTCCCGCAATTATTTAAGCAAAGCACTGAAATTGTTGCATAGCTCCTTTAGGGCAAAAGAAGAATGCAGCATTCTTCGGATCCTCATACGTTCACAGTATCTCTCCATGCCTATATAATTTTTTTTATCCTCACTAACAGTGCACCATTTTTTTTTCTCATAAACACCATTCCGTTTGGCAGAGAAAAAAAAATGACACATCCGTTGCAACGTTGTAATGCATGCTACGAGGGCTTTGTATAAATTCCCTCGAAATCTGCAAGGCATCGACTATGTCAGTCAAAATTGAGAATACCGCAGTCACCGACAGGACAAGAACGATGGGGCGGTCTTTCAGTAGTCCCGCCTCCGCCGGGGCCTTCTTGCTTTCAATTACTTCGGCGTCTCGAGAACTTAGAGCGTGCACAAGCAGCAAAAGCGCGACGGAGTGCAACCGCATGGCGCAAGCTAGGCATCGGAAAATGATGCCCAGCTATTCTTATCCTGTCGGCAGCCATGGATGATTCTGATGCGTGTTACCCCTTGCAGACATAGACGAGTGCGCCGAGTTGGACGGCGTCTGCCGGGACGGCCGCTGTTCCAACACCTTTGGCAGCTTCTTGTGCGTCTGCCCAGACGGTTATACCCTCGACGACTCGCAGCGTGCCTGCATTGGTAAGCTTTACTTGCTTCCAGTTATTTGCCAGTTATCTTCCAGTTATCCTCCGGCCTCCATTTCATTTATTTGTGACCTCGGGGCCCGAAGGCATTACAGAGGAGGGTGGTGTTTACAATCTACAAAAAGTCAAACAAAACAGGAGAATCATGAAACAGGTCCTAGTAGTTCGTTTACGGCATTTTTTTAAATCAACGGGATTAAGAATTGTGGCAATGGATGAGGGGAGATGGTTGCAGTTAGTACACGTAACGAGGTATGAGTGATCTGAAGTAGGTACCAGTGCGACACAGTGGAATCCCGACTTTCGATGCCAGATGACGTGTCGGATGGCTCCAGTAGAAGTTCGGATTTCAGGACTGGGTTGTGAATTCCAGTTCAGATTACAGGACCAGTTATGAATAGGGTGGAAAACTGCCAAGTTTGGGAGTTGGCTTCATCGAATGGAAAACATGGAGAGAAAGCGAAATAGGCAGCGCCCCCTCGTGCGTCTTTCTGCGCGTGTCTCCTCTGTTGGCCTGGTCCTTTTCGCACTGCCACTCCCCACAATGAACACCACGAACTCGCTCAAGCTTCCATGCTAAGGGGGCTTTGGCAGTTTTTGAGCTGCCAAACTGAACACATTTTCAGACTACCCAGGCTTTGCTCTTTCCGGCATGCTATTGATGGTCTCTAAATTCAAGATAGTTATTGAGAAAATGGCCGATGAGTGTGATGCCGAAACCAACATTCAAATTTTGGGGGTGACCTCATATGCTATTCGCATATGAGGCGGTAGTTCCAAGATGGCGGAAGAGACGGGGATAGATGCTCCAGGGTTTCCCGTGCGCTTGCTCGCCGACGCTGGTCAGCGCGCTAAAAATAATTTGTCTACAAATGCGAAGCGGTTAGGGAGGGATCATATGACAGGTGAAGATTTTGATGCACATTAGAAAAACGAGCATACTGGTATTTAAAAGTTGCAGAAACCTCAACTTGCGAAGCTTTGTGATGGGTGAGCGTGTTTTAGGCATTAGCCACGTAACTGTTTGTGGCAGAATATTTTTGAGGGTGATGAAGATATCATGTTTGCGCTTTGCTTGGCCATTAGAGCTTTGAAAAGTGAGCCGCGCACGGTGACCGTCAAGCTTCGGAAGAGCAGGGTTCACAGTATTGTCGTCTTCGTGTCACAGGCTCGCAACTAGCTGCTCATTGTTTCGGTTATAGTGTATTGCGGCACGTGATCAAACTGCTCTATGGTTATTGATAGGAAGTCTGTTACCGCAAACTACCGTGCGATGTAGCATTACAACCGGAAGCTCGCGCTGCGCTTTTAAAGCACAATTTTCAGTGCACGCCAGGAGCATTGCCGTGCTCACACCCTAAAAAGAATGCTGTAGTCTTCACACCCCTTGTCACATATACGACACCCCAATACTTCAGCTCGCCGTGCAGTGCACAGACGTCAAACTGACGGCCCCAACTTTTACGAGAGGCTTGATGACGGTGCAATGTAAGATATTAAACAGCTAAAGTATGCATAAAAAAAGTACAAAAAACAACGACAAAAAGAACCACCGATGTTTTGCAGTAGGGCCGAGAAAACCCCAATTAATTTTTTTAAAGTCCGTTACACTTACCTAAGCTATTTTATTAATTTGCACAACTAGGCTATCAAGCCACTCGTGAAAGTTGGTAGCGTCGGTTGAACGTCAATGCGTTCTACGTCCAACTGAAGTTTAGGGGTGTCGTATATGTGACAATGGGTGTAAGGGTTACAAACCGTTTTGTTTAAAGTGCACGGTAGCCAACTGTAGCCTGTGGTAACGCTATGCTAAAACTGCCTATTAACATAATTGGCGTGTTTAGGGGTTTTATTGTTTGCTCTGTCAAAACTAAATATTTTAATATAGCGTACATTTTTTGTACCGTGTTAATTGCAACGTTGTGGCCTTTTTCGCCAAAACTGCCCTTTCTAAGCTCTCGTCACCAACGGCTGGCTAACACAGACGTGCTTAAAATGCTTCGAGCATTTCGTCGTTTGCTTTGTAATTACCTGAACGCAAGTACGGGTATTCTGTTTTTTTAATAAATGGTCATGTTCCTTGTAACGGCCTTAAGACACAAACTCATTCCCGATGTGTATAGCTCGACATACCGTTGCGCGACGAGTTCTCTTTTACTTATGGCAAAGAATAGACTTTCCGCAGACCGTACTATAGAGCTCTACAATATGAGCGGGAGTGTTTGCCATCATATTGAGTACAGATTGAGCTGGCGGCCATGCACAAGACCAGAAATCCACAGCGTATGCGACATACGAAAAGTCCCCAATGAAATTAGACATCCGGTCCTTTGAGCAATGCTGTTGCAAGGCGGAGCACAAGAATTCCTATTTTAACGCGCTCACTTTTTTCGTTAAAACGGCTTCACGCATCAAGGCCGACAGTCCCTGCCACCATTTCCGCGCCGCCACTGCCGTTTCCGCTCCTCTGGTTCTCCGTTCGTCCGCGAGAGGGCGAGCGGCGGGCACGGCGTTTCAAAATTGGAGGTCAACATGCAATCAAGACCAAAGAGTAGTGACAGTACAGAGCATGATTTCCGAGCTAATCACGCGAACCGATGCGCTCCCTCGTGTCAGCTGCTGCTTCTAGCACTCCAGTGCAAACGCGCCCTCTGGTGAGGAACAGTGGAGGTTGACACGAGCGGCGCAGCATGGAGGCGTGTGGCAGACACGATAATCAAGGGATTTCATCAGGAATACAAGACGCTGGTTCTGTCTTATCGCAGTATCTGCCATCTTACTATTTTGCAAGTTTTCTCGCGACTTTCAGCTCCTGAAGTCACCGACGTCGTCTAGAAATTTGGACGATGTCGCCAATCAACCGAGCATCGAATCAGCCGGCGCGCAGCTGATGCTGCGAGTCAGTGGGAGCAATCAAACGGCGTCAAAGTGCGGCACCGTGACATTCGTCACCTTCCTATACGCATTCTTTCGTTGGCCAGACCGATCAAGGGCAGCGGATGTCCCATGACCTGCATGTCCCATGACTGCCGTCCTTGCCTGGAAACGGGCTGTGGAACGTCCGTTCCACGGCCCGTTTCCAATAGACTCGCTCGCGAAAAAAAAAAAGCGGGCGTAAAGAGACGTCTCCGCAACGCTCACTAAACACCTCGTATCCGTTATGGTTCTTATCCATCCAATAGCTTATATGTATTGTTATGTGTCACATGTATCGCACATTGTCATATGTATTGCGTGCCTTATGTGTTGCACATTATAATCACCGGCATATCCACTTTTGGTCCCCTGTTTCGTGCCTCCGTAACAACAATTAAATTATTTTGCGTTCTCCTGTATAAAGTGCCTAGTGTTCCGAGTCGTAAGTAATTGTGTATTGCCATCGTCGGTTGCACCATTCTCATCAGTGTTTTACCCTCTGCGAATGTGCCAATGTCCCTATGTGCTTTGATTTATGTCCAGCAAGTTTTCTGGGCAACAATTATTGCATAATGCCATAATTAGCTCAATAATAAATTAGGCTACATATTGAGCTGCACTACTTGCGAGTCTTGTTATTCGCGAGTGGCTTTTCTATTAATGCAGCTTGTTCTTTTTTCATTCGATTCCGCTTGGATTTTCTGTATTTAAATGTGTCTCTAGGTAATTTTTTTATTCCATGCTTTTTGTTTCTCATTTAATGATAGAACTTGTTTATTTTCTGGCCTTCGAGTATGCAACAAAAGCCTAATCCGGCCTCTTAGCCATAGAGTTTGGAGACCCCTCAAGTAGACCAATGAATAAATATTTTTATTTTTTCTTAGTTGAAGCCCACTCGGCGCAGGTGTGCCACAATTCTTGACAAAGATGACATTTTGGCCTAAGACGTTGAAGACTCTTGTTCATGGCACAGTTTGGTGCAAATGGCGCAGCACTTCCGTCACTGAATACAGCCATTCGTTCAAAATACAAACGTGCGATCGTCATTGGCAGAATGCGTTGATCACGTTTAACTCGTATCTGAACGCGAGAGGTATATTTCAATTTTTGTTTCAGTACCCCTTTAACAGTGCAAGAGATGAGGGAAATGGGGTGAGCTACAGTACAGAAGGACGCCCTTTGTGGCAAGTGCTAAATGGGAATGGTAGCTGGAGTATATGAGAAGAAAAGAATGTCCCGAGTGATTACTAGTTTTGACATTACCTCAATCTCACGCAGTGAAAACGGGAATACAAGAGCACTGTGAAAGACTACCTTGTCATGATGGCTTTCTTCCACGACGTGCCTGTACTCTGGCAAAGCTTCGAAGACCAGCAAATAAACATGACAGATACAGATACAGATTTTAGGTCCAGTTGAATAGGAATGGAAGTCAGTTTCTTTTATCAGCTTTAAATTGAATAAAACAATCTAAAATGTTCAAACATATTTTAAATCAAGAAAGTACCCCCACATCACCTATATTTAGCAAATACTTATTGCTCCACCACTCCTGACAGAGTTTTACATTCTTATTTTAAGTTGTAGATGTAGTATTACTTCTTCAGAGCACGTCACAGATATAATCAGTAACCATAGCATTAGGTGTGTGCTGTCTTTTTTATAATTTTTTTTTTAGCACAGTGTAATGTCTTATTATTTCCTTGTAGTCTTGTTGCCATTTCAACACACAGAAAGTTAGAGCTCTGCGATTAGAGGAATCTGCGATTTCTCTAAAACTTGAGGAGCCCCCACCCGGTTTGACTGAAAGCTATGGTACACTTTCCAGTCTTGGCATTGGTGCAATGAAGCAATGTAGAGTTCTACAGACCTTGTACAACTTTAATGCACATACTAGGCAGAGTGGGGCCCTTACTTATGTATCAATGAATGATATTAGATATGCCAAAACAATGGTAAAACTAGAAAAAAAAAGAGGGGAATTTTTGAGCTTGGCACACCCATGAACATACTCTGGGAAACCCACCACCCCCTCCAAGTTCCCCAGAAACCTGCAGTTCGTAAACCCATGCCCTAAATTTGGGATTTGCATACTAACAGTGGGCTGTGACCAGATCAATCCAGCAAGAACAAAGGGGAGCGACAAGAGGCAAAAGCCTGCGGGCCTCGTTCTTTCTGGTCGCTCGCAGATGTGAACGAGTGCGACCAGTATCCCGACGTCTGCGGGCCGGGCACCTGCTTCAACTCGGATGGGAGCTTCAGGTGCCACTGTCCACCCGACTACGTGGTCGTGCCGGGAGGCAAATCCTGTGTGGGTAAGATTCACCTGGCGGCTCCACCTTCCCTCCACCCACTCACTTCATCCGGTTGCCCGCACATGCGGAGTGCCCCCAAAAAGAGTTTACGCCATTTTAGGGGCGAAGCTCCTTAGGGTCTAGCCTTGTTCGTCCGGCGTCCGTGCTCACATCGATTACACTGCCTCCGGGATCGGCCCACTTTAAAAAAAACATACGCCCGCACGGGGGCTCAAACTCAGGACCGCTTGCTTACGAGGCAGACGTCTTAACCACTACGCTACACCCCAACATTGCATGTAGCCGCTCAACGTCTATACAGGAGAGGGCACTGCGGTCGAATGCGTATATCATCGCGTTAAACTTTGCATGCATTGGCTCAACGTTTATAGACGAGAGGGCGCTGCGGTCAAATGCTCAACTGCGTATATAACCACGATCCATACCACACATTCACTTTCTGACATGGACCATTGACTTAAGCGGTGGAGATGCATTCCCACGGCTTCTAGCGGATCCAAGTTGATTCGCTAGAAGAACAACTGGCTCTGCATTTCACCGGCCATAAAGCAGTAATAATGTAGTCGAAACGCAACCCGGAACTCAGCACTACCTATGAGCAATAAAAAAAAAAATCAGCACCATCAGCAGTACCTAAGAACAATAAAATCAGTATCATCAGCACCACCAGAGCTTCGCCCCAATCAACATCATTCACCACATGGGGATGCGGCCTCTTTTTTGAAGCGCAGCTCTGAGGTGACCGTTTCATGTTTGAGCGGTGTCGCCATCGGCGTAACCGTGCGTTGCATTATGGGACGTTTCCCATCGTGACGTCACACATGACGTCACAAGGGTCACGAGTGACATTCGTGATGTCATGAATGTCACGTGAGGGTCATGACCTTTACGTGACCTTCACGAGCAACGACATAAGGAACCCTAGTGACATCACTTGTGAAGGCTTCATGGAGGTCGTGACCTTCGTTGTGAGGGGGAGGGGAAAGGGAGGGAGAGGAGAAGAGGAAGAAGGAGGAGGAGGGGAGGAGGAGAGGGTACGGAGGAGGGGCATACCCTCCTCTCTGAACCCTCCCCTCCTCTTCCTCAAGAGCTGCGCTCTAATTCGGCATTACAGGGAACTGTAAACGTCTTTCATTTTCTTAGTTGCAGAAATAAACTATGCGTTGTCGGAATGCTTGGTTCCCGCCTAGACGTGGCGCCGGTAGTCCGATCGCAAGCCGGAGTGCCAGAACAAACTGTTATCTTAATCGAAAGTTACGAGAGACTTTCGGAAAGTTTCAACAATAAAAGGGTGGCCGACAAAGCCCACCAATGGTGCAAACTGCCGAGAACGGGCCTCATTTTCCCGTTGAAAGCTTCGGAAGATCATTCATAACTTTTGAATGAGATAACGATTGGTAGGTCTGAAACTTTGGCATCTGGTCCGGATTGCTAGCGCTACATTTGGACGGGGACCGAGCGTTTGATTAGCACATCATGTTTGCAGTGCTATTGAAAATTTATCCCAGCCTGTTTTCCCATGCAGAGGACAGGAGAAACCAAACCCTTTATTAGTCATTATTTCCTCTAGCTAGCAGAACACTCATCACAATCTGCCTTAGAGTGTCACTGAATGTCTCAGCAGAAAGTGATGCGGTAGTACAATAAAAAAATTAATGTGAACCACGATCTTGCTTTCATTTGGTATTGGTGAAAAGAAGGACATTGTATGCTGTTACTTATACTGCATTTCATCTTACGATAGACCGCAGCCAACACTAGACGTCATCTAAGCCGATCCAGCGCTGCAAACGCTTCACGCACTTCTCCAGAAGCTCATGTGATACTTGCAGCATTAAAGTCGCTCTGATGACTTCTAGCATTTGCCACGGTTCATTGTAAGGCGAAACCGAGAATAACACTATTTTGACACGCAACGTTGTCCACCGCAGTCCCCTCTTCGAGATTAGCTGTGCTCTTCGTGTTTGCATGTGCAACTGTGTCTCAGAAAGCGTGCATAAAATGTGCAGACATGCGCAAAAACACATGCTACAAGCACGTCGAGAAGGACGATCCGCGTCGTGCTCCCACCTGCAGTCATCCGATGCTCTTCAACCAGACCAAGATGACGTGCTGCTGTTCTGTGGGCAAGGCCTGGGGAAGCTTTTGCGAGCCTTGTCCCGAACTGAACTCGGGTAAGAAGCTTTGGTGTGTTCCGGCAAACGCGGACCACGATAGACCTTTCCTGAAAATCCCGGGAGACCTCGCGGCAATAAGAATGGGGGGGCTTTTCAGATGTATGCATGTGCAGACTTGAACATTTCGTATATCTCGGGAGCGGCACAATTCATTCTTTCTTTTTATTGGGAATTCAGAACATGCAAAAAATAAAGCAAACACAAAAGGAGGTCATCCCGTAGTACTCTGATTTGCTCTCCTTCTACAGTCTCTGCTTTTTGAAACCACGAGCCAACGTCAACTTTGTCTCCAATTCCTGTACAATCTGGCGTGCCGTACATCGGAACGTCGCAATGCGTCGGGCAGACAGTGGGAGCGCTGCTTATTTCTGGAAAGGTCTGTCTGGTCGTAGATTTTTCGGTATTTACTTATAAGCAACATTGGCGGGTGTTTTTCAGTGTTTATACTTATTTTTCAAAAATCGCTCTACCATTTCAGCAATTCCTTTTGTGCATACGCTAGAAAGGGAGATCATCAGTGAAAAGCTTGCAAGAAACTAGCAGTTCAAACTTGTTTTGCAACTTGTAGATGCCCTCATAACACTCCACAATTATCATAACGCGACAGTACTTGCAAACCACGGACAATGAGTCCGAACGTAGGCCAAAGTTTGGGTACTCTTTAACATAATCATTCGGAGCTTTATGTTCTCTTTCCATGCTGCTACCCTTCAGCTCCCGCAATGAAAAAATCTAAGTGCTCTCTAGCCAAATATTTCCACCACAAGGAAGGAAAGTTGCTCTTGCCTCTTTTACTAGATTCAACCGACGAGCGCCAGCGTAGTTTCGAACACTGCCGCCCAGCTCTGGGCCGAATAAAACAAGAACGTTGCGACGGTCCGTAATGACCAACTGACCCACTTAAAGGGGCACTGACACCCCAAAGGTCGTATTTATTTTTATTGTCTAAAACGATGCAAGTTGCAGTCATAGACACGCAAAAAAAACCGCACCGCGAAAAAAAATTTTCCCGCGCGCGCGCGCCTTTTTATTTTTGGCGTTTGATTTTCCCGCGTCTCGCCTCCTCGCTTCTTTTGATCGGTGACGTCAAAAATCAGGAAATTTAGAAGCTTTGTAGGCGACATCTTTATAACATTTAATTACGGCAATCCTAAAACATGTTTTTTAACGCAATTGCGAACGCACTACGGCCCTTCTTTTTGAAATACCAAAAATCGGGAGTTCGTTGTGGTGCCGTCTCCTGGATTTGTATCCTCCAACGGAAAACAGGCGACACCGCTCAAAACCGGTCTGCCGCAACGCCGGGCGCTCGCTCCTTTCCTCCTCGCTTTGGGTCGCCATGGCAACAGCAGAAAGTGGTGAAAGGAAGTCGACTCTCAGGTCTCCGCGATTTTTGACGTCAAGGCACCGGCGCCGATCGCGCATGAACTTCGAATTCGGCATTTGGAAATTGTTTTTTTACTTCACGAATACTGAATTCCCAAATCTCAAATTTTGAGGGTAATGTCCCAGCATCGTTTTCAGTCGTTTCGGATAATAAAAAAAAATATGATTTTGATGTGTCAGTGCCCCTTTAATTCTCGTGCCACCATTCTCCAATGTTAGCGATCTCACTGACTGGCAGGGTGCTCGATCCTAGGTAAGAGTGTGTGCCTGATAAACGTCTAAGAAGGGAGGGTTTCGACAAAACATTTGGCAGAGGCACTTAAGAATGCTTATGTGTAGGAATGCAAAAGCATTCCTACACACAGCGCATTCCTACAAGCAGCAGGCCATGTATTCCTATCGCACACGGCGCTGCGGCGGTGACATCACGCTCCCCCACTGCGCAGGCGCGGCGAACCCTGCCGGCTTCACGACGGCTTCCGTGACGAAGCATTGCATTGCTGTGCTTCCCTTGCGTTTTATTTACGAGGCACGTCAGCTTTGACCTTGAGTGGCCGTGCCGGCTTCAGTGACGAGGTATCTTGTGATGTGTCGCAGCCAATTTAGGTGCCGTTTTTCGCAATTACAGGCTTTTAAGAGCCATTTTTTCGCAGTTACAGACGCCGCCGGCTCTGCCTCATGGTACCAGTTAATGCTTTTGCATTAAAATGGTCTTTGCTTAGTGCGCGAATTTCCAGAAATCAGCATTGGTCAGTTTTAACCGATCTGGTACTTTTGGCACCGACAGACATTTACCCATGTTTTTTCAGTTACTTTAACCACAATTCCCAGAAAGGATACCACAGGTCATACATTTATTCACTGTTGCATACCCTGGTTAGAAGACGACGAATCGGATGTAGAGCTCAGGCTTCTCCTCGTGGTGGGCTTCTTTGGGCTCCTTCATGACAGACTACTATGTCCGCCGCTCCACCTCATGTGTTTATAGTTGAGTAGACTGCCCTATAACAAAAACATAAAAAGATTTTGACAAATACTCTTCAAAGGAGTATGTCACAGTTCTGCCCCGCCCCTTTTGTTCCAGTGTAAAAATAAACTGCCTCATTATCTGTCCCTAAGCGTCTTAACTCTCTGATTCCAGCCCAATACAAGGCTCTCTGCAGCAGCACCCCTCTGGGCACCATCATGAACCCCATTACACATGTCATTGATGGTAAGTCATGTCACTCTTAAGGCCGATTCATACATCCGCATTTAAGTGAAAATACGCGAATGTTCTCTCTTAAGATGAGAGAATGATACCAGCACACTGGCACCATTCATCAGGCAACCTTGGAGCTGCGTCTTACTAGACTGAAGGTTTTGCAGTATTCGTGAAATCAAGTCTGTACCCCCTTCTATGGGAAATAGTCGCTTATAACATTGTCAAAATCGTTTGAAAGAAGACGAGAAATATTTATGCGCATGTCGGAGATGTTGTTGGGGCCGCCTGACAGGTGGCACTAGCGTAGTCTCGTCGTAGGCAGATACGAGCCGTTGTGACACAGCTGACCACATTTGATCGCAAATGTGCGATCCAGCTTTCACTAGAGTACCTACGACAAACGAGGTGAGGTCGACGCCGCCCGATCGACTTTTCAGATGTGGACGAGTGCCAAGGCATGGTCTGCCAAGAAGGTCGATGCACGAACACCATCGGCAGTTTCGTCTGCCAGTGCTACGACGGATTCCGCTACGACCCAAACCTGATGACGTGCGAAGGTAAGGGAACGACGTAGGGCTCGTCGAAGGAAGAGAACATTTGGCAAGTGAACTGTACTACAGCAACTGGCGGGAAGAGCGTGGCAGGGACTCCTGCCCTTCTCATCTAGTCAATGGCTTGAAAAACAAAAATTGGAAAATGATAGTTTGAGAACATTTGATATAAGCCAACCATGGGAAATCAAGATCTGCAAAATCCCTGTGGGGGGAGGGGGGGGGGAGGAATGAAGGGAGGGAGGGGAGGAGGAGGGAAGGGAAGGGGGAATTTTTTATGGATGAATTTCATTCTTTTTAAGTAAATCAAACAAAAACTTCACTTCCTTTGAATACTGTCACATGGCTCTAAATAAATGCATCAGTATACTTTGCATAAAAGTTGCCTTGGGGTAGAAAAAGAAATTGACCATGTTTTTGAAATTTTATGTACAAAGGTCTTCGGAAAATCTTTTTTTTCGACAGAAATGTTAAGCACGAGCTCACGCTTGAGCACGGGCCCTACGTCTTTTGTAAACTTCAGAATTGGCTAAAGAATATAAAGTGTACAGCACTCACCTAAATATATATTTATATTCAGGTTTAATTTATGGTTTGGCATGTTTTTGGTGTTTTATGAGAAATTTTACCGGTGGCTAAACATATCTGGCACTTTTGGGCAGCAAACTGTTAAACAAGATTTGTTGAAAGCTAGTAATGAATATGTAGTGCAGAATTGTTCCTGCCGACTTTGTCAACAAAAAAATATCTTTCCACAGTAAATGGAGCTTGTCTCATTTAAAAGCAAGTTTGCTTAGAGCAGCAGACAACTTAACACTCAAGTCAATAGCCATTCTTGAATACCTTCACGCATTTGGTGGGTAATACCTTTAGATACTGTATTCCCAATGTAACACTCATTTTGCACGATACTGTAATTCAGACATCAACGAATGCCAGGAGAACCCCGGCATCTGCAGCGGCACGGCCAAGTGCGTCAACGAACGTGGAAGTTACGAATGCCGCTGCCCTGATGGCTACGAGTCGTCCTCCAGTCACCGTGGATGCGATGGTATCAAACCTTTTTCGAACGGTCATCCAATTTTGAGTGCTTGCATTATTATTATTTTGAAGTTAAAGTTCTAATAAACAGTGCTAATAAAGGATGAGCAAGTAAAGAAACAGACACACCAAGCACTGGTGTTGTGTTCTCTATATTTTATTTTATACTTGAGTGGTAGAAAAATAAAGGTGCAAAGGTAACAGCAAGTTAAAGAAGTTATCAAAGCAGTGAAATCCGTACAGGCCGTTCCCAGCATTCCTTTTGGCGCTGGTGACAATGCTGCTCACTTTGCACAAGGTCTGTTGACGGATATTCTCCTATAAAGGTTGATAAGTATGACTTTTTCATTACTGATTCTGGACTTCTTCTTGTTACGAAGTATATAATGCTATTTTAACTACTTGGTCTCGCATTCCTTTTGCGATGAGGCTTTTTTAAAACGAATGATGTAAGTTTTAATTGGGCATAAGATGTTAAAGCTTAGTAATGAACTTTGTTTTTAATGGGTACTTTAGTATCTAGCACTTCCTTTGAGCCCAGTGGGTGGCCACACTCTCACGGATGGCTTACACTTCTAACCTTAGATGTGGACGAGTGCAAACAGCCGCACATCTGCCAGAATGGCGTCTGCATCAACTTGGACGGAGGGTTCCAGTGTACCTGCAATCCCGGCTACTACTCAACTCCTGCTGGAGATACGTGCATCGGTAAGCTGCAGCGGTTCCTCAAAAAGACATTTCCCTATATAAACACCAGAAGTATGCAAGACGCTTGCACATGGTCGGTACTTGAGCCCCAAAATAACCTATGCTAAAAAGTAACGACACCTCAGTCGTATTGATGTCTAGTATCATTGTCACCAGTTATCTGGAGATCGACCCAATATTGCTGGAGACGCCTTTCTGTCCTCCAAGAATGTTAAAACTGTCCACAACACAGCAAAACGATGTTGCCAGAGGTTCCTGACACAGTGCGTAAAAGTCAGAAAGTCTCATTTTCGAATCACAACTATCACCAGCTGCGCCCCCTCCGCTCTGGGCAACGAAATGGCGGCACCGACAAAACAGTCGCAGAGAGGAGTGTTGATGCTCTATAGCTAATTTAGTAGCTACAGTAACTACCATAGGTAGCATACCGTGTTCAGACTCCCCGCCAGCTTCTGTTTGTCTGGCGGTAGCAATGATCGGCGGCCGCCAGCTTGCTTTTTATTGATCTTTCAGGAAACAAGTTTGATGACTCAGAATTGTAGGTGTGAAAATGCCAAAATCAATGCAAACTATATTTGCACATTAAAAGTTTGAAATATTGTACAGTAAAGATAATGCGAAAGAGAACGCAACCCAGGTGGTGCCAATCAAGCCCAATGTGCCTTTGGTAGATCTGACTCTGTTTATGTTTCTTTGCAAGTAATAAATGCTATTGATGTTCTTATTACTATCATTATTTATGTGTTTGCAGTTGAGCTTGTACTACATACACGGTTTGGATAGACACATCTGTTGTTGTCTTGGCACTTAAGATCTAGCAGGAATGTTGCAAATGTAATGTAATAGTAATAATCATAATTATCTTTATACTGATGTATCCACGAACAGCACTAAGCCTAAACTGTAGTACACTATCATGTCTCAACGTGCCCTTCGTAACAGTGACATTGAGCCTAAAATGTAGTACACTATCATGTCTCAACGTGCCCTTCGTAACAGCGACATTGCTGATGTATTAGTTACACAGGTGACACGAAAAGAGCAAGAAAGAGCTGGTGGAGCTAGATACCTTAGTAGTATCATTTCCGAAAGTTGAGAGGGCAACAACCAGATCTGAGTGTGGTCATGTGAGCTACTTTTGACGCATGGAACTGCACAGACTTCGACGAGTGCGCACGTAGTCCCGGAATATGCTCCAACGGAATGTGCGAGAATGTGCCCGGGTCGTACCGCTGCGTCTGCAACCCTGGCTTCCAACTGTCACCCGACAACGACTGTTATGGTGAGTGACGCATTCTTTGAAAAAAGTTCCGGTTTTCGCCCTTTTCTATTTGGCAACAAGCTCGGTGGTGTCACGTACCCAGTCACACTTTCGGTCTGCTTATATTTGCTGACTTTGCACGTCGTTCTTCTACCCTAACAGTGGATTGTGTCCGACAATACTATAAGCAATGACTTCTCGGAAGACGACACACACGGATTTGATTTCGCAAATTCCGCAAAACCTGCCGTTTAGTCTGGGACCGAAAGTGTCCAAGGGCTATTTTGACACTGGCACCACCACTTTTAACCATGCAAGAAAGAGAGAGCACATTGTTCGAAAGTGTAACAATCTGCCGTTCCCTGGATGCAGCCTTAAAGGCTGACAACCAGACTCGAGATTCTGCATGGCAGAAGATACTCCTCACCATGGGGGAGAAAGAAACAGGCAACAGTGAACAGGGGAGAGGAGGAAGTGGGGAAGAAGTGGAAAGTGCGAACTGGTCGTCGGTCTTTAAGTAACTGACCCACGACATCTCGTTTCGTGAAGTAAGCTTGTACCATGCTCCTCTTTGCTTCAAGAGTGAGCGTAGCAGAAGCTACAAAACCAAACTCCAAGCTTTCAGCACTCATGCCAAACCCATGCGTTCACGCGGTGTATGCGTCGGTCACGGCCACATACTAGTGCTTGTAGCTTCAGTTTCTCGCTCGTGCATAATGTGAAGCAAACCACAGCATGCATAGAAAATGTACACGAGAGATTCAAAAAAGGAAAGAAATTTTACAAAACAATCTTGACTGATGGCAGTTGAGATTGCTCAAACATGTAAGACTCTGGTCAAGCATGTTCAAAACCCTCTTGAGATGGTTTGTTCCAATACAACAGGATCTTATTACGTCCGCTTATTCTGGGTGCTGATATACAGTAAATAACTTTTCCATAGAGAAGTCAAGTTGTTTTTGTATTAAATCTACTACATGTAACTCAGTATATGGGTAATATTTCAAGTACCAATACCACTGTAAGCAGCCCTTTTTTAAAGGGAAAAATCTCTCAAGCAAGTTTACTATTTAGTAGCTCATCTTCTGACATTTCGATGTAGTAGTAAAAAAAAAACACATAGTATATTGAATACTTTTTTATTTTATTTTTTTCAGGAAGTGGGCTTTACTAGAGGGGTAGCCCTTTGTACACAGCTTACTTTATAAAAGCATTGTGGCTCGTAATTTGACGAAATAACCGCAACAGCTGTGTCTCTTTGTTCTGCAGATGTGGACGAATGCAGAACTCAGTATAGGATCTGCCACAACGGCAGGTGCCGCAACACCATTGGCAGCTTCCAGTGCCACTGTCAGGCTGGCTACCAGCTCAGCCCCGACGGTCGCAGCTGCGTAGGTGAGAACGGAAGGCACTGGTATCGAATATTGCGAATGATTACGAACCTATAAGCCAGTGAATCACAAATTCCACCAGACGTCTTAGATTTTTAGAAAAGTATGCAAATGTTTAGGGGGGGGGGGGGGGGGGGGGGGGAAGACCTAATTAATAGGGGTGTTTAAAAAAAAATGACGTACTCCCCAACAATTTTTTTTCAAAGTTAATAGCTAGGATATGTATGTAACAAAATTACTTTGTGAAAAAAAAAAAACAACTAAAAATGAGTTTTTTAACATAACTATTGCGCTAAAAATATATTTTTTTTCTGGGAAGTTTTGTTTTATTATGTACGTGTTCTATCTGAGCAATGAAAAAAATTAATCTTTTGGGGGAGTTTCTTGTCTATTTAAAATATTGAATGTTGAGTCGCTTGTATACTTCTTTTTTCATGGATAATCATTCAATGAGAATCATATCTCATGTTCTTGTTGGCGGTGCATGCAAATGTTTTATTCGTTTTTAGGATGTGACAAAGCCTGGACTATCATTTTCTGTGTATGGTGACTAGCTTTGCAATATCTTTATTTTTGCGCCGCTGAACTGGAGCACTGATCTCTATGACACTTGCTGGATCGCGCATCGCCGCTCCGCGACTGCGCCCACTGGACGGTCATCTTGCATGCATAATTTTTTCATTTTGCTAGCATTGCAGAGGCTGGCGGCAGCGTGCTAAAGACACGTTTTCTACTCGTTCGTCGTCATTTGCCGAAGAAGTTTTTAAAACCCTGTGAAAGCCGTGAGACTTGCCGTTGAGAACACGTGGAAATTTTTACGAAAGCGCAGTGCCGCAGGAAAAAGACACAACTCATTGAAAGCAAGCATAGTGTTCAAAGCATCTTTGGCACGCCAAAGTGCTGTGTCTCTGTGCCTTCGCACGATTGGGTACCGATCAAGAATCGACGACGCGCCAAAGTTTTGAAGATGTGTCGCGCGTAGATGTCTTTAATCATATACAGTCGACTCTCATTAATTCAAACTCGAGGGGGGCCGAAAATTTGTTTGAATAAAGCAAAGTTTGAATTATCAGGAGTTTCTTCCCATAGAGACGCATAGGATGGAACCTGCATGTTAGTTTGAATTATCCGAAAGTTTGAATTAAGAGAATTTGAATTAACGAGAGTCGACTGTATATATCAACCACGGAGTTCTGGATCGTTTAGCTGTTCCCATGAGTTGCTATCAATAAAGGGGGGAATCTGTACGTGCTCTTATGCGCAGTTAACCATGGCTATGTTCCAAATCTACTCTAATGGATCACATGGGAGCACGAATAGAGAAACACTGTGGAGCAAGGAGGGTTTTCGAAGGCAAAAGTAGAAGGTGGCGAGAATGAAAATCTTTGAAGCGCAAACCCCATATGGTCGCATGCAATCTGTTGACCAATCACAATTAGGCGAGTCACGCTCGAACGTCAAGTGCAATTAAGTAGGTTCATAATGAGCCAGCACTGATCAGTGATGAAGAGCTGTTGTGCGCAGTATTCTGTAAATCGTCTAACGACGAAAAACAGGCGTACCTTCTTCCCCTCTTCTGTTGCTGCTGGACGCAGGATCAAGCTCGTTTCTGGACCGCGAGTGCCGCAGGTTACAAATACAGTCGTTAGAGTAAAGTAAGACACTGATTCAGAGGCACATAAGGCTTCACGCACACTGCACTCGCAAAACACGTCCACACGGCGTCAATTCTTGATCGGTATCCAAGTGTGCGAAGGCACAGAGATGCAGCATTTCGGCGTGCCAAGGAAGCTTTGATCGTGCCGTGATACTGGCAAAACTTGCTTTCGACGAGTTGTGGCTTTTTCCTGCGGCACTGCACTTTCGTAAAAATTTCCACGTATTCTCAATGGCAAGTATCATTGCTTTCATAGGGTTTTAAAAAACTTCTTCGGCGAACGACGACGAATGAGTACAAAACGCGTCTTTAGCATGCTGCCGCCAGTCTCTGCAACGCTAGCGAAACGAAAAAAGTCTGCATGCAAGATGGCCGTTTGGTGACCACACCCAGGCTGCAGCGAACAAGCGGGGATGCGTGATCTAGCAATTGTCATAGAGATCAGTGAACTGGAGAGAGCACAGGCGCTGTCAGGCAACATTACTAGACCAAAGTCAGCTGACAAGCTGACTTTGGTCTAGTTTAATGACAAGCTTCATGTAAATTAAGCTTGGCATTGACAAGACATGTAAATGACAAGCTTCCTACACATTGTCTGTGTTTGGGGACTAGCTTTGCAATATCTTTATTTTTGCGCCATTGGACTGAAGAGAGGGCACAGGTGCCGTCGGGCAACGTTACTAGATCAAAGTTGGCTGACGAACTTCCTAAAACGCCTAGCCTGCTTAATGGACAGAGGCAGCCAAACCGGTGGAACGTTGGCTGTACGTTGCCTGCTGTGGACAGCGATTCTATCGTGGGTCTTTAGGGTAAACATAAAGTTTGTGCAAAAAGAGCGTCGTTCGAAAGTAGTCCTACTCTCTTGCCCACGGAGGCGTCGCCATCCGGCTTCCACACTCGCTCAAGCGCAGGCAAGAGGGAAAAAACTGTTTTAGAACGCCGCAGTTCCTTAGAGCTTGCCAACCGATAGATCTAAAAATGCTGCCGTTGGGCACCGTGCCTTTTTCTCCGCCCCCTCTGCAGACGACATCTGCGAAACAAGCAAAAAAATTCATTCACGAAATAGTTTTCTCTTTTAACATTGCAGACGTCAATGAGTGTGAGACAGAAGTCTGCAACAAGGGCTCCTGTCGCAATTCAGAGGGCTCCTTCGAATGCACCTGCCCCGAGGGATACCAACTGTCTCACGACGGGTGGGAGTGTGTTGGTGAGTCGTCACAAAGTGGCAAAATGTTTGTCATTATAGATAGTTTCCAAATGACTCACTAAATGGTGTCACTTTCCCGACGCGTGAAACACTGTCTAGGTGGCGCTACCCGCCACCCAATTTAAAGGGTTCAGCTCTATCTGTGCAGGAAACTTGCTTCTACCCCCCCCCCCCCCCCCAACTAGCTTTCCCCCATAAAACTTGGCACACACTCCTCTCGTATGGCATAGACTGCAGACGTTTGGAATTCCAGCACAAGTTAAATACTCAAGTGGAAGTATGCCCATGAGCAATAAGTGTGAATTAAGAGGTAAGGTGAGAAAAGCATCATTCTAAAATTTATCTCAAGGATATGTAATAAAAATGCAAACTTGAAAAGAACTGAAGATCCCCTCATCTTCAAATGGAAAGAGCATCAAACTTCTGGTCAAACATAAAGGATGAAAAATCTTGCCAGTAGAAAAACACACTAGCCATATTTCATTTGTCTGCTAGCCTGCTGCAGGGCTAGTAGTAAACACTATTAAATATATTAAGCAGATATGTAGATCAGAACAAGGTGCGAAGCAGCTAAAGCTGGTAGGAAGAACTTCAGAAGAAACCTCATGAAAATCTCACAGGTGGCAGACATTTTGCTCAGAGACTTGGCTTCTTCAGAGCCCTGAGGAAGCTATCTCTAGGCGGAATGTCGTCTGCCACTTTGAGGCTTCCAGGAGTTCCGAAGTTCGATCATTCAAACATATAAATAAGTGGGGCGATAAGTTACCGTGCTGATGCTGTTTAGAACGTCTCAACATGTCTCCCATTCTCCACATGCCTCCGTTCTCACGTCTTCCTGTCCCATACAGAACTTCCCCATACATCTTCTTGTCCCATTCAAAACCTCCCAAATTGGCCTCTTGTCTCCACATATCTCTCTGTACCATTCAGAATGTCCCCACATATCTCCCTGTCCTATCCAGAACGTCCCCACATGTCCTTCCATCCCGACATGTCTCACTCTCTCCACATATGGAAGCAAAAGTCCCCCTCTCTCCTCATATCCCATTTCCTCACGTCCCCTGTCCCCCCATGTCCCTTGTCCCCTCATGTCCCTTGTCCTCTCATGTCCCCTGACCCCACATGTTCCTCTGTCCCCACATGTCCTCACCATTCCCTCCATCCCCACGTGTCTGCCTGTTGCCACATGTTGCCCTATCCCCACAAGTCTCCTTGTACAGAAGCACATTCCCCCCTGTTCCCAGATGTCCCTTCGTCCTTGCACGTCCCCCTGACTCGGCACATTTGCAGATGTGGACGAGTGCCTGTCGATATCTCAGCTCTGTCTCGGCGGTGTCTGCGAAAACACCGAAGGCGGCTTCCGCTGCTCCTGCCCCCCTGGATTCAAGCTGTCGGCCGACGCGCGCGGATGCATAGGTCTGTGGTTGACAGATTTACGGAGGCACAACCTGCCGGGACTGACTTTGCAAGTGTGCTTCTTCGACCATTGCAGACCTCCGTCAGAAACAGTGCTTCCGGAGCTACCAGAGGGGCCAATGCAGCGACCCCCGACCTGGCAACACAACGCGAAATCAGTGCTGCTGCATGCAGGGATCGGCCGCCTGGGGTGACTCACCCTGCGAACGTTGCCCGGATCCAACCGAAAGTAAGGCGCATCTTCACGATTGGCTGATCACGATAGGCACATCTTTACTTTTGGTTAATCACTAGTATCAGCTTGTCAGAAGCAAGGTGTATCTTCGTGATTGGCTGGTCACTATCAGTTTGTCAGAAGGAAGGCATGTCCTCACGACTGGCTGGTAAGGATCAGCTTGTTAGAAGTGAGGCGATTCTTCACGATTGGCTGGGCATAATCGACTTGTCAGAAGTAAGGTGCGTCTTCGCAATTGGCTGGTCACAGAAGAAAACTTGTCAAAATTAATCTATGTCTTTGCTTGTCAGAAGAAAACTTGTCAGAAATAAGGCACCTCTTCACGATTGGCTGGTTGCAATCGGCTTGTCAGAAGTAAGGGGCATCTTTGCAATTGACTGGTCATGATCAGTTTGTAAAAAAAAATCTTGGAAGAAATATGGTGCATCTTCACAACTCGCTGGTTATGATCGGCTTATCAGAAGGACCTAGTGATTTAAAAAGTGTTATAGGTTTTACTGTCAAGACCGGTTATAATGAAGTCAATGAAAATCGGCAATCACTTCGCTATATCTGCTTCTTCGTTATATCTGAACTCTATTAAAGTAACACGCAAAAAAGAGATAGCACTGCCGTCACAGGCACATGTTTAGAGTGCCTGCACAAAATGGTCGAGGCTTCCCTGCACGCAGTCTTTGCTAGATCGGAGCTCTGATCAAGAAAAGATCTTTCGAGCTATGTACAGGCGGTCTCAACAGCTGTAACGGCCGCCGCGGTGGCCATTACAGCTGGCGGTGGACAGCATTTTTTACATTTATGTGCACTTCGTCCAAGATGGCACGCTTTTGTTTCAAGGAGATTGCCTTCGTCTTCCCCATCGAGGTGCTGGCAGTGCCGGGACTCTCCATCGTTGAGTGGCAATGATTTGCTGAATCGGTGCTTGAGCGAAGTTAATTTTTGCGCAGAGAGCGGCCACACCAACCAGCAATGCCGACAGGGAATCTGAAGTAAAGAAAGAAGCGCGCATGGCTTCAAGTTGGCTCCCAAGTTCGTGTTTCATTGGTACAGAAAGCCTAGATTGAAGAGAGGGGGCAACTACTCAATCTGGATCATGTGGTTTGTGTGCAGTGTTTGCAAAACAAGCTGCAGCCTGCAAGGAGTCAAGACTCAAAAGCGTTCACCGTCTGCAAGCATGGTTCCCTAGCCACTCTGGCCACATGCAACCTAATGCAGGCACACTTGCACCAATCTGCCAGGAGGCATCCACCACTATATTCGCGACTCCAGCGACCTATAGGGGGCGCCACCACCAAACAAACATGGCGGCTGAGTCCAGGTCGCGGCGGCTCGGCCGGGCCGCCTGAACAGGTGGCGCGTTCAATTTAACAGATTTTCTTTTGTTTAATGCCCAATTTTATAGGTATTTGAACTGAGACGGTTAAGTGTAGCCGGTACAGATAAACTTGCAAAGCATAGTTTTGTTTTGCCGGTGTTTTTTTGTTCTTTCCGTGTCAAACTTTCGTTTCGGAGATTTCGTTCAAAACCGAAACTATGGGCTCCAGAGAGCCGGTAATATACTAATCAGTTTTGATAATCTAAGGAAAGCGGCGATTACTATAGAATTGTTCCACAGAGAGTAACTTTTCAGTTAACTCGCATGCCTCGACCATGCGACTTATCTGTCCGCGAAATCGAGCTTTTGTGCGTATCCGCGTTGACGAAACAGCTCCAGTCGTCAGCTCGGCCAACAACACAGGCTACAGGAAAATTACGAAAATTAAGCAACCGCTTCTTGAGCCAAGGACCATGTTAGCCCCACTAAGCAGCTGATACTCGTATTTCAAATCAGGTTTTAGTAGCAGTCGAGAAGTCATTTTGACGGGCGGGTTATGTGTTATATTACGTACATGGTCCCACTAAAGCGATATTAGTATATCCTTCGGGTTGAAATATGAGCTTAGTTGACTAGCTGTTAGATGAGCTGCTGAATAAAAGTATATTTGACAGACGGAGACATACTACTTAAACTTAGCCAAATGGTTCTATAGCCGGCAGGACGGAGACAAACTGAAGAGAGTCTTCATTGAAGATCCACGCAGAACCTCTCTGCATTGAACTTTGCTTCGACCAATGTAGACGTATATTTCTACTGGCTTCGACGTCCTCGTAATATAAATATTGGAGGCGCGATAGGTCAAAATGCCGTGACAGCATCTAACGTTGCGAGACTTGTCTCCCACCTTTTGAAAACATATAATTTCCCTCATTCATCATTTGCAGCGAGCAAGTTTTCCTGAATCAAGTAATTGCGAAATCAGCCCAACTCCTTCAGTGTGATCCGGAGGCTTTTTCGGCGAAAAGCAGCCAAGATGAATAGCCAATGCACCGACCGGTGGCTCACACTTGAAGCTAACCGAACACAACCAAACTCGAGAAAAGCAGCTATCGAACCTTCCCATTCACTTGACTGCAACATTGATGTTCCCTCCAGTATCAGTTACCAAGCAGTCGTCACTTTGAATGATACTCGAGACAGACAAGAAATCAAAAAGTTTTTCCGTGATTCCTCCCCATCAAAAAATCGAAAGCACGCGACCGTGTGCTGTGGAGTAAACGGGCTTTCAAACACGTAATAGAAGAAAACAATCTACTGAGGCTTCACCACACTAATGATCACTCAGGCAAACTTAAGAAATATTCGGACCTTCGTCAATTTACATTGTTCGCCACCGCGCCGACAAGTTCTCCGCGAAAGCCACCAGAGACTCGGAGGGGCGCGGAGCGACCTGGACCGGCTGGTCCCCGGTTTTCCCGCTTGGCGGCGTCCGTTTTGCTGGAGTCGCGAATATTGCAAATGCTCTCCATGGTTGGAGTTCCTCCGCCTCTTAAATCTAGGCTTTCTCCGTCGGTATGTTGCTGCTAGTGCTCCGAACGCCCCTATCGGCATGCCACAACAGCTTCTATGCGTGCGATGCGGAAAAGCCGCTTCCCAGATGAGGAGCGGGGACCGGACGACGATGCAGACGCTGCCGCCAGCGGCCTTTGCGGCATCGTCTGTGGCCCGTTCTGGGTAGCTACTCGGCCGCAGCATTAAAGTGCACAGGTCTGCGACTTGGTACACTTTCCGAATTTGAATATTTTTTTTAAATTATTCCAAAATGTTTCTTTGCTATTACTGAGGCAGCTGCTCAATTTCATTCGCTAAAAACAGACAGAAATACATTAAAAAAAGTGCATACGAGAATGGGAAATGGTGATGGCTTTGCTGTAGCCGCTATTTTGTTATAACCGACTTTGGTTATGCTATAACCAGTCTGTTATAACATAACCGACTTTGTTTGTTATAATTGTTATAACCGACTCTCACACTTACAGGGCAAATCAGACAAGCAAGTCTATCTGCATTCTACAGATTCAAATACAGGTCTTGTTTCAATGGAAATGCAGGCTCAAAAGTGTCTTATTAAATGTGTCATGACATACACATGCTGGTCATGAAGCATGCAATTGCCCAAAATATGGACATCTTATGTAAGAGGGGAAATAATAGGGTATATCAATAATATTATGACTGGCTCTTGGTGTCTTCAGGCAATTGAAAAAAAAAAATTTCCATAATATAGATAAATAAACTCAGCCAAGTCAGAAACTTTGAAAAGATAATTCTACTAGCCATACATATTGAGCTGTCAAGCAGGTCATAGTGTCACGGGTGGTGACGGAGAAACAATAAATAAACAGGAAGAAATAAACGTTTAATGTGGCGAACTTGTGCCCAAAACAAAAGGGTACAAAAGATAATAACAGAGCGTCGCGGGCGTCGAAGTCGGTGTGGCAGCAGAGTTGAACGCTGGGGCAAGACTGACCCCGCTCGCCTTGCGGAATCCCTTATGTACCCTCGTGGGTTTCTGGATCGTTCGGCGTAGAAGGTTCGGCGCGTAGAACATTCTAACCTCGAATCAGCAAGATGGTTCTCGAATTCACCAGAACATCACATTACAGTGTCAACAAAAATGTGTCGCCGCGGCCAGGAATCGAACCCTGGCCTTCTGCGTGGAAGGCAAGCGCGATAACCGTTAGGCCACGCGCGCGCTGCCTACTTGACCAGCTGCGCGCGCGGCAATAGTAGATGTACAAAATACAATGCAGTTAGCACAAACAAGTGATAGCCAGTTTTCTTTATATTTTTTTTTGTGTTCCTTTTTTTAAATTGAAAGGCTGTCATTGAAATTACTGTTGTTGTGGGGTGCTAATTCTGAACCCTAACGAATGTGGTAAATTTTGGCTTTTATCAATAACGTTTCTGTATAAACTGTGAACAAGTGCCAATGCTTTGATCGGACTAACCATGTAGTGCAATGTTATCCTAAAATGAACGGCTCTGGTACCTTACATGATATTGATAAAAATTTTGAAAACAATGTGCTTAGTTCTGTTGATCTTTGTAAAGCAAACTCAGTTTCATAAGGATTGTTTACTTTCTTCGTTTTTTTTTATTCTACCAATAAAGGCACCTTTAGGCACATCTGCCAAGCTGGCCTTGGCTTTATCGAAGAGGACGGCATAACAATTGGTGAGAATGCAATCATCTTGTCTACTAGTGCCGGCAAACTTCCTGCTGAATATTAGCCTATTCATTTACATGAGGTCCTCTTCATCTGGCACCTATTGGGGCATTATGACAGAGTGGATTGGTTAGGAAACTAAAGAATGTATAGGATTAATATGCCATGAAAAATTATGTAGAGGGTGCCAAGTTTCAATCTCGAGCTGAACAAATAAAACCCGGTGAGCAACAGGATATAGTTTAGTCTTTAGATAGGTGAACCACTAGTGTTTAAAAAAATAGTGTGGCACCATTGAATATTTTTTTCTTCTAAATCATTGTCCGCTTGTAAAACGGGGTTGTTAAAACATGTTAAACTTAGGTTGCTTTTTGGGGGGATTAGTAACAGCTCATCTTTTGTTCTTGAAACACTGTTGTTGCACCTAATCATCTAGAGCAGTGGTTCTCAGTCAATAATGTTTTGAGACGCCTTCCGGATCAACAGAAGTGGTGGGGGACCCCATTAACCAGGAGGGAGGAGAGGGTAATGGACGATTACAATAACAAAAGTGTAAATTAAAGAAACTAAATGCATGCAAACCAGCAAACCAACTTTTAGGCTCTAAAACAGAGAATAATCTGCCCTTCTCACTCAGTGCAGACAGTTGGGTCTATGTGGCTTTGTAAAATCAGCCGGCATCAATAAAAAAAAAAAAAAATTTACTGCTCGGTTTGATTGACAGTCTAACTCTTCGGAGACCCCGAGAAGGTCTGCCCATCCCCATGGTTTGCAAAAATATGTACATTTTTGAAAGGCTTTTATCAAAATCCTGAGCATACAAGGATTTCGAGGAGCTGTACAAACCCTGAGCCTAACATTCTGACAGTTTCTACTTATTAGGTACATAGCATGCAAGTTTCACATTCCATCCACAGAGAAATTGAAAGCCAAGTGGTGTATCTTGGGCATGCGTCTTAATGCGGTAATGAACCATGCCCACCTCCCATCCGCTATCTGCAAACTTGCGTGCCATGTCATACGAGGATTAACTTGTGTCTCACAGACCACGAGGACAAACATAGCACAGCTCGTCTAAACTGGTTTTCATTCCCGGTGCAGATATCAACGAGTGCATGATGAGTCCCGACATCTGTCAGAATGGAGAATGCATCAACACAGACGGTTCCTACCGGTGCCAGTGCGAGCCCGGGTTCAAGCTTGACCCTTCGGGACACGTTTGCTTAGGTAAGCTCGTGCTCACTTGCAGCAGTAAGTCGCCTCATTATTCTCAGGTAGGAAGCCTTCACAAAATGCCTATGAACCAAGCCAGTTTGTACTGCCAAGCACTGTGGGTTATTTTATACCGTGAGAAATGAGTTATACTCACTCATTTCTCTAAGTGTCCATTGAACTGTATTGCATCAATAAGAACTTTTTAAAATAAGAATGATGATGATGATAATAATATTAATATGCACATTCTAACCCTCCAGGATCAAAATGTCTATAATAGTAAGATGACAACCTAAAAAACATACGTCAGAACAAATATTCAAAAAGCAAAAGAAAATCAAACTGAACTAGGAGATTAATATAATTTCAAGCCAATGTGCACAGTAATAAGGCAGAAACTGAAATCGACAAAAAACAGTTTAGCACTTTCCTGAGTCCCGTGAATAAGCTAATGTCACGAATATAAATAATAGCGGAAATAATAATATTAATAGATTTAAAATAACTTTGTTTTGCCCCAAACACACTGTGGGGAAACCAGAACGAAGAGCTGCAAATGCAGCTTAATGTCATCTTTTGTCTCAAGTTCTTGTTTTCAGTTCAACATCGGAGACGTTCAGTCCCGCTAGTGTTTCTGGCATTATTTCTCACAATGTCTTCAACGTTGCTTTTGAACCAGACGAAGACGAGTGTGCAGAGAAGAGGACAATATGCGGGAATGGAACCTGCTCGAACACGCTGGGAGGCTTCGAGTGCCATTGCGGCGAAGGATTCACACCCGGAATAAGAAATGTCTGCGAAGGTAATCCACTTCAGCGAAACTCTGAAGAGACTTCTAAAGCTCGAAAGTCAAAAGATGCGGCATTGCCATTACCAGGCACTATTGATCCTGCCCTTCAAATAGGTGCTCAAAGGTCCAAGTGCATCAGTAGTGCTAGAATTACTAAATAAGCTACGCTTCAAAGCCAGAACGCTTGAGCCACCTTTGTCTGCAGCCTATCTGATCTTATCTGCTTATCTTATCTCATCGGTAATGTTTGATGTTTTCGAATAAATCGGAAAAACTCCGAAGAACACCCGCCGGTAAAATTTTCCTTGATTCGGATTTATGTGATAAACTCCAAATTTCGATGCACCAATGTCATAAAGACGGGTATTTTACACTTAAAGGGGCCCTGCAAGTACTTTTTTACTGGTTTTTAGTTTGCACCAAACCTGAGCGCACTGATCGTAGTAACTTAATGTAACTTTTCTTTTCTTGAATTTCGCTTTATTTTAAAAGTTATAGGCAAATTAAGATTACAAAAAACAAGCAAAAAATAACCTCCCTCATGACGTCCTTGGTTGCTTCAGTGGCCGTGAACTAGAAAAGAGATAGTGAACTCAGCGAGCGCACACGGCTGCCGCACTCCCTGTCGACGGCGCGAGAGGGCGCCACTAAAGCGTGTTCTGGATAGGCTGCATACAGCGGGCAGCCAGAGCGGCTCTCATTGCATTTGCTGCGGGATAAAACACTAATTCAGCATGACACTTCATTGGCCACAAACGACAGCAAACACGCGATAAAAATCAGTTCAGAATGTGAGTCCCTTCGCGCTGCCGTACCGCGAAATAGCCAAAACGCAAGACAAAGCTACTCGCTGAAGGCCTTCGGAACGCTCAGAGCCGGTCGGATCCTCCAGTCCGTAAACGACCGCAGCGCCGTCACGTACATCCGGGACCTTACCGTTTTCGGTGCCTGATCCCACTACTCTTTTCTAGTATGCGCCGCCTTTTCCACCGCGTGGTGGCGGGTATGTCGACGGGTCATTTCTTGTTTCCGTACTTAATAAACTGCATTTGTTTCTTTTCTGATCTAAAAAACTGAACAAAAACTACTTTTATGAGTAATTGAAACGGTTCCGCCACTTACATTTTGTATTTCGACTAAAAAAAAAGCTTTTAGCGGCTCTGACCAGTAGTAAGCCCAGGACCAAAGACGTCACATTTTGCGCGCTTTCGGTACCGCGGGTCGCCCTCGTCGGTGGAGGAGGTTTCCGCGTCGTCCGGTTAAAATATAATGCACTGATATTTAGTTACTCTCTGCGTGCCCGCTGGCTTGCCCGAACCCCAAGAGACTTGGAAACTGCAAAAAAGGTAGACGCTTAAATATGATTGCAGGGCCCCTTTAAGGCTCCCAGGGTCGATGGTTTTGAGAAATATCACCCCAGTTTTCTTTCAAATCTCGGACCATTATCAAAAGGAATCTTGCTGCTTATCTCCTTGAGGTTCAATCAGGACAACAGGTCTTTTGGGTCATGACAGAAGCCATTGTTGCGGTCTCTAGTTTGGGCCATGCTATTTCTGCTCCTTAGAGGGAGGAGGGCGTTGTGTTTTTGTAACAATGAAAGCAGTGAACCATAGATTTCATAGAAAAGGGAAGAGTGGAAGCTTCTATGGAAGCTTCCACTCTTTCCTTTTCTGCTCCAGCCAGTGCAAGCCGGCTGGAGCAGAAAAGTGCCAGTGGAAGCTTCTATATTACACCCTTTACTGCTCCAGCCAGTGCAGCTGTGGGTAGGTTGATGGACAGGATGGAATGAATACGAGCTTCCCAGCGACTACCTCCGGGAGTTTGTGGATTTTAACGTTTCGACGTTTATCGAGGCAGATCTTTTTTTAAATCTTTGTCGTGGGACAAATTAGTATTGGCAATAGCAATGGCACCAATGCCAAATCCAGCTATAAAAATATTAATTGATACAAGCTCTTTTTTTTTTTAATCTAGCACACGTCTTCAAGCAAATAATTTTTTTTTAAATAAAGAACATTGCAAAATTAAGTCCTAAATTTCAAACAATTGAGAATAAAAAAAAAAAAAAACTCCAATGAACTCTGAATTTGCAGCAAAAAATAAACTCTGAAAGTATCCTTTGAATTTGACGAAAAATAAAATCTGAAAACTGGGAATCCTACTTATCAACTTATCTTATCTGCAGCTTATCTGAAAGACTGTGGCTTATCAGCCTATCTGTAGCTTATCTGATAAGACAAATTATCAGCTGTCTGAAATGTCAAAGTCCACGAAAAAGCAAAACAACACTCCTAAGTTCGGAAAGCCGCATTTTCAAACCAAAAGCAATCACCAGTCTAACCCGTCCTGCACTAAGCACCAAAATGGTGGCACTCACAAGAAAACCGAGGAATGAAGTAACTATACTCTAAGCATTACCTATCTAGCGGCTCTAGGTGACACTGCACATAACGCCGGGAGAAAGAAAATTAAATTTGTCATCTCTATACCTTGTTTTGCCTTAAGTACGGACAAAGCCGACACTACGGCCGACAGGACCAATCAGACAGCGTCAAAAGTGCAATGTTATGGTGTTTGTCTGCAGCTTAATTCGGTACAGAAAAGGCCCTGTGACCCACACTTTTTCGTGGTTGTATGTATTCATGCCTTCGACTACGGTCGGAATGATAATGAAACAAAGTATTTTTTTATTTTTTATTTATTGTGCCTACCAACAGCCTTTGGCCTATAACGGTAGTGCTCAAAAAATATTCAGAACACAGCGCTGCAAAAACATACTATAAAAAGAGTGAAATTCTCCTCTTGAACGACATGAGATGATCATTGCAAATGTCAACAAACAACATCCCAAGATGATTAAAGGGAAGATGGGGCACTTCTACATTTGAGAAAAAACGCTTGAATTGCGTTCATTTGGCCTTTAGAATAACAGATATCAAAATTATATTTCAATGCGACGCGCCGGAGAGCCACAAGAGCAATTTCAAAATAGGGCTGAAGCCCCGCCCCCCTAGCCTTGGGCAGCCAAAAGAGCCGTCGATGACGTCACGGACAGCGACAGTCTTTCGCGTTTTTCTCGCGTTTAACAATACTTACGCAGCAAATGGTTTGGGTATTCGGGTTCACGGGGTAGAAATACACTAGAATTCACTTCTAACTCATTTTTTCCAAGAAGCTCCGTAGCTTCCCTTTAAAGAACTTCTGAATGCAAACTAACGGGGACAGACCGTACATGCCAGTGCTGCAATCTATAGCAGATGGTCAATCAGCAGACGGGAGAAACGGTTAATTGGTGGTTGGGTAGCAAGAAAAGGGCAAGAGGGCACGCCTTTGGAACATTGCCACCGAGAGCCACACTTTGTCTTCTTTTCTAATATTATTTTCGCCAGAAGAAATAAGCGATAGGAAAGACAGCGAGCAAATAACTGGACTGCAAAGTCTGTACTCCTGAGCGGAAACCCTGAGCAAACGTAGGGTTGACCGAAATGCCTATGACATATCTTGACGTCTTGTTTTCTTGTTTCCACCTAGATCTCAACGAGTGTGTTCTGGGCATTGACGACTGCGCCTTCCGCTGCCTCAACACTGCTGGCTCGTTTCGCTGCACTTGCCCCTATGGCTACACTTTAGCGCCAGATGGAAAGCATTGCCAAGGTAAGTGTTCTCCAGACAGATCGTACTGTACAGCTACTTGTTCTCTCTGTAATAACACCTATTGTGCTATAAAGCTCCATATTCTATTGCAAAGCTGCTTGGCAAACAAATCGTAATGGTAAAATAAGACTCTTTTTAATCGCACTATAAAGTCAACTTCACGAATAACACTCTTTTCTGTTCTCTGCTACAGTTTGGCTAAGACAATATCCCAATCCCAATTTGGTTATTAAATGAAAATATGAAATGGTATTTTTTGTTTTTAGACTTCATGTTTTGATTTTCAGACATCTACCGTATTTTCCGGTGTATAAGACGCGGCTTTTTTCAAAAGTTCTTGCTGGTGCGTCTTATACAACGATGCGTCTTATACGCGAATTTTTTTTATTTTTTTTGCGAGTTCAGAAATTTGAAATTTACTCGGTTGATGTTCAAGCTTGTTTCACCAAAAACAAAATATCGCTACCGATCACGCGGTCGTAACACGGTGATACTTCAATACGGGGACCACCGCGTGCCACGTTTTAGGTGAACTCCAAGATTGCAGACATGCGGTCGTTGCGGATGCGGAGGTCCCAGGCGTAAGTAATGTGAAATGCCAACAGATGGCGACAATCACGCTTCTCGCCAAGACAAGCCAGGACAAGCCAGGACAAGCCGCCTCTCTTTTTCAGTCGCCATTTTCATCTTTGTTCGCTCTGCGTACATGCGTCGTCGTGTTTTCCTGCCATCTGCCCGGTCTTGCTACAATATGCCACCGCAGTCGCGCAAGAGCTACACAGCGAAGTTTAAATTATCTGCGGTCGAGTATGCTACCGAACACGGTAACCGGGCTGCAGGTCGCCGTTTCGACGTCACCGAGAAGATGATTCGCACATGGCGACAGTCGTCCACCAAACTACAGGCGATGAAAAGTGGAAAAAAGGCTGACCGCGGAAAGAAGGCGCGGTGGCCTGAACTTGAACGCAATGGTCGCGCAAGCGTGCTTAATTAGTTTCGTTAGCCTATGTGGATAAATTCGGGTGCGTCTTATACACGGGTGCGTCTTATATACCAACTTTTTCAATGAAAGCCTGCATATAGGGTGGGTGCGTCTTATACAAAGGTGCGTCTTATACACCGGAAAATACGGTATTCCCAAATACTTAAAGATCATTCCCAGATACTAGCAATTATAAAAATGTGCTAGTATGCTAGCGGCCATGGTGGCCTTTCAGTAGCCCTTTTCAAGCTTCTAGTGTGCTTTTTTAGATGCCAGTCATGAAACCAGAGCCCTAAATTATCTATGCGTGGCAAAGTAGAATAAATAAAACATATAAAACTAAACCAATTCTTTGTTTTGTTTTCAGATTTGGACGAGTGCGCATCTGGAGATCACGGCTGTCGCTATGCTTGCAAAAACCTTGTGGGGACGTTTCAGTGCATATGTCCCGATGGCATGAGATCAACTGGCCGCGGAGACGACTGCACAGGTATAGATTAAATAAGCACACTACTATAAACCATGATGTAATTACTAGGGGTTTTTTCCCATTAAAAGATCAGTATCAGAACAGTAGCTCTACTGCAACAGGAGTTTGTGAATAATAAGCTGATTGCAGTTATTTCCTTAGCTTTTGCCAGACCAGGGTCCAGTAAAGATAAGAATACTGTAAAACCCTTTAATTTTGCGGCCCCTAATTTTTGCGAATCGGTCACGGAGGACATAATTGCGGCCACTAGATTTTGTGAATTCCAGACTCCTGCATTGAAACTCTTAAAGAGACACTGACACACCCCCACATTAATTTTTTTATTTTCTGCCAGGCGATTTATTATGGTGTCGGAGGACTACTGGCAATATTTTGCTACAGCGTCGCATATATTTTTAATAAAGTAAAAAAACGCAACGGCTCGGAACCGAAACTGGACTTGGGAGGAAGAACAAATATAGGGGAGAGAGGTGGCAGAAGTCACATGGCTGTGATACTTTTTTCTCCCCCAAACAACACATTTGCAACTTTTTAGAAGCCACAAAAAATGGGTATCATATTTCTTTCTATTTTTAATATTGTTTGTGTGTCTTCGGTGACCTACGACTTTGATTATATTTGGCGGTTGTGTCTAAATCTCAGAAAACGGCACATGGCCACAAAGAAGAGAGTGAGCGCGACTCAAACCAGCCAGTTCTCGATCGGCTGTTTTCGGTCGGAAAGAAATTGAATTTCGAGCCGAGGATTCTTTTCTGGGTAGTTGGGCTCTCACGTGCAATGTAAAAATAAAAACCTTGGCAAGCATAAATACCCTGTCAGTGTCCCTTTAAGGACCGAAATTTTCGCATGCTCTTAAATTTTGCAAAATTTGTGTAAATTAAGGGCTTACAAACATTAAGGGTTTTACAGTATATAATAATTCGGTTAATATAATGTTTGCATATTATATCCATAGGGATTTTGACAGATACTGTAGTGCTTAGTCTGGCATGGCCTTTCCCAATCATTTTCCAAACATCATTAGAGGGGCGAGAAGGTTAAACTAATTGTGTGTACTTGATACGGTTATACTCATTGGTGCCTTACTAGCTACTGCACGACATCACTGACGTCTGAAACTCTACGAGATTGCATAGTATTTACTTAGCGAAAATGACTAAAGTAGACAGGCAAACATTCGCTATTGACAAATTACAATGTCTAGAATAATCTGATTCAGTTGATTGGTGCTTTAATGACGACCATCACTAAATAACCACTTTAGTAACTACTTATGCTGTCACTGCAACAGATGTTGAATTCAGCTGTTTGTAGCGATGCAGCAAACGATACAGATTCGCGTGAATGGCTTTGGAATAAAGCCCAGGATGCCGAGACATGTTTGCACCGCATTCACCTCTGAAAGCCTGTATACACGCAATAGTGTCTCGTTCATGAATCATTCGCTTTTGAAAAGTGGCCTGCTGTAAACTGCCGATAGTTATTTGAGCAATCCCCTTCACTGCAGACATTAACGAGTGTCAAGAAAATCCCGACATCTGCCAGAACGGAGAGTGCATCAACACGCACGGGGGTTATCGCTGTCGCTGCTACCACGGCTTTGAGCCTAGCAGCAACGGAAAGCAGTGTTTAGGTGAGTACGCCCTTGCTCCTGTCTCCGCACCAATACGTAAAAAGAAAACAAATAAAATAGCGCAAAAAGAAGAAAAAAAAGACACGACAGGGCACGTGAGCACCGTCCGTCCTCACGGAGCGCTTTGCTGGGGCGCTTTGCCGTGCACCGTAATGAATGTGGCCATACTCTGCAGTTTAATAACATTAGAATATTGGACAAGCATCCAAATAAGACCGCTAGAGAAATTCACGAAGCGTATTTCCAATGGTGAATTTTCACCGATTAATCAGTCAGTCACATTCCTTTGATGGTTTGAAAAAGGGATGCCCCGTCTCGTTTCCTTTGTTTCTTCTTCTTTTGTGTCGATGCATTTTTTATTTATTTATGAACAGCGTTTGGAAAGAAAATAGCAGTTGAGAATCAGCGGGGGAATCGGTGGTCGGAGCACGTGTAGCGAAAGCTCGCGCTGCAGAACCCAGAGATCTTGAGTTTAAAAGCAGTAGACGGAACATCTCACAACATTGGACGCAGTGTTTCAATCGACCCTGGAAAGCCTCCGAAAAAAGTGTTGACCTAAGTTTGTTTGAGTCGTGTAGTTTACCAAACTTGCCCCATGCAAACAAACTCAGTTACACAAACTGGGGTTTGTGACCACATGCAAACCGTCCTGGGAAACACAACTGTTGTTAGATACACGCAGATAACAGAAATTACTTCTATGCATCACCTTATATGTTTACGCTATCAAAACATTCAGCTTTGATATTGTATGAAGTCTAAATTATGATTAAAGTTATAGTTTCTCACTCGAATAAATTTTCATAAAATACTAAAATTGGTGATCACGTCTTCACACTAACAGGATTTCACCTTGACGAATACATGGGCATTACCTATCATCATACATGCAGTAGTCATACGAAAAGCTCCTGTAGTTTCCAACACCTTTTGTAAAGTTGCCGACAGATATGCTCTTTCATTAGAATGCAATGCTGTCAAAGGTGCTGGCATGAGCCCGCGTTTTGGTTTGTTTGATAGGCACAAGCTCCCGTGCAAATGGGGCGCTACATTGAGCCATGCGTTTGTGCCAGTAGCTTTAACAACGTTGCACGCTAAGTATGAAATGGTGTATCGTGCTCATTGTGAATGGCAAGCAGGTGAATATCAGGGATAAAGAGATCATTGTACAGAGGAGCTACAATGAATCCTAGCGCCGTAAAACAAACCGGGGAAAAATTGCGACATGCACACGAAAAGCTCAATCTTTGACACTGAATGTGCATTTAGGCGGTGGAGTTTAGCTTGTGAAATTTCAAGGCATAGTAGCTCCCTTCCTGTGAGACAGGACACCAACAAGCTATTGAAACATTTCTAACTCGATCGTCTGTGAATTTGTCCAACCTTTGTTGTTGCTGTCATGTTTCACAGGAAAGGAGCTACTTTTTGGAATTTCACGAGGTGAAATCCACCTCCTACACTCCGTGTCGCTGGTTGTGTGCAGTGCGGGGGAAGACAACGCAGGGCTAAGAGAAAAAGGGCGAGCACTGGGAAGGCAAATGGGAGAGGAGGGCAATGGAGGGCGAGGGGAGAAAGAGAGAGCACTACAAATGTAAGAGAGGAGAGGAGGTCTCTCCTCCTCCCCAGCCTTCCTAGCGCTCGCCCTGTCTTCCCTTGCCTGGCACTGCCATCACCCGTAATGCACGCAACTAGTAACGCAGAGTAGAAGTGCACGTTCGGCGAAAGTTTTAGCATCTTCCTGTGCAGGCGTCGATTTTTCTTGTTCATCTTACGGCGTTAGGATCCGTTCTGGCCACCCTGTACATTTCCAAGTTGTCATTTCAGCAGCGTCTCGCACCTGCGATTCACGAAGACGTTCTGTGTTGCACCTTTCTTGCTCTACTTGCAGACAACAGACTTGGAACCTGCTACCAAACAGCAAGCTCGTGCCCCAACTCAAACGGCCAGCTGGGTCTGACGTCGCGCGACGAATGCTGCTGCAGCGTCGGCATAGTCTGGGGCTCTCACTGTGAAGCGTGTCCGCAGCGGAACACGCGTCAGTTCCTTGTTCCGAATTGCGCAAACTTACTTGTTTTATTGTCCTTGGTTCGAATGTTTTAATGCTCAAGAACGTGTCCTTATCTTTACAGAAGAGTTTAACTCGCTATGCGAACTCGGCACGGGATTCAACAAGGACGGGCAAGGTATGGTGTTTGCCGTCTTGCAATGACCACTCTACAAAAACACAAGAAATTAAAGGGATCTGTAGAGGTGTGCAAATATATAAATCTTTCGAAGTGAAGCGAATAAAATAATAAGGGTTATGAATCAGATCAAATAGAATATTTTCGAATAAGAAAATTTTTGAAAACAAATATTTTCTATCTGATGTGAAATAAACAAAAATGCTCAATCAAAACACAACTGGATTTTTTTTTTTTTCAGCTATCATTTATAAAAACGTTACCTTTATTGCAACAAAAAAAATGTCACACATGTGACTAATAAAAAGCAGATGAAATAAAAGGTCAGTCAGTAAAACACCATTCAAGGAGTGAAGTTACAGAACGTAAATGGAAGTAAACAAGCAGAGGCGGGTCGGAAAGTGAGCGAAAGTACACAAGAGATGGAGGGTTGGCAAGCCACAATACAAAGTCGAAGATCGCGTCGTGCAGCTGCACCTATTTTGTGCAACCTCTTTTTACGCCAAAGTTGAAGATTGTGTCACGCAGCTGCACCGACTTTGTGCAATCTCTTTTTACGCGGGTGAACACAACCACGGGAACGCAAACGGAGGTACACAAGCGGAGGTGGGTCAGCAGGCCGCAACAGAGTTGGAGATTACGCCACACGCAGCCGCACTGACCTTGGGCAATTTCCTTCCGTGTGCAATAGTTCTGCCGAGAGACAGCACCACAAAGAAGCAGTAAATTAAGAATACGGCTCTTCTTTGGCAGAGGGAGCAAGTTTGTCACTGTTACCAGTGAAAACTGGTAGAAATAAATAACAAAAGGAATACTGGAAAACTTATGAACCGGAAAATCAAGCGCAAAATAACACGAGCCAGCGATCGCGGATAGCCGAGATCAGCCATAAATCCATATCCAAATCCATAGCACCTTGGCTACTCTATTGACTGTAGGAAGGACTGCAGTGAGTGTGGTTCGTGGCGTTTGTGCTTATGACGATGCACATGCCGCTGCAAATCGTAGTTCTTCATAAAATCTATCGCAGCGTTCACGCCACGACCACTTCGCCAACTCCACAATCCAGACATCGTGACACGCGAAGGACAGATCGCACACCGCGTGCAAATAACTTTCCAGTGCATCATACAAAAAGAAAAAGAAAGGCACTTAGGTTGGCCTTTTGGGTTTGCCAAGCTCAAAACCACACTCCGCAGTCCAAAAACAAAACGGGGAACTCGACCGGCGGTTGACACTAATCAGCGAGTTCCTCGTTATTCGTAGTTTTCGAATATTTGAAGAACTCTACTTCAAAGAGCGAAAGTGTGAAGCGAATCGGATTGAACAGCAAGCATTATTCGAGAAGTATTTGAAGTTTTGAATATTTGCACACCCCTAATGGATGGCATTTATAGGGCTAGCTCTTGAAAATTTTGTGTCTGCAGACGTAGCTTGAATCGCACCGCAGTGTCATGTGATACTGCGATAGCTTTTTGTATATTCACAAAGCCCTAGCAGTGTGCCCTTTGGTGTCCTCCTTACTGCGAGTGCAAGAGGAGGAGCGCAAACCCCACCACACTCCTCGGCCTTTCCCAAAGGCATTTCGAATGCTACGCATCTGGAATGCCTTTGGAAAACTCTGAAGAGACAGTCGATTTTTTTGGCCTTCTACTTCTGCAAATGACTGCGAGAGACAATCGTGAATCTTAATTTTATGCCGTGGACCCTCGAGTAACCTATTGCCTTGGTGGGTACGAAGCTGATCCAAACGGCACTGATGCAGATGTCAACGAATGCGAGACCTTGCCGCACCTGTGCAACAACGGGCGCTGCATCAACACACAGGGCTCGTACCGCTGTCTCTGCAACCGGGGGTACAAGACGGACCCCACGGGGACACGCTGTGTCGGTGAGCACAGAACCAAATTTTCACGAATTTTAGGAAAATTATGTTCTACGGCATCGCCGTTTGTTCAGAACGATTCCACCAATTTCAAAGAAAGGTTTTTCAAAAGATCATCTGTAGTATTAGTACTGGTACTGCAGGAGAGCTTGGTGGTAACAGACAACTCTCTTGTGCGAAATCTGTGACGACCGATGCTATGCCTAACGGCTTGCCTATCATAGCTATGCCTAATAGCTTGATATCGGGTGACGCGAGCCAACATTACTAGATACAGACAGTCGTACAACTTCACATAGAGTCACACGCTGGTTTGGGGAACACTTTTGGGGGTATGCAGATGTCAACGAGTGTGAGCTCCCGGTTTCACCGTGCAAGTCCAAGTGTCTCAACACAGAGGGCAGCTACATCTGTTCCTGCGATGACGGCTATGTCCTAGCAGAAGACAAAGTCTCCTGCAAAGGTGAAATAGTTTATCCGCAAGTTTCGAAACACTAATGCTAACAGGGTGTTTTAGTAGATAATTCCAATATTTCCGACAATGATACCTGATGCTCCAATAGATTGCGCATGCGTCGTATCATTATTGCATATCATTATCGAAGGTATCAAAGTAATCTAATAAAACTTTTTAATAGGGGCTGTCCATATAGTTACTGCTCTACTAGATCAGTAATTAAAAAAAAAGATGGCCAGAGGGAAGCATTGGGCTCGCCACACCAGGAAAGTGTGAATACATATTGCATAGATCTAGTTCTAGTTCGTCCTCAACTTAGCCAGAATGTAAATGAAAGAGTGCACCAGGTCTCAGACTATTATGAGACTAGGATAAACAACTCTGTGAGGACGTATTTCCTGGGTCTTTCTTTTTCAACTGAAAACAATTTCATAATGAACAGGACTCTTGAGGTAATGGAATTCCCTCAGGCAAAGTTACTGACCGCCATAGACGTAAAGGCACGAGTGTGACATGATAGTGGTCACTGATAAAGTGCAAACGGCAGGGAGGAACCTCAGTTGGGAGGAACCTCAGTTGTCCCACCTCCAGTGCGAGCTTCCTACCTTCGACAGTGCTTCGGCGTCTTATGCACCTCGAACGCTCACGAGGAGCTGAAGCACAGTGGAAGGCATAAAGCGCATGCTGAAGGACGGGCGTTTGAAAAGCCATTCTCGTTGTGCCGGCGACCATGGCAAGCTAATTATCTATAATTCGTTCACTAACTTTCTCTATAATTGCCTCGGCTAGCACAACTATTGTGGAAAGTTAAGGCTGACGAGGGCTTGCCATGCAGAAACACTAGGGGTTACTGCGAAAGCGGCTTATCAGTCGACGCGAGCCGATCCGATAGGGGTACGATACGTCTGAACCCGTCCAGACCCAAGCAGTGTCATTTCTGGGGACATTGCTGTGTTGATGCAGCAAGCACATTTTGCAAATTTCGCAAGTAGGCATCAAGTTCAAAGAGGTTCGTGCTGGATGCATTTTCAGATGTGGACGAGTGCGCGACGGACAGACACAACTGCGAGCACTCGTGCATCAACACTCAGGGAAGCTACCGATGCTCCTGCAAAGACGGCTACAACGTACTCGAGAGCCAGTGCTTGGGTAGGTCTCCAACCAATGCAAGACCTTAATGAATAGAGCTTTTGCTAAATACTCAAGCACCAGAGAGCACACTGCGAGTGAAGTCGCACGGATGGCACGTGCTGGTCTCTGCAGCAGTAACTGTTCCAAAGCCAGAACATAAAACAAACGACGCTTTGCACGTGCGTTCTATGACGCCTTATTTGCTTCAAACCTTCTATAGAGTAGGCGAGCACGTGCGGTGCATGTACGTACATTCCCAGCATTCTCCTTGGTACTTGGGTAATTTGGCAGAAGGACTATTTACCTTACTGTGCCGAACTCTCTTTATGCGACAGACGTCAACGAGTGCCGTGAGCAACCGCACCTCTGCGCTCCGAGCGGAACGTGTACCAACATGCCGGGAAGTTACAGGTGCAATTGCCCCCGTGGCTACATCACGGATGCTTCGGGGCAGTCTTGCAAGGGTAGGCGTATCTTCCAGATCTGATGTCTTTTTCTAGCCACTGGTATTCATGGCACCCCTTTTCTTTGATGAATCAAATATGTCAGGCTTAGTGAAACACATCCTGCGAGTTGTGCCCTGTTGCAGTTGTTGTGTTCTTCCCCAGCTTATGCTACTTTGGGTTGTTTTATTGAACGCTTTTGTTGGCTGCTGTGTAATGAAATTAAGGGGGGGGAATATTTTGTAATAACCTCTGTTATAGACCTTTTCCAAAAGCATATTTTTCAACTTGCACTGTGGTTAATTCATCCCGTGTCGGTAACACTGCAAAAACTGCTTCCAATAATCAAAACTCAATCGAAAGAACATATCGGCAGAGTCAAAAACCGATAAATCACTCGCAGTTAAAGGGATTGTGAACTGGAATTTGGATTTTAGAAAACAATGCAGGAACTGTAGGCAGGACGCTACAATCCCTACAACACCACTCGTAAGGTGATAGCTCGAATGGACGGCCGTATTTTTGGAAAAAGAGGACGAGATTGAACGAGGCCGACGAGGCACGTGACGTAGAGATATCCTGTTTCCTCCTCTCTTCGCTTTGCCTCCTCAAGGCGGCGAGGAGGAAAAAACGAGGCCGTTCACTCTCCTTCTCGGAGAAACAAGACGTAAACATATCTGTCAAATGCGCCTCCTTTTTTGAAAAAAAACAAAAACAAAAAAAAAAAAGGGTCATCCATTTGAGATATCGCTGTATGAGTGATGTTTTGGTGTTTGTAGCGTCCCGTTGCACGATCTAGCCGCCGTGTTTTGTGGAATCCAGATTTCGGTTCAGCATCCCTTTAAACAGAGTCGACGATTAGAAAAAAAAAATGTTTTGGGTGATTGCAGAACTAACATTAGCAGCACCTATGCAAATACTCTAGATTGCACTCATGATTGTCTCTTTTTCCGTCTTTATCTCTAGCCATATTTCACAACTGGTCAAATTAGGCTGAAAAATAGAATCTAGCTCGCACAAAATATTTTTGTGCTCTGTGACACAAACTGTCACAAAGAAACTTACAATCAAGGCAGTCACAGAAAGAGCTTTCCCAGAGTACAAATGTCAGCAGCTAAGGCCTCTTTCTCTCTTCCAAGACACGGATGAATGTGCGGATCCGAGCAGGTGTCCGCACGGTTGTGAGAATCTCGAAGGCTCGTACCGCTGCACATGCCCACCAGGGTTCAAGCAGCACCCCTACTGGAACCAGTGTCTGGGTCAGTGTTCAAGCTCACCCTCTTTTTTTTTACGGTCGCCATTTCTTCTTTTTTTTATTTAGTCACCGATTCGCTTTAAAACTGGCTCGACACGCCTCTAGATACAGCCGAACTTGTGCCCCAAAACGTCGTGCCAAAGAAATATTTTTCTTACAATTTTGGTCCTTGCCGTTTTTTTTTCACAACTAAAAATCTCTACTGGCAACACTGAAGAAAAAAAACGCCAGTGGCAGGCTAAGGTTCACTTTTTTAGTAGAACTTGTTTCCGATGAATTACGAGAAGTTTGATCATGTGAAATTACTGCTGTGGGGGCTCACTCCAGCATTAGCTCAGCAGCGCAAAACAAATGTGCAACCGTCCGTTTTCTGGACTGCCTGCTTGACCTGCAAGCCTGCCTGCCAGTGGCATTCCGCCACTGGAAAGCGCGGGAAAATCTGAATGTTGATTTTGCATTGCTTTCATTTGCTGTTTTATTGATTACTTAAGAACTCAAAAATACCCAAGAGCCTGTTGGAAAGACCAATACCCGAGTATTCAGATTTAGTTAGTTTGGTAAGCTAAAGAAGCCGGCAGAGTACCCCCTTCAATTGCAAAACCTTTACGAGTGAAATACACAAGCTTGCTTTCTTCCCACCATGACCAAGCGAGACATCGCACATACCCTAACAATGGGATTACTCAAAATCAGTATTTCCTTGTTAAGTACAGTCGGTAAACTTGGGAGTAGTATCAAGTGGGGTCAGTGTAGAGAGAGAAAGTATACTGGGACAACCACACTAGCAGGGGTGGAACTCATGAAATGTACTTGGGGGCAGCCACGGGAGCAGCTGAAACAGCTGTTTTGGAGCAGGTTGGGAGCAGCTAAAACTACGTTCTGGAGCAGGCTAGGAGCAGCTCAGATCAGTTTTCATTGCACTTCAGCTTGCGTCTTAGACACGCACGGGAGCAATTTCAATCGTACTTAGCAGAACAGATGAACATGAATGGTTAGGGACCTAGGTACTAGATGGGATAACAGCGTAACAGATGCGAAAACTTGAAACTTTGTGAGTCTTAATGAGAATCAAAAAGCCAGTACCCTGTTTCTCAAGATAGCGTCCTTGATATTTTCCGAGCGGCTTTCAGCTGCTCAAAATGCAAACCAGCACTGCTTATCGCACAACCCACACGTGCTCGACATAGTAATTATATGTGCGAACCCCGTGACGTGCGCAAGCAATGGACGTGCAGTTGCACGGAGGAACAGGGCAACAAATTTCGCGTTTATCCTATTGTGCAACTCGATTACGAAGCAGCAGACTACGATTAACGAAGTTATCGTATTTGAAGCGATAAGCAGGAGCAAGGTTAAAGTACGCCGAGCAGATCTATCACTCGCAAAAGAGCTGCTGGCCGGAAAGCTTTCGGATCGGACCGCGTTTCAGTTCAATCAAATCACGATTTATCTTGCGAGAATGCGGTTCCAACTTCTAACGATGAAACACTAAAAGGAATATCTTGCTCATTTGTTTTCAACTGGCTGACGTCCGGATACCGGGCCGCAGAGCCTCAGGCAATCTGACGCTTAACGACTCGACCTCACCTCAGCCGACTTGCTTAACCGTTAATTATGGTTGAAGAATAACAATCCAGTCGCAGGTGGTGTGGCGCGTAGAATCCGAGTTTTTTCGCGCGCTTCCGACTCGGGATACACAGGGAGAATAAACAGAACAAAGGATTGCAAGGCCGACCAGGCTGAACGCGCTCCCCCATTGTTGCCAATCGAGTCAATAAAACCGAAACCAAGACAAAATAAAAAGTTTCTTGGCGCACGTTTTGCGATCTGGCGCATAATGGCGCGAGGTATTGGCTTTGGCGCAGTTTATGCAACATGGCGCAGGATGGCGCAGACATATGCGTCTGGCGCAAAATGGCGCAAATGGCGCAGCCGTTCCACCCCTGCACTAGGGTCCACACCACAATTAGACAGATGTGACCAAACGGTTTGGCTTCATGCAGCTTGATAATGTGCAGGGTTTCCCAAAGCATCATCATTGGGAATTACAAACTAGTTACCGCTTGCTCAAAGTGTGCATATCAATCTAAAACTGTGCCTCCCTCCTCGTGGTACATTATACATCACACGACTGAACAGTACTTTACTATGATATTCAAAAAAGCTTTTACTATAAGCACGCTTCTCAGCGTAGGAACAAGCAGCTATGTGGCAGAGTACCAGGTACTGTTGGATGCAAGTTTTCTCTGCCATTTCGTGGAGAGGTACCCTCCCATGAACACAGTATGGGACCCTTATTGTAACACAGTCCCTAGGGTTGTCTGATCACATCTCCTTATTACTACGGGTGTGCTAATAGTGGCTTAAATCGAATAGCGCAATGTCATTCCTAGTTTCAAGACTGTAAAAAGAGCCAACATGCCGTGTCCCCCTTGCATTGCAAAAGTTACAAATGACCACGTATTCAATCCGATTCACTATTCGTACTCCCTTACTTATTACACAGGTCCCCACACCAAGATAGGCCCTAAAGAGAAACCATAAATGCCACAAGCGGGAGACTGCGCAATTTTACGATTTGCCCGTTAATAGTATGTCACTGCTCTCTTGCAGACGACAACGAATGTCTGTCGCAGCCGTGTGGAACGGCAAACTGCGTCAACACTGTGGGCAGCTACTCGTGCAACTGCCCCAATGGATTCAGTTTCGACGAGATCATGACCAGCTGTGTCGGTAATTGGGCTTCTCTTTCAAACCGGACAGAAAGCTGAAATGCGGGCGAGCCGGTAAAAACTAGGCCTACTGCCAGCACAGAGCATGGGCAGATGGGCAACAGAGGTCAGCTTGTATGTGCGTCCTGTCCCCCGACCCTGCTTCAACTTAGCCTCCAGTTCTGTCAGTTTTGTTTTATAGGCTTGCCTACTTGAACAGTTTCTGCAATCCTTAATGACGGCTTCATATTAAGGTGAAATGCCGAGCATGAGCTCGTGTCATAATAGTCCCCATAACGTGCGTGAGCTAGTGCAAAGCGGTGAAACCCACCATCTGCATTTCTGCTGTCAGCCCTAAGAGGTGCCCATCCACCAGTTTTTCAACATTACGACTATCTCCAAATTTTGAATGGGCGCTTCTGTGGTCGGTATGCTTAGTTCAATATACGACGTCCCCTTCCACAATATCAGCCTGTACAAATCAAATGAAGTTTATAGCTTTGAATCCAATTCAAAGGTGAATTATAATACAATTGCAGCATTCTAATGTAACTTCAGTATGTTGAAACAACCACATCAAAACACAAATTATTCAGTTAAAAATGTGTCACAGAAGAGCATGTCAAGTGTCAGAAATGGAGTTAGCGGATATCTTTCTTTTCATCCTGTTCAAAAGCTTTAAGCACAATGCCGATTTTCAGTAGCACAGAATGGCAATTCATAAATCCTGTGCCACCCTAAAAACATATAACGAAATATAATTTTTGGAGAATGCTCGCTCTGCAAATTTTGACGTGAAAATAGCGAGAGCTTACGAAAAATTAGACTCTCAAATTATACTTCTTTGGCGACTCCACTCTCATCTCTCTCTATCGCTGACATCCAGAACTCCAGGCTTGGTGCAACTTTCGAAATATTGAGTCCATGAAAATGAGCTTGTAAGAGCACTCCGCGAATCAAATAGAGACGTTGATGGCTGACACTTGTCTGCAACCTTGGCCCCGTGCTCTGAACAGGAGGCAGTGGATGCTCCAACAGCCCGTGCCTCTTCGAGTGCATGCCCACCGGATCTGGAGGCTTCCTCTGCAGCTGCCCGGAAGGATACCAGCGCATTGGACAAGGGTACTGTAGCCAAGTCAGACCCGTTGCACGAATGTCTAGACGGCGGGGAATTGGTCCGCATCCACGTGGTGCCTCACGTCTCTGTTCTCGATCGATCTGACCGGTGCGGTATGACTGCCAACCTCGGGTCTTTAATGTGCATCACGGGTTCCGGCGGAACTCGTTCTCGACTGCGCTCGCTCTGGTCCAACACCCGCCCATGTAAAAACCAAACAAGGGTGGGAACTAAACTGCCATGTTTTCCAGTGTACAAGTCACATTTTGTTTTTTTTACCTCCGTCGGCGCATTTTATACAGCGGTGAGACATATACCCACCTTTCTACATGTATGCACCTGCACTGCAAGCTTTCTTGCCACGAGGGTTACATTTCTCGTTCGGTTTGTTAACGAGAATGTTGAAACTCTCTCGCTTGCACGTGTATTGTGATCGTAACACACGTATGCAAGCTTTCAATGCAGTTTCACCATCCCGGTTGCTGGTACAAATATATAGGTGCGACTTATACACAAGCTTTTTCCTGAATACAGCCGTTTATAGGACGGTGTGACTTATACAAGAGTATGTCTTATAGCCCGGAAAATATGGTACAACCAAGTCAGCATATCAGCTGTGACAAGTGTCACACCGAAGAGACAAAAAAAAAAAAATAAAGAAATGGAGTCCAAAATTAGAAGTTAATTCTGTTTGTCTCCTTCTGCCACCAGGCACTGTCTCTCCACGCATCCCGAGAGTTCAACCCTGGGTCCTGGAAAGGGCGTGCCGGGGGACGTGGGGATACCCGCCTACGATGTTGGCAACGCCGGGCCCCAGGACCCCGACAAGGTCATCTCGACCGAAGGATGCTACTCCTGCAAGCTCAACGGCGGGAGCGTACAGCGCGCGCGGAGGGGACTCAACAATGGAACGTCGTCTCGGAGGCTCACCCGGAGGTCTACTCAGAAGAAGGTGAATTGCCGTAGGAAAACACAAGCCGAAAAAAAACGGGGTCGCCGAAATCGGGATGAGCTGCCGTCAAGCTGTACTTTAAAGGAGCTGTGCAACAATTTCAGGGCTTTGATTAAATTATTGTGGAAGTTGATGCCTGACACTTCTGAAGTGAACTACAGAAAACAGATATTGTTTGGATACCCTAGTTTTTAGTTAAAAAAATGAAAAAGATCCAGGTTTTTGCCGCCTCTCAACTCGTACCTTGTCTTCCGAGTCACGTGCGCAGTGACGTTGCTGGGGTAGGCGCGGGGTTCCGGAAAAGTTCTTTTTTTAGAGCCATCAGTGAGCAGCGAGAACTCATCCACTCGCGACCGCGTGACCATGTGCTGGCGGGCGCCGCACGAGCAATTTGGTGAAAGGAGGAGTCTCGTCCGGGTCCGGCCATACCCGTCCGGCCCTGTCCCCCTCTCCATTTGGCTTCTGGCGACTGTTCGCGGTAGCAGAGAGAGCTGACGGTTTTGTGGACCTAGGATAGATGGTGCCACTAAAACTCCGTATAATAAGAGTTTTGTCAATGATTATAGGTTTTTGACGCGTTTATATATATGTTGGCAAGGTTTATAGAACTTTTCTATAAACGACAAGGTTTATAGAAAAGTTACCTTTTATCAAGCAGGTATTCGCACAACTTGCTATCTTTCTACGAGATTCCCCATTGACATCACGCCGTGTGTTTCTCATGGCCGCTGCTCGCGTCTGCAGGTCGGGGAATATTCTAAGTTTTGCCTCGCTATTACGCGGCGAAATCGCAACATTTCGATGAAAGGAGGTGTGTTTTCTGTCATTTGTGACAAGGTGAACAATATCAAAAGCAGAAGAGGCCAATTCTTTCTACGTTAAAATCGTTGCACAGCTCCTTTAAGACCCGCCTTAGGTGCAATGAGTTTTGCTATTTGTGTGCACAAGGGAGAACGTTTCAGCAGAGCAGTTACGGAAGAACCAGCGAAGGTTTGCACAAAACAGAAGTATGGACACTGGAAGCGAAAATATGCAAGCAAGCTTGTTAGGGAACATTGTAATCTAAACCCTGGACATAGAGAAATAAAATAACAGAAAAGACAACACAAAATCTCGGCACTGCATGAATTCAAAAAAATATTTTCCCATCTAGTAAAAGCAACTGTAAATACTGAACAAAACTTGCATCCAGTTGAAGATTAGGGATGTGCAAATATTCTAAATTTCGAATAGTAGTTTCGAATAATACACTATTCGATATTCGCTTTGAGAAGAACTGCACTATTCACGTTTTTCGAAGTGTTGATTGCAGTGGGTTAGCCCCATTGAGTATGCATCTCACCGAGCACTGGTGCATTGCGGGGAAGCGATACCCACGGAAGCGAGCTCCGCAAGTGTTGCTCCTCCACATTACATCAATGCTCGGCAAGAAGCGCACTCAACGGGGTAGCCCGCCATGATAACACTTGGAAAAGTATGAATATCGCAATTGCGTGCTTGGAAGAAAACCATTCCTTCAAAGCGGGATGGTGCACGCATACCGGCTGTATATGAAAATAAATGGAAACTTTGTGAATGTGTATACTCTAAAACCTTTCATTTTCGCAACCCCTATTTTTTGCGAATCAGTCAAAAAGGACATAGTCACGGCCACTAAATTTCGCAAATTCCAGAGACCTGCACTGAAATTCTTAAGAACCGAAATTTTTGCGTGCCTTTAAATTTTGCGAATTTTTCAATTCGCGAAAATTAAGGGCTTGCAAACATTAAGGGTTTTACAGTATCTACATTTTAGTAAAAGCTTCAAAATTAAACTGACTGTTTTGCAAGAGTATATGTTAGGCAGACATGCCCTTACAACCTGCGTTCATCATGCGCGAGTCTTTTTTTTTCTAACTCGAGATTAAAGAAAGAATATTTAAGATTTGTAAATTCACTCAATAGGGTATAGTTGGCCATCTCTATAGAATTCATTTTATGTCAAACTTGTCATTTACTTACCATCCCAAGACATCAGACCTTCTGAGGTCACAGTTGATAAATATGAATAGATGAAACTTGGCTTATAAATGAACAAGGGGAACAACCTTCACAAGTTTAGCTGGATTTTCGTCTAAGCATTATGCTATGGTAGTGAAAGGCATAGAAAAACTATTCAATATTTGAATCGAAAATATTCAGCCAAAACCACTATTCGCTTCGAATTCACTTCGAGCTCAAAATCCACTATTCGCACAAGACTATTAAAGATACTCGACCAGGTTTCCACGCAGGTGAGTTGCCATCCCTTATGTCCTAGCCACCATTTCAATCGTATTTTCGACTGTCAATCAGTTTAACCCATAACATGTGATTGTCTTTTCTGTGAACATTTCAGTATTGGTTGCGTCATACTCTTTAATTGGAATAGATATGCACAATGGATGCATTAGGCATGCATTAATATGCTTTATAGAGGCACTAGATATGCACCATATAAACTCAAAATATGATGTATGAGATATGCAGAACATCTCAAATCATATTCTATATATATAATGCCAGAAAACTTCTGTGCCTTCTTGGTATTTACCATCTTGGCACCATTGAGCAGTGTGCCGCAGACAAGGGCTTAAAAAAAAAAAGGCAACTACTCTTGTTGGCCATTTTCATACGCAGGAAACGGAAGAGCAGACAATGGCACACAAGAGGAGACACCTCAAGTCTCGTTGGGACGTCATCAAGGTGACGCTGCCTCTACGCCAAGCGCAGGTGCACCAAAACATCCTCGACATCCGGCCAGCCTACAAGCACCTCAGGGACGACAAGAACTACCACGTGCTGCATGGTGTCGACCGCAACCGCTTCAGCGTCGTAAGAAGGTGACTTGGCCGCATCTACGCCTAGTCGTTTCGAGTAGCTATAGGGAGTATTCATTGCGCAAATGCTAAACACGTGCCAACGGCGAGCTTCCACAGTTCTCTCGCCATATGCATTCCGCACTATCAAGATTGCCGGTCTCGGCAGCCTAATAATGTGAGCTCGTTCTGAGCATGTGCTCTGAACATCGCCCTCAAATATGGCGTCCAGTGAATACCCCCTACAGCGACTGCCAGGATGAGAATGGCTGGGCGTCTTGTTATCAAAGGTTGGAAGCGTACGTAAGAGGTGGGACAACTCAAAGACTTCACCGCCATTCATGTCCTGTCTGACGACGATGTGGCTCTAAAGAAATAGTGGCACATTCTCAGTTCGCGAGTAAGCTTGGGTGCCACTTCGACGCTGCCAGATGCCTGCGACATATTTTTCATTCATTCTGAGTTGCCTTATGTGACAAAAATGGTAAGCATCGAAGTGTCAGGAAGACATGTTTTAAGAGGTGTGTTTCAGAGCCTCAAAAGCACTTCTCTATGCCATTTTTTTTTTTTTTCCTTTTGTAATTTGGGATTTAATGACATGTGCCTATGATAATGTGCAAAATAATGCCCGTACAACTCGAGTACCCTTCGAAGTACTAGTTTGTTATGTGCAGTTCTGCCTGCACACCGCCTATGGTTAAGTAGTCAAAAGCGCTGCTCGAGACAATGTTTTATATCAAAGTTGATTTGGATGTGTACTGTGTCAGCTGTGCCAACCTTTGCATGAAGATGGCATGGTAAAAATAAAATTAATATTAGTGTCTATATGTTCAAATATACCGCTAGCCACATGAAATAATCGAGGCACTCAATCGGAGAAGCAAGTACTAAAATCACGTAACATTAACCAGCTCGCCTGTTTATTAACCTGGTCTTCTAGAGACTACTACTACATGGAAACAATGCAGAAAGGACCAAAAGAACTTGTCCTAAAATAACCAACAACATGTTAATCTTTTGTCTCTGTGTCAAGAGTTTTGAGCCATGTCGCTAGCGGACGACGCCGGAATGTCGACGGACAGGCACCAAGTGTCTTGACTGGTGTTTTGCAATTTTCACAAAAAGCATCAAGGTGACTGTCAAATAGAGCAATTTGTACATTTCTTGCCTCACAAACACGAGTACTACGTCATGCGAGGTACCTCCCATGGCGAGTTTATTGCAACCACCGTAAAGCGACGACGACGACGCGCAACGTTCACTTCGGAACGCGCACCGACAGTTCTTTAATCTCCCGCAGCGATGGCGGAGTGACGCTGCAGCTCGCAGAATCCATCAAGAAGGCCGGACTCTACAAGGTCAACATCGGAAGCCGAAGTCCGTCGGAGGAAGAGGCGGAGAACCAATCGAGAGCGTTCCGCCTTCGAGTCCACTTGGCGGTCACGGAGTGAAAAGTCACGGAGTGAAAAGTCACGGAGGGCACGCCGGTCCTCCTCATAGTCTCCAGCGATGCACCGAGATCTAGGGCGTCGTAAAAGTGCCACATTTTTTTTTTCTCATTAAAACATTACAACAAATTACATCTGTGCTATAGGCTCTTTTACGAGGGTTTTGGCAGCAAACTGTCTGATTGTCGGTATGTTTCCAAGACATTTAGAAGATGTGTTGATAGCATGTCCTGAGTGTTAGTGAGAAGAGTAGGAAAATGGTGAAGGCCGTGAGCATGAGCTTTTTACTTTAGATATTGGGACACACCTCACCTAGCTCCTAGCTTGGGCGACTTAGCACCTAGGTAGCAAAGTTACCCGATAGTGCCTGTAGCCTTTGTGCAGTCTACATCAGGGCTAGAGGGAGTGTTGTCACTGTTAAAAAAATTCTAGTTCTCTGGCTGTCTAACCGCTGAATTCAGAAACCTCCCTCAAACTACACTCAAACTGAAGGGCCCCTCCACTTCCTCGAGGAAGGCGCGAGGGCCGGCGCTGGCCAATCGCGAGGACGGATCCGCTGTTGCGATGGGCCAGCGCCGGCCCTCGCAACTTCCTCGAGAAAGTGGAGGGGCCCTTCAGTGTGAGTGTAGTTTGAGTGAGGTTTCTGAATTCGGCGGTAAGATACGGGGTAATTTTTAGACTGAAGACATATCCTTAAAGGGACACCGACATACCCCAGAAAATTTTGTTTATATTTTACCAGGTGGTTCATTATAGTGTCAGAAGACTACCCAATCCATATTTTGCTGCAGAGTCAAGTATATCTTTAATAAAGTAAAAAAAAAACGCAACTGCTTGAAGCCGAAATTAAAACGGGACTGGGGAGGAAGAAGAAATATAAAGGAGGAGAAAGTTACCGGAAGTCACGTGGCTGTGCTAATTTTTTTCTTCCAATCAACATATTTGCAGCTTTTTAAAGCAACAAAAAATGGGTACCTTATTTTTTGTCAATTTTTGTATTGAGTGTCTGCCTTCGATGACCCACGACTTTGATTATCTTTAGTGGTTGTGTCTAAACCGTAGAAAACTGCACGTGACCACAGAGAAGAGAGTGAGCGAGACTCAAACCGGCCAGTTCTCAATCGGCTGTTTTCAGGCAGAAAGAAAACGAATTTCGAGCCGCAAATTGAGTTCTATGTAGTTGGGCTTTTATATATCATGCACAAATAAATACCCTGTCAGTGTCCCTTTGAAATAAAAGGTACTTAAGATAAACAATGCAAGAAAAAAATGGAATTCACACGCCAAATATTTTAATCTAATTCTGCCTAAAAGTTGATGAAACTGGCAACCAAAGTTTGAGGTGTGCAAAATTACCAAAATATGCTAATCCTAGTGGGTGAGACAAGGCGTAGCCAACAGTGCAGTCAATATCACGGCGTTGCCGTGGCACACCCTCCGCCACCTACGTCGTGCTAGGGGAGGTCGGTTTGCTAGTTCTGTACTTCTTCGAGAAAAGTTTACAGGCGGCGCTATAGCAGTGCGCTTGTTGCTGGCCACGTGATTCGCAGAGCGTGCATGCCTTTGTGTGCTCCCGTGCGTCATTGCCGGCAGTGTCCGTCGTGTGCGAGAGAGCCAATGTGCAATGTTGAGCACAGCATACTTGTACAAACCCGTCACGACATATTTGTGTGGGGTTTACTGAACTTTACTTTCTACTAATGTTTGCAAAACAAGCCCTTGGGAGAATTCGCCCTTTTCTGATCTAAAACAGAAGCTGTGGCCACAGTAGTTCAGGCATCATTGGGTGTAGCAGATTGTAGCAGACGACACTTTTGCCCCCCTGGTGCGTGACATCGCAATTTGTTGCAACTGGTTAGAGCATGGAGGAATGGATAGATGCCAACGGCTGTACCTTTTATACCTTCACTAGCTTGTGCCACCTGGCCTACAAACTTAAAACTAGAAGTATGACTTGAGGTGAGAACACAGGAGCAATGTTGCCTGCTACAACCAAGGTTTCGGATTGTGGCAAGATTTAAATGAGGATTGTGCGAAAAATATTACTCTTTTTTTTGGAAAAAGATGACTTACTACCACCTCAGGATATATATTTAACCCTTAGCGCAAGTTCCTTAGACTTGACCGGAATCGCCCTTTAACCTCTTAAGTGCCAAATTTTTTTTTTTCAAAAGTAACCTGACAGTGCTATATATATACATTTTTTTTTATTTTGAATTGTTATTCCTCTAGTATTACACATAAAATTTGAAAAGTTGATAACGCAAAAATCAGCGGAGGTGAAAAAAAAAATTGCCATCTAAAACGAGTGCTGCCATCTATGATCAGCGCCACAAAACTACTGAGATGAGCCTAGCTCGTCCGTGGAATTGAGGTCTACCGAAAAAACCACTGGACGAGCCGAGCTCGTCCACGGCATTTTTAGCCAGAAATTGGCCGACAAGCTTAGCTTGTCCAAGGCACTTAAGGGGTTAAAAGATATACTAATTAAAAGGTAGGGGAGGAGGGGTTTATGTGTCAAACCAACAAAGAGGATATGGCATTTAAAAGTTCAGTAAGTGAATATGGGGCAATTAGTTAACTGGTGTTCACATCACGGTCGTAATGCAAATATTGGCAAATTTCATATTCTGTGGCCAATAAAGCTCCTCTAAAAATATTACTTATTTATATTAAATGCCCTCCTTATTAAAAGGAAAAAAAATATATATAGATATATTTATCTAGGTATATATATTTTAGTCTTAAAGAAGACACGCCTTGTACTGTGCAGTTGTTAACATGCTTGAGAAGAGAGCAGAAAAATGCAGTTCAAGGAGACCCATGCCACGTCATCGCTTCCAAAAAAAAAGACTGTTCTGTAAGTAGAATATATATATATTTTTTTTTCTCTATAGAACAGATTAAAGACGACTGTTAATAAAAAGAAAAAGATAGACTACCTGTGGCCCTAAACAGCTTTTGTTAGTATTTTACCTACACCCTGTGTTGTGAAAAATGTTGTTTGTCCATTTGTCTAACAAAGTACTTGAAAATGGCATTCAACTTGTTTTCGTGTAACTATAGAACACTCGTCTTCGTATATCTGTTTGCTCAACCTCCAGATCACGGGAAAACTGTGCTAATAAAACAAGTACCCAACACAAAGAAAAAAAAAAAAGAATTGGCACATGTAGATATTTAGATAGCCTCATGCTGGAGACCCAGGATCTCTGGGTTCTCCAGCATGAGCTGTCTGGTGTGTTGTACGTGGAGCGCAAGTTTGTCTGCTTCTTGCAGAGGGGTTGTGACGATGTCGAAATGCAGAGCTCTTATTGGCTGATTGGAAAAATAGTGGGTAGACATTGAGGCACCTAGCCGTTAGGTCTACCCACTATTGATCAAAGCCAATCGTAGCTCGGCGTCGTTCCGACATCACGACAACTCCTGTGCAAGAAGTAAACATATATTGCACTAAAACACGAAACGAGGCATACCTGAACAGCAAGCAGCGCCGGAAGTCAATAGCCACCAATGCTCAATCACTGTCGGTTTCTTCCAACTTATCAGTTTCCCCTAACTTCTCAGTTTCTTCTAGCTTTTCAGTTTCCTCGGAGCTGCAAGCAAACGAAAACAGTGGTTCATACTTTTTCACACTTAGTGTCCCCTCTGATAAATTAATGGAGCATCGACGCACACTACACGTTTTTTGAAGTTTGTATACTTACTCCTGTACCAAGTTCTCCGAAGTTCCACACTTTGCACAGACTTTTCGACTGATCGAGCAGTCGTCGCATATGATGTGGTAAGCCGACTTCACCGTTTTTCCCTCGCATTTTACGCTGCAATAAAAGAAACAAACCTGTTGTTCTCATTCTGCCAGAAACTACGTGAGACTAATTCAGCTGTACGGCCCACAGGTGCTATTGCCGGTAAGATGAGTTTGAACAAAATAAAATATTGAAAGCTCTGTCTTGTACTTGTCGCAGTCATATATAATCTCAGATAACACTCAAGATCTGGGAGGAAACAAAAGTGTGAAACTAACGCCTACAAATACTCACCTTTCCCACTATGCATTTCTGATTGGAACAGCTGCCCTCCAGCTTAGTCATAACAAGTGACTAGAAGTATTTCACGCAGGGGGTTGTTCAGTTGATTGAATAGTGTCTGTATAAAGAAGCTTTTTTCTTCATGTCAACATTCGGTTATTTCCCCTAATTTTATTATTAACCTCTTCTAGAGGCCTTTCAGGTAATAAAATGAAATGAAATAAGCCAAACGTCCGAGCTCATGCTGTGGGTCTTAATAAAGTCAGAAGACGTTAAAACAACTCACCATTTGCGAGGCACCGTGAGGGGCTTGTATTTCTTGTATTTTATCTTCCATTCTATCTTCTCTTTACACCTCACACAGACGTTGGTGATCTTGAGGCTGATCATTTTCTTCGTTTGCAAGCTCTTGTCATGGAGCGTGTTCTTGAATGCTGTCGAATTTTGATGTTTCTGGGGACGGGTCCTCTTTACGTTACCGTGCTGGCTACTCATGTTCTTTAAGTAACACTAGTATGCACTTATAAACGTGATGTTGGCACATACAGGGGTTAATTATTAAATAATTCGGCTTATGAAGCCGAGCACGCTAGTTGAGACCACCCGCGCTGTGCTCCTCGCTGTGCGCCGCCATGTTGTGGTGCTCGATATGCGTGCTACCCGGCTTCCCGCTACGTAAACAAAAGTTTACAATGACGGCATCAGACTGTGTTACGTCACCGCACCTTTGTTGAACGGCTTTTGGAACGCAATCGGACGGTTCGCAAACTCTCCGCAACACGTGTTGTGGCGCTCGCGATCAAAATTCAGCGAAGATGGCATCTTCGTCAGTGAGAGCAATTAAGGTCATTCAAAACATTCTTCTTGCTTTCAGAAAAAAATCAAAGCCATCTAATGACGCTCCGTTAGACAGACTTAACGACTCCAATATCGTGGCACCAAAGGTATTCCTCGCACAACGCTAAATCCGCGGGAAAAAAAAATCGCAGTTCAAGGGACGCCCTTGAACACTTTGACTCTTGCCATACTTTTCGTCAGGTGTCTCTAAATTTAGCTTTAAAGTTCCAAAGCGTCCGATCAATAATTGCCCACTCCGGAATGTCAACTTTCAAACCATATGCTTCGCGTGAGCGTCGCCGGCTTTCCGGGCGTTTGGGTCATTCATTGAAAAGACATACTCGTCCCAACTTCACAGGCCGTCAAGCCACATTACCCCCTGATAAAATTCCGGAAAAGCGGCGCGAGATCGGACCAAGGTAAGACGTCTTTCACCTTACGCGTTCCCTGATTTCTGACAGCTTCGCTGACAACGGTTGTTACAACGTTACAACCCTGGAAAGTTTTGGCAGGTCAAACGCCACCGACGGCTACCGCGACGGCTACCAAAGCTACCAGCGCCTCTGCGCCTCCGTCGTCCAAGCCCATTGGTAGCACGGCCAGGGGTACAGGCATCGACGAGTCTCAACTACCCGCCCGCTACGCAAGAAAACCGCTATCACAGTACGAGGGTGACTACATCCAGGCGAGTTCTTTCGTCGAATTCGGAGGGCATGTGCGCACGATGAGGTTGTTGGGTCGAGCAACGCCTCTGGAAAGAGCGTAGCTCTGCGCATGCGCGGTGCCCACCAAAGCTGTGTTGTTTGTAGACGGCAACCCTGCAGCAGCAGTTGTAAAAACCATAGAGTTATTATAATGTACGCTAGAGGTTGAACATAGTTACAGTTGCACACACAGGGACAAAGATAAAGAGGAACACGTAGACGACAGACAAGCGCACGCTCACACCTCGTGTATTAACGAAAGAAGAAAAGAAAGTGGTCCTCTTTTCTGTCCTTGTCCCTGTGTGCGCAACTGTAACTATATTCAATAACTACCAACTCGCCCAACTGTCTACTCTACTACGCTAGAGGTTCAACTGGCGCTAGTGTCTATGCGACTTCTGTGACGCAAATTGAAGCAGACAGCAACCAGTCTACTTTCGCGGTGCTCCTGTGCATTCCTATGGGAAAACGCGCGTGCATTTTGTCTCTTTGCCGAAAAATAACATAGAACACTTCGGTTATTTGGGTTGTACTGAATAGTATGTACCTTGATTAGCACTGCAAAAGTAATTGCTTTAGTTGGCACATTTTTCTTCATCAGTGAATGATGTTTAACTTTGCTACATTTCTGTCCCAAACGTGTGTTATGCAGCAAGTGTGTAAAAACAAGCGACGATTCAAAGCAAAATTACAATCAATAGGAATATAGTGAGTGTTCAAGGCTCACCAGCATTCCGGTGACGCTAATATATTGATAATATGCCACTCTTGTGAAAATGACCCCGTCGTGCATGAGGGGATAAAAACATTCAAAACATAAATAATAAAGCATGTGGGCTATGAAAGGTGTCTTTTCGTATTGTTTTCTCTGCCGGGCAGCCTTTATCGGGCCCTTGTTCTCAAAGATTTCGATCGTGCTGGTAATATTTGAACATAGAAGTTCGCACAGAGCAGAAAGAATATAGCGGTACTTACTTATATAAAATATGAATATATACATGGCCTTCAATTTATTTTGATCGTACATGCATGGGTAGTTGCTGATCCAGTGTTACTGCGTAGTTCTTGCCGTCTCCCTTAATTTCCAGATGTCCTTCGTTCGTTTGGCACGTATATCCCTCGTGCTGAAAAGCGTTGACGTCGTGTTTGCGCTAACACTGTCCGACAGTGTGCATAAATACACGTACAAAGCCGTTTTAGCATCATCTTTAATGCGAAGAATTTGACAGAAAAACACCATAACTGACCGATTATTTCGTCGGCCTGACTCAGAAATATTCCAAGCTCCCTAGTATGTATGAATTATTCAGGATATTTGCTCTTATGATCGAGCGCAGGGAGAAAGTGCACTCACTTTTTTTCATAGAAATACATTACCGGAAGTCAGTTTTCGACTGGTTGCTGTCTGCTTCAATTTGCGTCAGCACACTAGCGCCACTTGAACCTCTAGCGTACATTATAATAATGCTATGGTATAAATATGGCCAAAACTTGATCACTCGAACATATCACTCCACGGTAGTAAATGCATGGCTTGCATGTGACGTCATCCATGGCATTATTATAATGTGCACTTAAGGTCCAACTGGCCCTATTGTGCAGTTTCAAATTGAAACAGATGGCAATGTGTGAAATTGATTTCCAATGATGCATTTCTATGGGAAAAAGTGAGTGCATTTTCTCCCAAATAATTTGTGTGTACTAAATACCTTGGAACATCATTTACACAAAACTATTGGTCAGTCTTGGCATTTTTCTTTCAAATCCAGGGCATTAACAAAGGTGCTAAATAGGCCTTGTACATGCATGTATTTATGTACTGTCCAGCATTAGTGCAAACACGGCATCGGCGCTTGTCTGCATGGGGTTTACGTGCCAAAGCAATGAAACGCATCTTGAAAGAGAAGTCACAAACTATGTGCTAAAACTGGATCAGTACTTTCCTATACATGTAGAAGATCAAAATAAAGTAAAGCCAAATAATGAGTGCAATTCTCAATAAATAACATTAGTTTTATTCACTCTAGTGCTCATGTATATGTGCAAAGGTAAGTTTGTTCTAGCATTCAAAACACTCATGCTCGAAAACTGAAAATTTAGGAAAAATCAGCACAATAAAAAAAAAAAGAATAGAAGTGTATAAATGTGGGCAAGTTG